AATCCTTATATAGATATTTATAATTTAATTAAAAATAAATGAAATTAAAAATAAGTTAATTCTTTAAGGAATTATTTAATTATTACTTTTAATAAAATAAAAAATTATAAAAATTAAAATTTTTTATAATAATAGATTATTAAATTTAGAATTAATAATATAAAAGATTAAAAAAAGAGATAACTTTTAAATAAAATAATTATAAAAGCTTAAAAGAATAATTTTTTAAATTAATTTATAATAACTAACTAACTATAAAATATTATAAACTTAAAATATAATAATATTATTAATTAAAAGATTATTTAAACTTATTATAAAAGATCTACTTAAATAAGTTTATATTTAAAGTATTAATTTTTTATAAAGGAACTCTTAATACTTTAAAGTTTAAATAGAAATTAGTTAATATTTCCTAATAATAATAAAGACTATTTAATATCCTTTTAATTAAAAATATAAAAACTATTAATTTAATATAAAGGTTAATTATAAAAATTAAAAAGGTTAAATTTAAAAATTAAAAATATAATTAAATTAATTATTATTAAATAAATTATAATATTATTAAAAGTAAGTTTTTATATTAATAATTTAATTAAAATATATATTTTAAAAAAGGTATAAAAATAAAAGGTTAATAAAATTAATAATAAATAGTAGTAAATAAATACTTAAGTAATTTATATTAATAAATAAATAAAAATAAAATAAAAGTAAAGGAACTCTTAATTAAATACTTTATTAATTTTAATAAACCTTTATATATTTAATTTATAAAGGTTTAAAAGGGTATATAATAAAATATAAAAAAAAAGTTATATAGAATTTTTAATAAAGAGCCTATAAGAGAGGTCTTCTTTTATTATTTTAGTTTTTTCTTAAAGAAATTAACTCTACTTTTTTTTTATTTTTAAGAATTCTTTTATTAAGTAATTTTATTCTTTATTCTCTCTCTAAACCTTTCTTTTCTTAAAATCTATTTATATACTAATCCTTTTATAAAAATTAAATAAAGCATTCCTTTAAAACTATTTACTTACTTTAATAGTTTATTTTATTATAATATAAAACTTAATAAACTAATTCTTCCTTATTAATATATTTATTATATAACTATTTAAATCTACCTTTATTAAATAAATTAAATATATTATAATGTTTATTTTAAATATATAGTTATTAATAGAATAATAATATTATAATAATAAACTTATTTAAAAGAAAGCCTTTTATATAAATTTTATAAAAGATTAAAACTTTTTAAAAATTAAATAAAGTTTATTTATTATATATTAAATAAATACTATATAAGAAAAGTAAAAGTTTAAGTATTTAAGAATTAAATCTTTCTTTTTTATATATATTACTTTATTATTAAAGATTTATCTATTTTTATATAATATATAAAGAATATAATAAAAGAGGGAGTTCTATAAAGGAAGCTAGTAACTCTACTATATATAGATAAGTTTAAGGATATATATTAAGTAATTATTAACTTTATATTTAAAGTATAAACTGATAGTTAGTTTAAAAGTTAAGAAGATAATAAATAGATAAATATATAGTTAAATAAAAAATATAATATAGCTAAAGCCGGTACGGGAAGGAATGGACTGATTACCACGCAGTTGATGCTTGAAAGAGCACTATGTTTGGAGGACACTCTTTGCCATCTCACTGGCCGCTTTGAAGAATAATTTCACTGAGCTCCGTACGCGTTAATAACGTTACTATGTCTTCTTGCTTAATAGTAATTGGCCCTTGATCCAAAAGCTGGAAGCACCCGTGGACTAGTTCTTACCCGGGGGGCAGGCCTTCCCTACCCCCCTACGCCAAGGGCGTAGGGGGTACCAAAACCCCGCAACAGCCAAAACCTCACAACACTTATACCTACCTATTTTTACTACTTTCCTCTATAAAATCCTACTTTTTAATTAAGTACATTTCCTTTATTAAATTTTATATAATAAAAAAATAAATACCTTTAAAATCCTTATTTTATAAAGATTAATAATAAAATACTTTTAAATTTTTAGGGTTAGGGTTTAAGATTTTAGTTTTTTTAGTTAAAGGTTTTTTAAAATTAATATATTCCTTTATAAATATTTTCTTTCTTAAAAAATAAAAATAATAAATTATTTTTAAAATTATTTTATTTATATAAATAATATTTTTAAAATTCCTCTTTTAAGATTAAGGTTATTATAATTTATTTTTTATAAAAGTTTTAATATAATAAATCTTTTAAAACTTTAATTTTTAATCTTTTATAATTAGATTTTAATTTTAAAAATATTTTTTTATATAAAAAGAATTTTATTAAAATTCTATAGGTATTACTTTTTATTATATAATTTATATAAAGAAATATATTAATTTTAAAAAACCTTTAACTAAAAAAACTAAAATCTTAAACCCTAACCCTAAAAATTTAAAAGTATTTTATTATTAATCTTTATAAAATAAGGATTTTAAAAATATTTATTTTTTTACTATATAAAATTTAATAAAGGAAATATACTTAATTAAAAAGTAGGATTTTATAAAGGAAAGTAGTAAAAATAGGTAGGTATAAGTGTTATGAGGTTTTAGCCGTTATGGGGTTTTATCACCCACTCCGCCAGGAGTGGGTAAGTAGAAGCCGAAGCCCACAGGTAGTCCGGACACAATCCCGTATGGGCAACCAGTCTATTAGTTTACTGGCTGTTTCGCCATCTTGGCATCAATCGCACTCGTGGGAGAACTGCCTCGTATTCCCCACCTCGCCGCCACACATTCCGCTGAACAAATTGGGAAGAAAAGGTTTTTGCCAAGCCTGCGGAGTCGCGTTGACAACGCCCATGACTACCGGCAAGTCCCTCGAAGTGTCCGAGAGGCTGGCCCCCGCAGCAGACGCCCCGAGCACACCAAACACCGCCGGTGGGCCAATGACACAAAGCTGCAATGGCTTATTGGACGTACAACACTGCCCAGGTACTCATTTCCGTTCCTTCAAGCATCGATTTCAAGTGTCATGCCATACGATCGCGGCAAGTTCCTGAACGAAATAGACAAGACATACATCCTCCGGTGAATAATGTTGCAATACGATTTTTCATGCGCACAGAGCAATGTAGTACAGAGTACATGGAACTCACAATGCCTCTTAGACTCGGGCTGTGCTATCATGAGCGCAAACCCCAGCATACAAGAACTTCATAAAGTATTGGCCAAGTATGATTTCCCACCTTGTTTGGAGTGACAAGACATGTTTATATTGACATGATGCGTAAGTGATTCGCCAACTGCAGTAGCATCTTTAGGTGTGGCTGTTCTGCGTCGATATTAGGAGTGGCACGCCAAGACGGAGTTTCTGGCTTGGGAGTGACATTCGGCTTTCAACATGGCGAGGTGCGGGGACCGTTTGAACGCGAATCTGAAGAGAGCTAATAAATGCGGGTCGAAGGAAAGGATATGAGTCGTAAGCATTTCCTCAGGGTCCCTAAGTTGTTTTCTAGGGATCTTCAGGTCTCTCAAATCATCCAACCCTCAAGTGTTTCGCCATGAGATTCGGAGTGCTTGGCATGGGCTTCGCATCCAGGGTCGCCCTCATGGCGACCCTGGTCATCGCAATGAGCATCCTGTTTGTGCCCATCGTTGGCGCCCAACGCCCTATGGAGAAGCTCGGGCGTGGTGTGGTGGCAGTTCGCGCCAGCACCGTAAATGTTCTCGTCTCTTGGCGCCTCCTCGGGCTCGACCCATCCGGCATTGGCTTCAACGTGTACCGAGCAACGGGTAGCGGCTCAGCCACTAAGCTGAACGGCAATGTCTTGACGGCTGGGACCAACTATCTCGACACGACTGCAAATCTGGCACAATCCAACACTTACCACGTTCGGCCCGTCGTGGGCGGCGGAGAGCAGGCGGCGAGCGGTACTTTCACATTGCCGGCCAACAAAGCGGTTGAACCGGTGGTTCGGATCCCAATCAAGGCTGGAAACGCGATCAAGTATGTCTGGGTGGGCGATTTCGACGGTGATGGAGAGTATGACTTCCTGGTGGGACGGCAGGGCACTAGGCAGAAGCTGGAGGCCTACCGCAGCGACGGGACATTCCTCTGGGATGTCGACATGGGGCCGAATAGTGAGAACCAGGATAACATCGAGCCGGGATCCTCGGCACTCTACCTGGGTCACTGGGACGGTGTCACTGTCTACGACTTGGACAGTGACGGACGTGCCGAGGTGGCGGTTCGGATTGCCAACGGGGTACGGTTTGGTGACGGGAACACATTCTCCGCGTCTAACAACAATCATCAATTCATCGCCATTCTGGACGGTCGTACGGGCGCTCTGCGTGCGAGTGCTCAAGTCCCCACGGACTACTTGGCCGACGGACCGCTCGCAGCGCGATTCGGAGTGGGCTACCTGGATGGGACTCGGCCGCATCTGGTGGCGTATATGAAGAACCGGATCGGCTCCGGAGACTTCAACTTGATGATGACTGCTTGGACCTTTAGTGGCAGTTCTGTCAACATGGCATGGAAGTGGCTCCGAGGTAGCCAAAATGCCCCTGACGGGCACAATACCCGTATCATTGACGTGGACGGTGATGGCCGGGACGAGATCAGCGAGATTGGGTTCATGCTCAATGGGAACGGCACCGTCCGCTATCTTATGGGGCCGAAGGGCATCGTGCATGGTGACAGATTTCACATCGCCAAGATGGATCCCAGCCGTGCCGGACTGCAAGGCTACGGCGTGCAACAAGATAACCCAAGCGGCCTCCACGAATACTACTACGACGCCCGCACTGGTGAATTGATATGGCAGCACACTGGGGCCCTGGCCGATGTCGGTCGAGGCATGGCAGGTGACATAGATCCACGCAGCCCGGGGATGGAGGTCTGGTCCTTCGAAGGCATCTACAACGCTCGCACCAACCAACTCACCGAGACCAACACCACGCTGCGTCCATGGCCACACCTCGGGCTGTGGTGGGATGGCGATGTGTTGATGGAGCTTTACAACGACGGCAAGTTCGAGAAGTGGGACTGGTTGAACCCAAAGACGACGAACAGTCTGCCGAGACTGCTTAGGATCTCGGACTTTGGCGCTATCAATGCGGACGGTGTCAATCCGGCGTTCCACGGGGATATTCTGGGGGATTGGCGCGAGGAGGTCATTGTCACCAACTCGGATTACAGCCAACTTATCATCTTCACCACGGACCGTCCATCTGACGTCCGGCTGTATACTCTACCACATAACCCTGCCTATCGCAACTGCATGACGCTCAAGGGTTACGTGCAGTCTCACCACCTGGACTACTTCCTTGGTCAAGGGATGACTACTCCCCCGCAGCCAAATATTCGTTACGCGGGGGCTTAGTGTCAATGACTCGATGAGGAATATCCAAGTAGTCTGATAGGGAGGTTATCGGGGTTAGTAGATGTGAATCTATTTATATTGAATTTGCTATCTGCGCAATCCAGGCTGTTACCACCGGCCTGGCGTAGGAAAAATGCGCAAAGTAGGATACGTAGGGGTCCAGAAATCATGAGCACAATCTGTTTCCCAGAAAATTCGTGATGCAACAGAGATAGAGATACTAGTATGCCCTTCTCATCGAAACACCAGCTGAACCACATCATCCTTGTAAGTAAGGCTGAGAAGACCCACCACCGAGAAAATCAATGAAGTCAACACAGCCCCTATGACCCTTCTGCCTAGCAAGCTCCTTCGCACTTTGGCATTCCTTGGCACTGAATCCAAGAGGGAGGACGGCATTCCAGAGCTGGCAAAGAACATCGATGCAACCACTCTCAGCCGCCGCCTCAAAAGCCGTTCGACCCCCAACCTTCGACTTTGGCATGAAGAGATCAGCCCCGTTGTCGAGCAGGAGCCTGACTATCTTGAGACTCCCACTTTTCGCCGCCAGCTGCAAGGCTGTTCCTCCGTGTCTCTCGGCCGCTGCGTCATTGACCCTCGCCCCCTCCTTGAGGAGGAACTCCACCATGCTATAGCTGCCAATCTCACAGGCGGCTTGCAGTGGTGTTTGCTTGATTCCGCGGCGTGCAGGGCGATTGATCTCGGCACCGTGTTCAATGAGCACGCGGGCGACTTGGAGATTCTTCGACTCGATGGCGAGATGCAGCGGCGTCTTTCGGAACCAAATCAACCCAGAGACGGTGGCGTGTTTGTATTCATATACTATCAGATTAGCATTGGCGCCTCTGCGTAACAATTCGCGTATTAGATCATAGTTCTGTGCTTTGCGATGCTGGATGGCGACTCCTAAAACCCTGGATCTGTGACCGAAACTGATTACGCCTGAGACTTTCGATTGGAAACTCCTTGCAAACATCGGTCCCCAGCTATTCACATCTACCCCTGCCTCGAGTAAAGACTCCATCAAAGGACGACTATCGAGTTCGATGGCTCGAGCGAGGAGTTGATAACCAAACCCAGGGAGGCCGTGCGGATATTGTGTTTTGAACTCAGATAGAAGATATTCGTACCCCACTGGATCATGGCTCATGACATATAGGAAAGCACAGTTGTCAGCTGATGGGGCGCCTTTAGAAATCAACAATCGAGCAATTTCGTAGTCGCCGATCTCAATAGCTGCCCGGAGAGGCGTTATTCCAGTTGGGTCGCGCGGCTCCGCCTCAGGTTTAGCTCCAAGGTCTAAGATTTGGGAAACAAAGTTCTTGTTCCTGGTTTTGACAGCTGCACCCAGTGGTGTCGCCTTGATCCCAAGGTTGAGGTCCGCGCCCAATTGCAACAAATCCTTAATCAGGCCGATGTCACACCAGGCAGCTGCAGCTTCGAGTGCCGACTTGTTATTAGGATGAGAAATAGACATCAATGTAATGTCACATTCAAGCATAGAATCAACAACACGTTGGTTGAAACGCTCCAGCGCAAGGATAAATGGATCGCCGTGCATGCGACTGAGCTTGGACGCGTCCATGTCTGCTCCAGCATCTAAGAGCATAAGCGCGGCGTCTGTTTCCTCATTCCGGATGGCAACTGCTAAGGCGAGCGCCAAACGCGATCCCTCATTGTCATTACAAGCATGGTCGAGTACCATTCTCAGGTAGGAGATGTTGCCGACTTCAGCTGCAGCAACAACAGCCGCATGGAAATGATGCTTATCAGAGAGTCGAGTATGTGCTCCAAGCCTTTCGACAGTTCTGATCAGATGGTCATTCCTGGATCGAATCCCCTCCGCGAGAGGCGTCCTGATCGGGGTGATCACATAGTCGTGGCTGTGATGCTGAATGCCCGGCAATATTTGTCGATCGTACCCACACTCATCATATAAATCTGGGCAACATTCCGAATTACAATCCTGCCAAGATGTCACAGGGTCACCAACTCGAGCCCCCTGATTGAGAAGAAACTCGACCAGTTCGTCACTGGAAGCCCTGATGGCTGCGGCCAGACCCGATTGTAGTTGCGATGTATGCTGCACGAGAAACATGACAAGATCCACATTCGCTCGTCTTGCCGCGTGGCAAAGCAGTTTCTCAATCAGTATGGGGTTCTCTGATACGCATTTTCCGCAACCCTGTGACATGGAACAGTGGGCGAACAAAGCTCTGACCATCCCATTCACGTTGCTGTTCTCCAAATAATGGACGGCACTGACGAGGAGCCATTGGCTCTGGAAGCACATCTGATGTCTGCTTGCTGACAGACGTGAAAGTAGCTCCTCGGCGATTGCCGTGTGGCCAGGGCCTGGCCGCATGGCGTCCTCGAGTAAGTCGATGTGGACTTCAGCGCCGGAATCAAGGAGCAACTTCAAAAGACAGGGGTTGACGGGTTCTGGCTCCCCGGGAGGCGAAGGCTGAAACGGATATTGACTCCCGTTGTCCCATCGACCAAGCGCAAGTCCAAGGGCTCCATCGTGATTCGATGCGTGTGTTTTGTTCGGATCTGCTCCCGCTGCCAGAAGGGTCCGCACCAGTTCCGTGTTTCGGAACTTCGAAGCCAGCTCAATCGGTGTATAATCGTCCTCTTCATACCTACAAACGACATCATCTGGATTGATGGCGATTCTTGGATTATACTTGGTATGGTGAATGATCGTAGTGACGGCGTTGGCGTCGCTGCCTTCGACTGCTGCCCGGAAGAAGCTATCTGCCAGCGGCTTTGCGACGCAGGGCTCTCCGCCTTTGATGATATCGAACAACTGGATGCGGATGTCATGATGGTCTCTGATCAGCTGCATGATAGAGGCCCGGGGGATATCACGGAGGCCAGCGAAGTTGTTCTTGAACGAGTAAAGCAAGGTCCTGAATAGGTCTGAGCTTTGGAAGGAACCCTTGGTGCTCAACGTTGAGTCAGAGTTTACTGATGATGGCGTCACGTCTTCTGGTACCAGTGATTCCAAGCTCTCAATAGTCTCTTCCACGCCTGGTATCTCTGCTTCTGTGGGTGCACCCGTTGTGTAGGACGATGTCGATCTGCTGTGCTGGACCAAAGACGTTATCAAAGTTCTGGCCCCGTCCAAGCGACTCGTTGTGATAGTTTCATCTCTTCCGAGGACTATTTGTTGGTCACTTGATTCAGAATGCGACGCAGAGATGGAGTTCGCGGTGGGGCCGGGACAGATCGCTGAGAGCCGGGACTGGCCATGGAGGTTGCTGGAGCTGGATGCCAGGTTGGTGAAAGGACAATCATCCACATCGAAGATGGGAAGTGTAAGAATCTCGTCGAGGTTAATGATGGGGCTGAATGGCTCATAGCCTGAGAAGGCGTCAGGACACGAAAGAGCGAGGTCCACTGGTTGCTCGTAATGCGATAGAGATGGATCTGTGCCTAACGGTGGTGTCTTAGGTCGAGTTCTGACATCAAGACTCGCGTCTACCGCAATGTGACTGTTTTTCCGGAGTATCACAGAAGTCGAACTTGAAGTCTCAACCTCAGATTCGGTGCTTTTTGTCCACTCGCCAGAGTCATCCAGGAACTCGACATGGGCTTGACGAGAAGCTGGCAGAGAGCCACCTGGAAACTACTGAGTCAACTTGGCTGCGCTCGCTACACCGCAAACCCTTGGTCATCTCACCTTTGCAACCAGCGCCTTGAATTCCGATGCGGTCAGACCTATAGCGTCTCCGTGCTCTGTCAATCTTGTTCTTGTTAAGGACTGAGCCAGAGATAGTGATCCGCACATCGCTCTTAGTCTGTCGAAGTCGGTCATATTGTGCAATGAGAGCCACCCATTCACTGCTTTTGAGATTCTTGGTGAACCCCCATTTCTTGAACTGCAGCTCGTACTGAGAGGGGCTAGGGTCATGCGTTAAAAAGTGGATTCGACAGAATTAGAGGCAGCCCTAACCTGGCGGAAAACCCGTGTCTCTGTCGCATCAGCTCAACAACACCTGGCTCATTGCCATCCTTTTTCCTATTCAAGAGGGGGCGTTTGTCCTTGCAGTACATTTCCTTTATAACATCCTTGTGTCGTTCCCAGTCTCCTTCAGATACCGGCTCAAAGGACGCCATTTCGAACTGGGAAGACGGCTTGCTGCGGATTGGGGGTATTCCGAGATTATGCTGCCACAGGTTATGCTCACAATAAGTGTATGGTCTACAAACTGGAAAAAGTTGATGGAATCGGAGCGTAGGGATCATCAGTCGGGGGAATCGGAGGAGGGGGACTCCCGGGATTTATGCGTTGGGATCGAGACATGAAAACACCAAACGAGCATTTGTTAGTTCAACTTTGCCACATGCAGCCAGCCACGCCCGCCGCACATGCGCTCAATAGACTGGCCAGATAAACAACTACCCCTCCAACTTGATTATTGCCGTCAGCAATCCTGCACCTCATGGTCTGGCCATTCTGGGGTAGTGCAAGGTTGTGATTGGTAGCAATGTGGGCGTGAGGCAGAATCTGTTCGTGGCTGAGCCGTGCAACCACGACATCGAATCCATGACCGAACTCTGCGCCCAAAATCTGCGCCCAAAATCTGTGCCCAAAATCTGTGCCCAAAATCAATGCCAAGCCTGTAAGCGGACCAAGTGGTCAACATGTCCAATGCTACCCCGCTTTGCTGTTGTATTAGAAGGACAATCCAACACACACGATCGGAATAAGATCATCAATGTACCGTGACTAGGAATAATGCCATTTAAAGTGGTGTGGAATTGCATATTTCACTTGCAGGAAGGCTAGAAGAAACAACTATGAGCGGTTGTGTTTTCCACCAACCTATCAAAACCTATGCGTTGCTTTACCTACATCCAACCCTATTATAGTCTAGTCACCATAAAAGTCCCTAGAGACGAGCGGATGAAATTTTGACATTCAATAAATGCAACTATACCTACCCGGGGTCAGATATTCGCCGCCTTACGGCGTAGGGGGTAATCGAAGGTCTCACCACCGGGTAGCTCCGTAAGTGGGAGCCGAAGCCAGCGGGTAGTCTTAGACACTTCATTTGGGTTTTATTCCGCCGCGGCAGAAAGGTCGAGAATTCCAGGAAACATCCCTGACCACCGTATAATGCCTCTCGACTTCATAACCTCATCGTCAATCTCATAAAACACCCCATCTTGAACGCCTTCACGTTTCCACTCTTCGTACCACTCCGCCCATCCCTCACGTCTGCACGCTTCCTCCCACTCCACCCATTCTTGAGCAACCCCACTGCCAGATGCGAGCTCTCGGGCCTGCTCATACGATGCATAGCCGAGGGCCAGGGCGGTGACGCGATCAACCTCTGCCTGCACTATGCGAAGCGGCGCCAGAGTGCTAGCAATGTGCGCTTTCAAGCGTATCTCCGCTTGAGGGTGGGGACTCCATTCGGGGCAGCGAAAAACTTCCGGTAAAGCAAGGCACATTTCGTACGCTATCAAGGCAGATTCGATGCGCGGCGTTGTTCGTATGACCCATTCACGGTTTGGAAGATTTTCAAGTTCGGGGTGCCCTGCTTCAAATTCCAGACCAATTTCCGAACTCAAGACGATGGCTTCATATAGTTTAACCATACATTGGTTCAAGTACCGTTTGTCGTCTTCGGTTTTGCGCCGCGCCCATTCTACCGCATCCCATTTCCAGGTCATTTGTGTCCATCGATGTAAGACCTTGTGGAAAGGCAGGGTGAGCTCCTCAGGATTTATCGAGCCGATTCCACGAATCTGTTTGTGCAGGTGGTACACATCATTCAGTTCGGTCAGAAGCTCTATAGCATCCGTGTCAAACTGAGACGCGAAGTCCCTCGAAGCAGTTTCGGCGAGGACTCTGCACAATCCGACAGATGACCCCTGCAATGACAAGTTTCCACACTCACGCAGATATCTTCTGAAAGGCTGGAGGGCTCGCTCGTGCACCGTATGTCTCGTTAAGAAGGCAGGAGTTATCCCTCCCTCATGGAAGTTGCTGGTGAACGCCAGTGTCTGCCGGGGGTCATCTAGATCCAGTGGCGGCTTGATGGAGAAAGTTGTGTCTCCCATGATAGCACGGCAGAAGGTTGGAACGTCCCTTTCGCAGAGAACGAACACTAAAGGCCGCCGCGAAGTCATCCAATCTCCTTGTTGAGAACCATGTACTAGGTCATCTATCAGCGATTTATCCACTTTCTGACGCGTTCAGCCCGACTACGAGCCAGTCGGGGGAAGTTTTTATGGACCACCTATTTGTGAAAAGGACTTACGTTCATAACTCATCATACAGAGGTTGCTGTACTTCGCATCAATCAGACACAGCGCACATGAAGCGACACGGAGAGCAAGCTCGTCGCATGAGAAAGTGACCTTCAGAAGACGGCCGTGGCGCAGAAAAACCTCTTTGCCCTCGGAAAACATCTGGCGACTGGTCAAGAGAATGTTTGTCTCGACTTTATGCCTGGCATTGATTCGTCTCAGGATACGTTCGATGCGGTTGTCTCGAGTCGGCGGTCGGTGTCTTGACCAGGTGTGGGTCGTTACTTTTGAGCAATCCAGCTGCTCGCGCAAGCTGGGGGTCGGAAAGTCGAGCAGGACCTCGGCATTAATTTGATCCCGGATTTCGCGAGGGCATTGCAACAGACGGGAAGCTTGACCATCGCGTTTTTGTCTTTTGGCCATGATTGCACCAGTGTCGGAGATGCGCAAGGTGGCGGTATGGTAGTTCGCAAAGATTGAAAGTCCGTATCACGGAATGTAGGAATGGAAGGGTTGGTGTCCTGGGTCTTTAATTTACGGACCGGCCAATAGATGTCATTTTGGAGCAAGTTGATGTAGCGAATAACGCTTTGTGCGGCGGCTTGAGGACTGAACTGATGCTACTGCACTTATTATTAGTGTTACTAACCGAACTCGCTCGCCACAAGCCGGCGCCACAAGCAGAGGGAGGGTTAGTGTGTAGTAGTCAAAGTGGCCGCAGCAATTTTGGGCCGGTTGCAAATTGACATAGGCACCAAATTTGTGTCATATGAAATCCGGTATACGAGTTTGATCATGATTTACATCGCACATGCGCCGCATGACTGCTTTGCCGGCTTTCTAGTGAGCGACGCCGTCGGGAGCGATGCCTTCCAGCCTTGTCTGTACGGTAAGAGGCTTAGCCACGTGCCCACAGACGTACTGTATTCTATTTCCATTATTAATAGTATTAAACTTCTTTAAATGCTGGGTCTTAAGCGTTTATTACTGTATAAAGGCGCTATGTGTATTTGACATGTATGGGGATTAAAAACGAAACCACCCTTACATCGCACATGTGTAAAAGATGATGTGGTGTCATGGTGCATCACAGATTTTAATACCGGGTGGGGAGGCCCTACCAGGACCATAAAGGAGCTTCATCTAGGCGCGGGAGACTGCAAGTATCCTTATCACAAGTTTTGTGCGTGGGGGCGAAGACCTGGTTTCAAACGATATCGACTGACTTCAGGGATGGATTTTTCGCAGTCTGAGCTTTTCAGTGCATTTATAAAATCATCGTTCATCCATGAATGTGCTGTATTGCATCGGATTGTATTTCAGACAACCTGTAGGTATTATTCTGGGCATATACAGGCGCCGTGAAAGGAAAGTGCTGCTCACCATCGTCTTCTCCATTCCTCAATCGCTTATCCCATCCCCTGAGCAGAACCTTGAAGGATTACTCGATCTAATCTTTTCAACAGTTTGATATACATGGGTTCCCGTGCCGTCATGAAGCTCCAGGGGCCGACGTGGAGGACCGTAGACATTACGACAGCCAGCAAGCGCCCTCTGGTATTCTTCAAGGAGGCGGCGGTGGCCAGGGACCCTCATGGGAATGTTGAAAGGAGCCCGTAGCTCCCTGGCCTCTGGATTGAGGAGTTGCAGGCCGTGTGTGATTCCGTGCAGCATTTGCGGGACGTAGCTGTCGAGGTCCAACCCAGGGATTCCACCACAGAAACGGAACACATCCCGCTTTCGTATAATGAAAGTAGAATCGGGGTCCATATCCATCTCCTCAAAGCCACGATTGACGACTGAACAAGCATTAGTTATCTCAACTCTACCTACGGTTTTGAGGCTGTGCCGAAACCGAAACGCGCGTGGACCGCGCGGGCCACATTGCCAGATTTACTCACTGGTGTGTTCCAAGAGGCAGAATTCCCCGTACATTTTATGGAACATCGGAATCTTGTCGTTTCTTGCGGCTTCAAGGCGCAGGGCTTCGTTTTTCCAACCGTATGTGTTAACCTTTACAAGTTGTGCGCCGATTAGCACATTTCGTGCTTCCTCGAACAGTTGGCGGCTAGCTAGAAGAATGTTGGTAGGTATCTTGATGCCGTAGCCGTGGATGTCCACTAGGTGTTGATCGAGCAGTTCCCGGCTACCTAGAATCATTCCGGTAGGTATCTCGATACCATCGCCATAGATGTCCACTAGGCGTTGCTCCACGTCCCTGCGGTCGACCCTTCCTGGTTCAAAGAGTACGTACTCATACACAATATTACGGATCTCTATTGGCAGTTCCAGAAGTGGGAAGGGATCTTTTGTGACCTTTGAAACAATATTGAGGGGAGCCGTGGACACGAGATGTGGGTTCATGATGAAGTTTCTGTCATCGAGGCTGAGTGGAATGGTGTGGAAGGAGAGATTGACTGGCAGTGCCAAAGTTGAAATGGGACTGCGGGGTGCTGGCCTTCAAATAAATATCATGTGGCTTCAGGTAGCTCCAACCATCACTTGTCGAGTGGTTAGTACATGCCAGTGGTGGAAACTGGTGAGTTGACCGAAAGATTACTAGACACCGTCCGCTTCAATTAGTGGTTCACTACCCATGGAGTGATGTATGTCCTTTTACGTGTACAGAATAGAAGCGAAACCACCTAGTAATGGCCATAATAATTTGCTTTGGGTCATAAACACATGATTATAGCTTCGGGATACCTCAGTGAACTTTTGTTGCTCAAAACTTGGATCTGTTACTTGTTCTTACATCACAACCATGACAAATGGGGTGCAACATCTGGTGAGTGATCCAAATCCAAAGTACCACAGGATAGATACAATCTGATTCGGTAATCCATAATGCTCACAGAATCTTGAAGCAGAGGTCTTCATAAGTAGAACACAATAGACTATATTACTCACTCCTTAATAACGGGCTTGAACTTTCTCTGTAGAGGTAGGACCACATGTGCACTTCAATGAAAACATTGCCACCAGTGTTTGTAACGTCCTGGACATGATAATGTGATGTGTTAGAATGGAGGAATTGAGATTGTTTTGTAGAAGATAGCCTTATAAGATGGAATAACCAAGCCACTGTCTTTAGGTTTGTATCCATCCATAAAGGGTGCAACCATGAAGCTCCTTGTGGTGACTACGGCACAGATGGCTCGCCAATGATGATGATTGTTGTTGACCTTCACTTTGCAGCTCGAACAACAGAATCATGACAAAATCTAGCCAACAGTTACTGCTGTAAACCGCTTGACCTTGGGCACCCTCCAACCCTGCAAAGCCACAACGCGACTGCCAGCAGCCAGCCAGCCCCACTCACCACAACAACATTTGAGCCCTCCCAGTCTACAATTCTCACCAAGCACAACATTACAATCGCTAATCAAATCAACACCCATCCAGTACGCAGAGTCAATAAAACCATGGATCCATCAAAGGATTGCCTTGTACAGATCAGGCAGCTTCTCGACTCGATAGAGAAGGACAACCTCTCTCGAGACGACTCCAATCCAGTTGGTCGCACACAGCTTGAACAGGCTGCAGCGCCGATGCAGCACCATTCTGTGTCTTCTGGTGGATTCAAGAACCCCCAGAATGCTGAAGGCTGTGCGATTACTCTCAAGAGCCTGCCTGGTCGAGGCATCGGTGTTGTTGCGACGCGTTTGATCCCTGCTGGCAGCATCATTCTCCAGGAAGACGCGACCCTGACAGTCGCAATGCCGCAGCCCATAACACTGTAATTCTTGTCGGACCTTGTATCTCGATATGTTTCTTGCAGTGCTGAAGTGCGAAAGCAGGTGCTCGGCCTCCACGCATGCGACTGTCCAGACCTCAAGGCCAACGTGTTGAGCCTTCTCGCCACTGGGAGCGGCCAACCCCAGCTCACAGAGCAGCAAGTCGAGCTCATCGCCCATCTGAGTTCTGTCTTCATGACGAACATTTTCGACAACACGTTTGCTGAAGCATCTTCCCTGTATCTACAAGCCAGTCGCTTCAACCACTCCTGCCTCCCCAACTGCGACTACGAGCACACGACCGACTCTGACAAGCGCCGCATCACGATCGCAATTCGAACCAGTCGGGACATCCAGCCAGAAGAGGAGCTCTGCTTGACATACTTGAACTACTACGAAGAGCGGGGCAGGAGGTTGGCTGCTCTGAAGCAGAACTGGGGGTTCGTTTGCAATTGTCCAGCCTGCGATGTTGAAAATCCTGCGGTAGACACGGCAGCGCATGAGAAGATGCTGGCGGAATACAGACAGTTGAAGAAGGATCCAGAATCTCATGCTTTGTATTCTGGAGCCCCGACAAGGCTGTGGTTGGGAGAACTGGAAGAGGTCCTCGATCGATCAATTCGGCGGAGCCAGATTGCTGAGGTCTTTGGTGACAGCTACACCTGGACGATCAAGTATGTCCTCACCCCGATCCAATTTTCCACACTGGACACACTGACATGAGACTAACCTTCTTTCATTGATCTTACATAGTCATATCGTGTCAAGCATAGCTTGCAAGCAGATGTGGCTCTGGACAGGCAACCCCGAAGATTTCAAGAGCCATGTCAGGTTTTTGGAACAGGGACAGCTGCCGGCTGAGCGCATGGCACCATCACGCCAAGGCCGAGCACTGAAAGCGAGATTGGAGAAGGACCTGTCCGAAGCTCAGAAATTGAGGGGCACCAGGTGATTTGCGATGCTGGCAGACCTGGCACAGAACATTGGTGTGCCGGCATTGCTGGACATCCAACATTGAAGGGTGTTGCCATCATCGGAGTGAAGATGAGCAAACATTCTTGGCAACAGTGAGAGTCAAATTTTACAAGGCTCACAGGGTCGCTTCACTAGTAGCAGGAGGTGTTGTCATTTTTGTTGGGAAGAAATCGTGGGTGAAGGCACTGCGGGGTGTTTGTGGTGAAGCAGCTCTTGAGCTATGGATCGTGTCAGTGTACATACTAGTAGAGGGCACGGACCACCAAGCGTCAAAATCAGATTAGAAGCCATCCCGACCAATTTTTCTCATGGTCAAGGCCCGCCCTGAATGAAATTTTCTACTGTCAAAGAACTTTTATATTAAACTCACGACCGGTATCACCCAACTCACATCCACCATGGCCGTTCCCAGACCGTCCAATTATATCGTACCTACGAGTGAGGACAACAATGTCTCCCTCGTAATTTCTGAAGCAAGCTGTTCGGCCGAGGGGCTGTCCCTCGTAACTTGGAGCTCAGCCTTTCTCCTCTCCAAGGAGCTGTACAAGCTAGAAATCGACCGGTTACAACTGAAGAATCCCACCACTGGCTACTCTATTCTCGAGCTCGGCGCTGGCACCGGTCTCACTGGCATTGCTGCTGCCGCCGTTTGGGGGGGGAACGCCCTGCTCACAGACCTACCCACTATCGTCCCCGGGGTGCAAGTGAACGCAGACCTTAACAAGGAGGCCGTTGCAGCATACGGCGCGAAGGTGGGATGCGGAACCCTGGACTGGAAGAGCCCGGATAAGATTTTTATCCATGGGACATCGGGCGAGGCCGGACAGGCGACAATCGAGGTGAACGACGACACGGCGTTCCCCGTTATCGTCACGGCCGACACCATGTATACCGAAGACCACCCTCAGCTGGTGAGCCAGACGATCCTAAAATGCCTACGGAGGACGAAAGATGCCCGGGCTGTTGTCATGTATGCGATGCGGATCGCATACATCGACCATATCAGGGAGTTCTGGGAGCTGATGGAGGCCGGCGGCCTGGTTGCCGTGCAGGAGGGCCGGGCGGAAATCGACCTCAAGGACTGGGACGACGAGAAGCTTCACGAGTGGTGCGTGTGGAAGTGGAAAGACCTGTGAGGCTCGTCTCGTTGTTGCTTCTCCCGGGCCAAGATGCGCGACCGTCTGCACATGTGTCGAAACCGCCCGGAGCTCCGATTGTCGTCGGTGCGGAAGAATGCGGGACGGCGTTAAAGGGTCCCGAACTCGGCAGGATCCAAATCCCAGGTCGGGCGGCCGGAAGAGAGCTGATTAGCCGACGCAGCCCACAGTCCGTCATCGCAAACCGGCGGCTATGCGACATGAGATGATTTCTATGACACCAAAGTTCTTGCTTACCCCCACTCGAATTGGCATGACTGGAATCCATTCTCCTGGAAACGTTCCGCAATGGCCGCAGCTCCACGAGCAACTATCGCCATAGCGATCATTGGCTCGGGGTTGATAGGCCCGAGACACGCAAAAGCCGTGATACAAGACCACGATGCCGTGTTGCACTGCATAGTCGATCCGAGACCAGCAGGAGCTTCCGTCGCAAAAGAGCTGGGAACGACCCATTATCCCTCCATCTCACACATGCTCGCATCACCATCCGGAAAGCCTGACGCCGCCATAGTCTGCACGCCGAACAAGACCCACGTCACCCTCTCGAAAGAGCTCCTCTCCGCAGGCATCCACGTGCTGTGCGAGAAGCCACTGTCCGTCGACATACCCTCGGGGGAGTCCCTCGTAGCACACGCCAGGGCACACCCCACCCTACGCCTGCTCGCCGGCCACCACAGGCGATTCAACCCGTACGTGGTGGCGACGAAGCGAATACTGGAATCCAAGACCCATTCGATCGGAGAGATAACAGCAGTATCTGGCCTCTGGGCACTGTACAAACCGCCGTCCTACTTCGAGCCCCCGGCGGAATGGCGCCGCAGCGGCGAGAGCGGCGGGCCGGTCTGGATCAATCTCATCCACGAGATCGACATCCTCCACTTTTTGCTGGGCAGCAAGGTCGTGCGGGTTGCCGCTTTTGAAACACCCAGGCGGCGCGGTCATGATGCTGAGGAGGGGGGCGCCATAATCCTGCATTTTGAGAACGGCGTGGCCGGGACGTTCCTGCTCAGCGATGCTGTCGTGAGTCCACACGCATTTGAGATGGGCACCGGGGAGAATCCTGCGATCCCCAGGACGGGAAGGGATGTATATCGGATACTAGGTACGAATGGCACGTTCAGCGTGCCTGATTTGCGGCGAAGCTTTTACGACGTGGCCGATGGGGGAGAAAGGTCGTGGAACAACGAGCTCAGTGAAGAGACTGAGACACTGGATGCATGGCTGACCGAGGAAGAGAGGACCAAGGTGCCATTTGAGTTGCAGGTTGCGCATTTTGTCAGGGTCATCCGGGACGGCGAGAAGCCTTTGTGTACCGGGGAGGATGGCTTGGCCGCTGTGAGAGTTGCGGAAGCTGTCAGAGAGGCGATGCGAACAGGCCGGGTCGTCCATGTTCAAGGAGCAGGCAGATCTGGAGGCCTGGGAAAACTATGAGAATGAGAGATTGACCGAATCGATAATCACGCACCAAGTCAAAACCTCTGGTTTCTAATCGGCCATTCTCTTCGAACATCCGGCCATGCTTTCCACGTGTCCCATGCAAATCAGCACTCAGCCAATATTGATTGGTGGTAGCACTCACGGCGCTATATGGTGTGCGTATCAGTGGATACACGAGGAACTGATTGATATCTTGTAAAAAAAAAAAAAAAAAAAAAGGGAGATAAATAATTCCATCGATCACTTCTCGCCAGGCAGCAGAACGGCAGATGTATGTCAAGCGGTTCGCCTCGCAACTCTCCCCGGTTCGTAATATTTCAGGGTCTACTCAATGCATTTCTCGTCCGTCTGATACAGCAACAACAATGCGGCCACGATATTGACTTACTGAGATTGGGCTATTCTGTTTCGAGCTGGGAAGATTTCTACATCTTTAAACCAAAACGGTTGATTTATTCGGTTGCCGTTTATGGCATCCGTGCATAGTGCAGCGAACAAGCCCCGATACCGGCGCCTGTCTCCATAGCTCGCCAACCGTCAACGTCCTCAAACCATCTAATGAGTCTCAACTCGAATCAATCTTTTGCTGCTATCTTAGACACTCCTCGTTTGAATTGATTTTTACAGCATTTAAGGCGCCTCGTCGGACCCGAATATCAACTCCTTCTTGGTAACTGAGACCCGCCCTTCCAATTTTTTATCACACAACTTACGAACTACAAGTCAAAAATGGCCGCTACCCAGGAAAAGGCCATCTACACCCACGGCCACCATGCCAGTGTAGTAAACAGCCACGCCAGACGCACCGCGCAAGACAGCGCCGCCTTCCTCCTGCCGCACCTGAAACCACATCACACCATCCTGGACATTGGCTGCGGCCCAGGGACCATCACCGCAGACCTCGCCGAGCTCGTCCCTCAGGGAAAGGTCACCGGGGTAGATGCCGTCGAGGCAGTTCTCGAACGCGCGCGGGCGCACGTGGCAGGCCGCAGCAACATCACAAATTGCACTTTTGAGGTCGCAGATGCCAACGCCCTCCCCTACCCAGACGCCTCCTTCGACGTCGTCTTCTGTCACCAGGTCCTGCAGCACGTCCAGGACCCGGTTGGCGTCCTCAGGGAGATGAAGCGGGTGGCCAAGCCGGGAGGCATAGTTGCAGCCCGCGAGGCTGACTACAAGAGTTTTGCGTGGTTCCCTGAGCCACAGGGGCTTGATGAGTGGCTGGACGCTTACCGGAAGACCGCGAGGCTTTGTGGCGGCCAGCCTGATGCTGGTCGTTACGTCCGACAGGTGAGATCTCCCTCCATTGGAAGACATTGTCAGAGTTGACTGCTGACACAATTTGGCTATAGTGGGCGAAACAGGCTGGATGCAAGACAGATGAAGCGCACATGTCGAGCGGGTTCAGCTCTTGGTACTATACCGGGGAGGCAGCGAGGGTTTTTGGCGAGAGCTGGACGGACCGTGCCCTGAAGTCGGATTTTGCGAAGGAGTTCTTGAGGCATGATGTTGGCACACAGCAGGATTTGGACAGGATCAGTGCCGTGTGGAAGCAGTGGGCCGCCGAGGAGGACAATTTCATCGTGATACCAAACGGTGAAATCTTGTACAAGGTACCTGCCTAAGTTTTGGACGAATAAAATGGAGCAAACTAAAAGGTTGGAGGCGCTGTCCGAAGCTGCAAATTATCGGAGTCGATGATGGGATGATTGCGGCTGAACCGCGGGATTTCCAGCTGTGCATGTCATGAAACTCTATCATTTGATTCGCTTCCTCATGCACGCCCATCTCAAGTCGGCTTCTACTTGTGCGAGACGATTCGTTATGGAAATTTAGACTGCGCGCTAGCCTGCCTGGGCGCGAGGAGCTGAGTTCCGACCTAAAACGTTGAGAGGTTCGGCATGAAAGTAAAAGAGGCCAGGGGGAGAAGTTACATTCGAAATTGCAAGCCAACTTTATGCTGAAGAAGGGGCTGATCAGCCATATTCAGAGTTTAAACCCCCGGCCAGCAGTAACCTTGCCTGGCAAACTCAAACATGCCCTTTCTCCCTTATTTCTGTGATTAAAGCAAGCCATCCACCATCCAGCTCCCAAACCGCGTGTCCCGCCTCTTCTCTCACTTCGGCTCTCCACATTCGTTAGGTGCTTCTTCGCAATTTTGACGATGCATTCTTTGAACGCCGCTCTCCTGGCACTGCTCGCCATCCGCTGCAATGGCCAGCAGATGCCATCTGGGATCCTGGGTTTCAACTCGGGCGCCACCAAGGACAACAATGCCGCCAAGGCTCAGTCCGATTTCCAAGACGAGTTCACGACGGCCCAGGATCTCCGGGGGTCCCCGGGGCTCTTCAACAGCGTGCGGCTGTACACCATGATCCAAGCCGGCACCCAGACCGACCCCATCTCGGCTTTTCCTGCAGCCCTTGCAACCAACACCTCGATGCTGCTTGGCATTTGGTGCTCGGGCACTGAATCAATTGAGAAAGAACTGACTGCGATGCAAAAGGCCATCGACCAGCATGGTCAACAATTCGCCGACCTTGTCGTGGCCATCTCTGTTGGAAGCGAGGACCTCTACCGTGCCTCAGAATCCGGCGTACAGAACGATGCAGGAATAGGACAGGGACCAGACACAATCGTGAAGTTTATCCGCGATGTCCGTGCTGCCATCAATGGCACAATCCTCAGCGATAAGCCGGTTGGGCACGTCGACTCGTGGAGCGCGTGGGCGAACGAGAGCAACAGTGCCGTCGTCCAGGAGGTCGACTGGCTGGGGACCGACGTCTACCCTTACTACGAACGAGACAAGGGCAACGACTTCAGCAACGCCACGACCATCTTCGATTACATCTACGGACAATCTCTCAATGCCTCCCAGGGGAAGCCTGTCTGGGTGACCGAGACGGGCTACCCGGGCTCGGGCCCGGATTTTGGACAGGCCGTCGCCAGCGTATCCAACGCCGGTCAGTACTGGCAGGAGATTGGGTGCGACAGGCTCTTTGGACGGGTCAATACGTGGTGGTATACTCTGAGGGACTCCAATCCTGCGAACAAGGAGAAGTTTGCCATCACCGACGACTTGAGCTCCACGGCCAAGTTCAACCTCACTTGCGCTCCTGGCAGTGGAGCCCCTGTTGCCATTAATCTTCAGTCCTCGGCACCCTCGGTTTACTTTGACCATGTCCTTTTCATGTTATCTGTACTCACAATCGGTTTCTGGGTCGTTCTGTAGTTGTGGGGCATTTTTCCTTTTTTTCTAAGCCGTTAATATACTGGTGTAATAAGAGCTCCTGATTCATTACCTAGGTACCCGTTACTATTAGGCCATGTAGTCAACTTGCCACCCTGTCCATATTGATATTATTCCTTGCTCTCGGCAAGTCGCCCTGGGTTTTGATACCCGCCGGACTGTACTAGTATCAGTGATACCGCCAAATCAAAAGCAAATTGGGGAAGCTGGCCTGCCCTTATTTATAAGGTCCATGGCTTGGACATATCTCGACGACAAGAAGGAAAAGGAATGTCTTTTTTTGTCAAAGCTTTCTACAGTACGCCGCTTACACCCCCCCCCCCCCAACAACGCCTTTTCGGGACTCGTCGGTCAACTTGAAGTTCTCTGCGCCTGTATTTGCGCTTGAGTGAGACACGCCGCAATTCAGTGGAAGTCCATCCTGAACACAACCCCTCCGGCAGCCACGTAAACATGTTCCATGCTAGGCAGAACTGTCGGTGCCTCGCCAATGACTGCCTCTTCTTTTCCGATTGTCAAAATACCTTCATTCTTCAATCTTGCAACCTCATCCACACCCAACCGCTCTATGCTGAATGGAAGCTCTCGCCGTTGCTTCCCTCCCGCTGCTTGCAGATTTGGTCCAATGGAGTATTCAACTTGGACCACTAGAGACCTGGTAAAGAAGGTTTTCATCTGCATGGTATGAACAGTGTCCGAAACCTTCTGACCCGGTTTCAAATGATGGTATGCACCGAGTAAGTTGACGCTGTCCACGCAAGATTCAGTTGGTTGGAAAGACCGCTCATCTGAGTCCGAAGAAATAACAGCCTCATTGGAGGTGTCGCGTAGATCCTCATTCCCCAGCTCAGTGCCGTCGTGTGCCGAGTCTTCCGAATCCTTTTGTGGCGAGGTGTCGTGGTCGTATTTCGCTTCCTTTCCCACCTTGCCACATGATGAATGTTCCTGTTGAACAGACTCGCCTTGTAGACTGGGCCCCTCCACAGTCTTCTCAATTTGGTGCGACTGATTGACCGGGAAATACTGAGATGCGCGATCTGGCTTAATGCGAGCATTATATTCATGGGAGGTCTTTCCATCAGCGGATCTCATACTCGTCAAACTTGATGGAGGTCCGGAATTGGGGTTGGAATCCGTCTGGTCGACTTCTTTTGTATTTCCATCAACATCGCTCATAGTTTGGGTGCCTTCGATATGCGGCTCGGTCATTTCGACCTTGTCGTCGTTCTTCGGGACCGGCACGCTGACTGGCTCTGATGCTAGTGAAGGCAGCGTGATAAGTGTACTCTCGCTTGGTGCTGGGTAGGTTGTTCTTTCACCCCTCTCAAACAGTAGCGCGATACTATTTCTGATACAATTCTCTAGAACGCCGTTGAAACGCTCCTGGAGATCGAGCCCTGGACAGTCGGGCAGCCGCCACCCCGGATACAATTTCCCATGTGACCAAGGTGTTTGCATCTTGCCATGCACCTTGACTAGCAGGTCGCAGAGAAAACATGCTTTTTTGCAGGATGAGACAATCCTAGGCGGGAGGAGTTTGCTATTTTCCAGTTCCGCCTTCCTGGTGGTCTCGTAATGAGCGATCATTTGGACTTCAGCATGTACCTTTCCAGTCTCGTGAGTTTTGGCGGCTTGCTTGGTAAGGTCTTCGTCCGCCCGGTCCGGAGTCGTACCGAGCAAGCGGCAGATGGTGTTCATCCGTGATTGCTGCGTCATACGATTGCTCCTCTTCGGTGCTTTGACCCTCAATAGCATAGACGCTATATCAATACTGTATTCGGGTTTCAAAGGTGCGCGAGCCGATGCATCTCTCGGGAGATTTACAATCACCACTTGCATCCGTCGAGCAATCGGGAATTTCTTGCATGTTCGGATGAGGAACCGCGCAGCTTCTGCGTACCGAGCAACTTTCCTTATCATGTTCAATGTGCTTTTCTTGTTGTTGGCCTCGATTTGGTCATCCGATATCGTGTTTAGCATGGTCTCGCAATCTAGCCGGCGGAGACGAGCAATTGCGACAACCAGGTCCTCGGCCTGCTGCTCCCTCGGGTGGTTCGTATACGCGTCAATCAGGGACACAACTTCCTTCAGCCTTTGGACAAACACTTCTAGCTCTTTCTCTGACACCATTTCGCCATTTGACGATTCCATGAAGGCACTGCCATGTGATGGGAGAGCCTGAATGATGTTGTGAAATCTAGTCCTGGGATGCTGCTTCGTCTTCCTCCTCTCGATGGTCGTCAAGCGTAATCGGCTCAGAATCCGTTCCAAGCACATGGATATAATCAACCGGCGTATCTTATGTTCAATCTCTACGTGATGATTGTCTGTTTGGCACCGTTTGATTTAGCAGTTGACGGGGGATTAGCAGAAGGAGATATGAACTTGCTGTGGTCCATCGATCGAGCAAGCTCCCCGAAAATTCCCTCAAAACCTTGTCTTATTTTCTTCAGAGTATCGTCGCCATCATCGAATTCGGATTTGTTCACAGCCAGCAGTATGCGGAGTGATGGCTTTGCCGGCAAGGAATGATCCTCCCGAATGCAAACGGCAGGGATGTGGTCGGGGTCGTCCTCGATCTGGGATATGAAGGCGAGCGCGCTAGCGAGGCTACGTTCCCTGTCAAATGAAAGAATATAATTCTTGTGGTCGGTAGGCAGGGCTTCAACAGGCGCGACTGATGGGAGTGAAGGAACAGCGTCTTTCCGAAGTTCCCCGTCTCTTCCGCGATCAGCATGAAGGAAGTGAAACAGAGCGATGTTCTCGGCACAGGACAGAGAGGCGGGATTTCCCATGGTGTTGGATGGAACGAAAAAGCCAAGTAACCATTAGAGCGATATTCTCAAGATTTGTCGGCGCAAGCATTGCTTCTGTGTGACGGACGGGCATCTAGCAGCCTCAGCTTGTGGATATCACCAACCAGTCTGACGGTCATCGAGGCGTGTTGTGGCTCACTTCGAGACGTTCACTGGCCCGTTTGCCTGTCAAGTTGAGGGGAAATGTTGTGTAACCGACGCTTGTCTCATCTCAGATTCCATACTTAAGTATTGGTCCCGAGCTTATCTACCTACCTAACGTTTATGATGTCTATCGGCCACATTTTCGAATTACATGTGCAATCCATTGAAAGTATTCCCAATCACACTGCGACTGTAAGGCAGTCATAAGACTCATTCAAGACAGATAATGGTCCTACAACTTTGATCCAGGCTGTTGCGCGTCGCCACCGAATTTTCGGTTCATCCCGAGAACCAGTATCAGTTGTCGTGACAGACAAACAACCTCCATATCCTCGTTACAGATAGTCAGATGCGCATCCATCCTACCGTCAAGCAACGTCTTGGCTATTGCCCGGGTGAAGGTAAAGCGTAGACCCTCCTTCGGCAACCGACGCTTATACTCGATATCCAAGCTGAGCGTAATATTAACAGTAGCGACTTTCATGGTCTGAAGATTGTTAGAACATGATGCTCTCCATTCACATGTGCAATCAACCGACCTCAGCATTAGTATTCGAATCCATCACCAAAGGCACACCGGGATTCGCTTCAGCCCATAGCGCTGCTTTTCCATGGAACACACGGGCGTCGTACGGCCCACCAGTGCGTAGGAGCGTATCAGACAACGACGGCATGACCTCGGCCATCACAGGCATGTAGGTCTCATTCATTCGCTCGTCACCTATCCAGCCATTCCAGGCATCACAGACACCCTGATCTGGAAAGTCGTGGCAGGGGTTTAAGAAGAGCAAACGGCCGGTCATGGGCAGAAGCTCGCCGGTGTACATGGCTGGAATCCAGTTAGGGTCGGGCTTATGGGCGAGTACGGCATCGAAATCTGGCTTGGGTTTAGGAGGCGGTGAGAGTTTCCAGCTGTCGGTTTCTGGCGCTGTCGGTCCCAGAGGGATGTCAAAATTTGTTGAATTGGCCAGTGCAATTATTTTGACTTTGTCGTTCTGCCTGTGCACATCCGTGTGAGCGAGTAAAGAGAGGGTCACGCAATGACAATAACACTTGGCTTCGATATGGAAACTGAAAGGAGGGCGACGATTTCTTCCGACTAGAAGCCCAAAACGGGGGAAACAAAGCTCAGCCAGCAATGGTTCACGTACAGCAGCTGTAGTTGTAGTGTGCTCACGGTACTGCCGACCTTCAACGGCGTGACTTTGATGATGCTGTCATCGTGACCGCAGACACGAAGGAACTCGGCATGTAAACTTAAAACGTCCGGTTGGTTGACTTTGACTAGAGCAGGATCTGTTCTTAGAAATTCCTGTGCGGCGAGTTGAATGATAGAGACCATGCAACCGCCCAGGATGGCTGTAGTGATGGGAATGTATTGTCAGCTGACGGAGAAGAGGCGATGGTATCACGACGATACAAGTTTGAAAAATGGGCGGCTCACTTGGTCCAATGGCCCAATCACTGTGCCACCCAGCAGCGAATGTGTCGTTGGACAGCTGGCGTAAGCCAATTTGTTTTTCGAGAATGCTGCACATCTTTTACGGGATCATGTATATCGCAGAGTACGTGTAAACAAACGAAAGGGTGTCAAATGCAATGCTTGACTCCGCGTCCCTATCAATTTTCACCCGAATGTGGGCTTCTCCTGATACATAAGCATTGAGACACCGGGTACCGAGGCTACGAGTTGATCATCGGGACACGTCGCATGCTGTGCCGCAGTACCGTAGCACTTGAGGGTAGGATTCAAAGGACCTTGATTAAATGTTTAGCCAATCCCGCCGCCGAAGCCAATAGCCAAGCCGCTGTGCACACCCTGAGACCGCAGCTACCAGTTGACCCTAGGGTAGTATGTTGGTTGGACCAATGCGCTACTACATGTTGGTGATGTTCCTACCGAGCCATGTCACCTAATGCAGGCATGTCTGCTGTTTCAAGGCAACTGCAAGGGTCTCTACCTAGGTACTAGAGCTTGTATTCTTCAAGCCACCATGTTGTGACCCAGCAATCCAGTTCAACCTTTTGAACAACTCTTCCCTATGAAGCGTCCGTCCTCGGAATAACCCGAACCATCAACTTGGGCTTCTTCCACAGCTGCAGCAGCTTGCAGCGCTCCAGCCAGTCGTTGGCATCAGCGTCCTTCAACTCCCAATTAAATGCGTAAACCATCTTGGCAAGCGTAACACGCATCTCCAGCCATGCAATGTTGACTCCAATACACATCCTCGGCCCAATGATAAATGGGGCCGAATAGGGTCTTGTCCTGCCCGGATCGGTCCAGCGCGAGGGCTCAAATACCTCGGGCTCACCATCTACATTGCGCGGATCACGCGTGAAAGACCATATATCAGCGGATACATACACTCCCTTGGGTACGTAGACGCCGTCGACCATTTCACCAGGGCTAACACGGGGTGGGCCAACAGGCGAAGGCGGCATGATGCGCATTGTCTCCTCAAGCACGGCATTAAGATATGGAAGCTGGGCAACGGCATCGCCCGTGATGTCATCGTAGCGTAGAAATCCGCTGCGCACCTCGTTCTGCAGCCGGGAAAGGCAGTGAGCGTAGGCTGGCCGGGACAGAAACCAGAGTGTGGCGGCGAGGGCGGTTGCGCTGGTTTCAGCGCCGGCTGTGAGGAAGCTGCCAATCAATATAGTCGTCAGCCGAAATGGCATATTTTGATGAGAGCGGGTGGATTCACAACTGCACTTACACGAATGCCTGTTGGGCGAGCTGCGTCTCGTCGAGACTGCCGATCGCCGGCGCGAGGAAGTCCTCGACGCCATGCTCGTTGCCCATCTTGATCCTGGCCCTCGTCTTCTCAAGCGTCAGTGACCCATGCTTCCCCATGTCCTCGATAGCATCTGCAGCACCTTGGGAAAAACGTGGCGCCCAGCGCATTATCGGGCCCAAGATGGCAATCCGTTTGGCAAGTAGGCCAATGGTACCTCCGTACGTCGCGCCGTGCAGAAGTGAGACCCAGTAGTTTGGCTGAGCGCTCTTCACAGCACCAAATGACTCCCCGAAGGCAAGCTGGCCGATGATGTCGAAAGCGAGCCATTCGAACCATGATGTCGCGTCAATGCCAGCTTCCCCCAGGGACCTAAGCTGAGACACGAAGAGGTCCACGTGTTCCTGCACCACGTGTTCCTGCGAGCGCACCGCAGATGCCCGGAATGACGGGGCAAATAGTTTGTACTGTTTCGCGTGCTCCTCTGGGTCCATCTCAAACACCATGCTCTGGATGCCGGTGTCATAAAACAGGTCAGATTTTGGGAATAGCTTCCTGGTCTTGGAAGGGGGCCCGTATATGTCTTTGAACGCCTGCACGGACGCGAATGACAACTCGTTGGGCGCAATCCGTATGACGTCCCCTGCAACAAACTCTTTAGCTGGTGGTCATAAACTATTCGGACCGCAGGTTGTACCAACCATATTTTCGATGAGCTTCGCTGATCCTTAAATGCCATCTCCCTCCAGTCCAACTTCTCGCATACCAAAGCTATGCCGTGTGGTTAGCTACAAGCTCCCAGAAATATTGTGTGCGTTTCACGGCTTACTTCAGTACATGCAGCGAGTTTCGGCCCCGGATACTTGGAAAGTGGGTGAAACCAAAGTAGGTACGCATACCGAGCCTGGAGATTCTGTTAGAGGAATCCATCAGATCTTCTTGGTTTACGTACCACCACAATGGCAGCCAATGCCAATAAAGGGGCCCACCAAATCGAGAAACCAAACATGATAAGCAGCTGGAAATACTGGCCAAATTCAGAGGGTCAGAAAAGCAGTCCAGGGGCATTCAGTGCACAAGTTGAATCTCGGAAGTACTAGTGAGACACGATTCAAGTCAGGTATGGCGGAGAAGAATCAGGATGGGACGATTAAAATATCGAAAGTACTCGCTAAGGACGGTCTTCTTGCGCTCTGAACGAGGAAATAATTGTTATGCATCACAAAAAAATGGGGAGACGAGAGGGGCATACATATTGAGATCCACTCTGATATGTGTGCGCTCGGCCGTTGGAGGTTGCACTGCACCTGTTGGTGTCACCGGCCTCAATGCAGCGATCAAGGCAGGCAGGCAGGACAAGCTGCACGGCCCATATATAATATCACAAGATCCAATAAGCGCTGGTAGATTGTGGAATCGTCTGATAGCCAGGTTGTGTTACCTTGCCAATGAGTTGAGGGTCTGCCGACATGCCTCTCGTCACATATCAGTCTGCTACCTAGGTAGTGTTGGTCCGGAAATGTCGGTCCGGAAGGTTTGAAACCTCAATATGGGGCGTCCGGAAACCAACAGCATATTCAGAGCCCTCTCATTACATGCATGAGCGGGACTTTTGATCTGATGTGGATCTTAACTTTCAGTAATCAGCACCAACAGCGTGACAAGCACCTCAACAGAATATGTGCCCCGGGCCAGCACGCATAGGCTATTAGACAGGACTGTTCAGTTATGGTCGAACAAGTAGACTGCATCGACGTCACCGTTTATAAAGCAGCAATATCCTCAGTCCTTTTGCTACTGTGGTGACCTCTGAAGATCTGTCCCCATGGAAGAAAGGCAACTACCGACTTTGGGATGTCTCGCGCCGCTGTGCCACCATCGACTGGTCGGAAGATTCCAGCTCGCACACAAAAGCAGTCGTTCGGGCTTCTGAGATACTACACGTTCTTTTTTAGACGTATTTGATTAGAATTTCATTTTAGGTGCCTTTCCCTAGTTCCTTTTTCTTTTCGTTTTCAATGATCCTACACCAAATCTCCTGAGATGGCAACCAACCGAGAGACTCCTGTCTACATGGCATCACCACCAGATGGTAGACCGCGATTCGACGGAAGTGCAAACCGAAAATTCGAAATGGGCCTCGCGAGTGTAGTCATGACATTCATAGTGTTTGCGGTGGTAGCACTTCGTGTCCTGACAAGGAAATACGTGGTTAAAATGCGGTTGCGGGTAGACGACTGTGGGTTCCGCTAGAAACCTTGGAGCCCCGGCACATTGAACTAACCATTGGTATTCCAGACTTTGCGATTGCTGCACTAATTGCGACGATTCTCTTGACTGTCACCAATGCAATACGTATGCCACCGACTCCTGGGATCTACAAGTATCGCGATCACTGATGTGTATCAAACAGAGCGAAATCTCGGGATCGGGTTGCACAGTAAATACCTCCCCGAACCAGAGAACAACTCCTTGCCGATATTTAAAATTGCTAACCCAAGCCTAGTTTGGAATGTTTTATATGACGATTTCGCGCGAGGCTTACAAGTTGTGAGTTGCGCAGTTTCGCGCAGTTTGAGGAGCTATAAGCTGACTTTGTTCAGTGGACCATCGTCTCCACATCATTCTACTGCCTTGCCATTACATTTGCAAAACTCAGTCTACTCCTTTTGTATCTTCAACTCTCGCCAGTCGAATCGTTCCGCATCGCGGTTTGGTTCCTCATTGTCTTCGTATCCGGATACTCACTGGCATACATTTTGATCATGATCTTTCGATGTTTTCCTCTTGCTGCCGCATGGGACATGACAATTGTTGGTGCAAGATGCTATAACCAGGTCACCGTGATGCTGGTTTTGAGCATTTCAAATATTTTGGTGGATGCAGCGCTTTTTATCCTGCCACTCCCCATCCTGCTGCCTCTACAGATGAAGACCCGGCGAAAGATATCTCTGATACTTCTCTTTGCGACTGGAGGACTGTAAGTCAACACAATAGCCGGATACCAAACCGCGCAAAATTATCTGTGAGCTAACTTCAATCCGGTAGTGGATGTGCGGCGGCTATTATTAGGACAATCATAATGTTCACAGGAACCATGAGCTCGCCTGATTATACATGGGACGTTATACCCACATACTACTGGTGCTACGTCGAGGTTGGCGCAGGCATAGTATGCTCATCTGTCCCAGCACTTCGGCCGTTGGCCAGTCGGTACATGCGGTCCGTGTTGACGAGGAGCCGTGGTGCGGTCGTCGGGTCAGAAGAGAATGCTCCAGAGATGCCGTACTCGAGCGTCCTCAGCATGAATAGGAAACGCCGGGCTACGCGTGACGAGCTTCATGAACTCAATATCCAAGATGGTATCTCGATCTTACACAGCTCAAAACAGGAGGTAACCGTGGTTCGGGATGACGAGGAAAGGCTTTGGCCCACCGGGGAGTCTCGCAAGGAGCTGGAGCTACATCCGCAATCTACGTACGCCTCAAGCAACGGTGCACTTGGGACGGATGATGGTAGTTCGAGCACTTTGGGTGTGGGTGGAGCGTTTGACAAGTAGTGAGCCCTGAAATTACTCGGTACCAACGTTACTAGGTACCGTGAAGCTCAGATTACGACGCCAGATACTAGTATATAACATGATCTCACATAGATCGTGAAACCAACGAGATGAATATCTAGATTCACTTTCTTTTCACACATGTTTGTCATCATACTAACACCTTCATCAAGTAGTAAACACATAAGACCAAGAGTTTAAACAGCGTATACTACTAATAAGAAACAAAAGAACATAATGGAAGTTATTAGAGGTTAAGTAGAGCCTGCTCTATTACTAATTACTGGATTGGGTATGTGGTGTGGACCTTAGGAGATAGGGAGTATGTATAATAAGAACCTAAGCTAAGCCCCTAGAGCGCTTACCACCTTATAAAGGCGCTATATATATCCTAAGTACTATATTTAAGTAACATTTATCCTTATAGCTTATATAACATTTTAATATAATATTTAAATATTACACTACCTTTTTCTATATTTAAATATATTTTTAAACTTTAATTACTAACTTTAATACTAACTACTAACTTTAACGCTAACTATTAACTTTATTTATTAACTTTTAAAGGGTTTCTTTTTAACCTCCTTTAGCCCTATTATACTTAAATATATAAAAAGTTACATAATATTTAAATTTATAAAAAAGTAAGTTAATAATTTAAAATATAATTAAATAATTAAATATTATATTAAAATATTATGAAAGCTATAGGGATAAATGTTACTTAACCACATCCCCTCTATGTCCTCGGACGTATACGGAATAGAAGCGAAACCACATATGCCTCTGTGTAATATATTGCACTCAAATGCTGGCTTCCACAGACGCCGTGTGTCAGGACTGACGTGACAGGTTGACCTAATTGATATGAACATTGGGTCACATATTGCTGCTGCCATTGGGGCAGATTTGAGAGTGATTTGGGTTGCTTCCACCATGTTGGCGACTTCTGCAAAGCCAGTACGTCGTGGATTGTCAGTTGACCCGCGGTCTACTCTGTGCATAATTGCTTCCTCACAGGGGAATGCCGCTCTGTACAGTGAACATAATGCATGTTGTAGCATTTGGACAGTAAGCTCGACCTCATGGCGGTAGCGCTCCACTACATGAAAAGCCAGTCGCCGCATTCCGGAGCGCCGATTCAAGCTATTTACTTGGCAAGAAACCCTCAAGCGTTGTCGATGCTGGACATCTTGTCGAGGCTGACACATAACAACAAGGGTCGCTTTTTTTTGCCTGCTTGGCATCGGCAAATGGTTTATCTAGACTACTTGGCGTTTATTCCTTATCTCCACAGAAGAGTACGTATCAATTGTTGCTTTTATAGCCGACCGGGCCGGACGGAAACGCGCATGGTTTCCTTCACCGAAAACATTGCCGTATCTTTTGATCCTGTTTACATGAGATAATAATCTTATTAGATAATTTTTTTTTCTTCCTAGAGCAGTCATAAAGTTTCAACGTTTGACAATATCAATCTACTTTGTGACTCTGATCGAGGTCAGGAAAGGCGATGCCGGCCCTTTTCCCTTGGCAATGGTCCTAGAAAGTAAATTTCCGAAGGCCACCCCATAGACAGGGGGAAGCAGGCGCGTCTATAAGGAAGCCTCCTCCATAAACAACATCTCGGGACTCTTTATTATTGGTAATTCAAACCTCTACAGAATCAGCCATGCGATCCTTACTCAATCTGCTTCCCTTGCTAGGGGGCTTTTATTCTCTGACAGAGGCGAAGCCACTGGATCGGCCTCTTGTGACATTCCTCTCTCCTTCACAGATCAGCGCAGGAAGCGCTCACAACGTTATTATCGCGTACGAAACCAATGCCGACGGCGAACTTACTATCACTTACGGCTCATGCGATGGTGCTGCTGTTGTCTCGGATGCAAAGCAGCTTGTCGGTACAACTCATGTCGGTGGCCATCCCCTAGCCGCACGACATGTAGACCATGAAGGCAGGCGACCAACCAAGTTCGTCTGGTTGACTCCCACTGACACGACTGGTGGATGTCTTCATGCCTTCCTCGACGGTGAGCTGGTGGGGCAATCCGAGGATCTTCCAGTTGCCAAGCGCGTGGCTCGACGAAGTGCAAAAAGGTCGTTCGTGGAAGTGGCAGGAGACGACAGCATGTGGTTCAACGGTGTGGCCTATTTGGAACAGAAAGAGCCTGATGGATCATTTGTCGCCGCCGCAAAGAACAAGTCTTTTGGTATCCTCGGTGCTGGCATGTCTGGACTAATGTCTTCTGTGAGCCTTAAGTTGCCGGTTCTCATTGATCTCTATGTGCTTGGACTAACTATTACGATCGCAGTTGCTGCTGGACTCTGTCGGTATCCACAACTGGAAGATCTTGGAGTCGTCTGATCGTCTTGGCGGCCGCTTCAGGACTGTCTATCTCAACGGCACCTCCCCTGAGGAAGGCCAGTATCACGAGCTTGGGCCTATGCGTTTTCCGGTCGAGATCACAGACTCTGAGACCAATGAGACGTTTCCATTTAATGATCAACGCATCATTTTCCAGCTGGCTGATGTACTCAACGAGCTCAACAGCGGGAATGAGTCGGTGCAAGTCAAATTTTGGGATTGGATTCAGAGCTCTCCCAACACCCCTGTTGATTCTCCATTCCGACGGTCTGACGGTACCTTCCCCGGAAAGACAGAGGTAGCAACCGACCCGGCCTACTTCAACCCTACTGTCTATCATAACGCCACTGCTGCAGCAGAAGCCATCAATGCTCTGGACAGTTTTAAAGGCCTCGACGCGGAACGAATTCGCTTGTTCGCCACCAACATTTTTGCAGCCTACAAGCAAGCTAAGGAGGACGGCATGTTCGACTACTCGGAAGTTTCCTACCTGCGAGATGTCATTAAAACCGACGTCAACACCACTGACGAGGTTGCACTATCTCATATTTACTGGCCCATGTGGGAATACGAAACTGTCTACTTCCTGGCCAGCAGGTGGCTTACTGTTCAAGGCGGTCTCAGCAGGCTCCCAGCTGCCTTCGAGCCTCTGATGAAGGGAAGAGTCCAGTACGGCGCCAAGGTAAACGGTTTACACTACAACGAAAACAACACTGTGTCTGTCTCTTGGAAACCTACCGGAGCTGAGCCCTTCGAGACTACTGACAGGGTTGAGAACTTCGACTACGTACTAAACAGTGTCCCGCTTAACTTGTTAAAGTTCTGGGATCTGCCCCCATACTCAAGCTTGTTGAAGCGAGCTGTTGATCGAACGCTATTCGCCAACGCTGTTAAGGTCGCTATTCAGTTCAAGACTCGGTTCTGGGAACACCTTGAGCGGCCCATTTTTGGCGGTTGCACCCGCATCACCAAGCCGCAGCTCGGCCAGGTCTGCTACCCCTCGTGGGATTTCAATGCTACTGGACCAGGCACAATGCTTGCATCGTACCTCTCCGACTACGAGGCGACCGTTGCTTGTGCCATGTCGGAACAGGAGCACCTTGCTTATATCAAACGGGCTCTTATTCAAGTTCACGGCGATGTTGTGGAAGAAAATTGGACGGGCATCTCCGCTCGGCACTGCTGGGAACAGGACGAACATCATGCTGGTGCCTTTACGATGCAGATATTCTCACAGCAAGATCTGTACCTTCCCGCTTTCTATGAGACTCAATTCAACACCATCTTTATCGGCGAGGCGGCTACCTTTACGCATACGTGGACTTTTAGTGCTCTCGAGAGTGCTCTCAGGGGAACTGTTCAGCTGCTTCTAGATATGGGCCTAGTGGATGAAGCCAAACAAATCACCAACACCTGGATGGCGCGTTTCATTGACATCTAGACTAGGAGCGATGTCAATTGCAGGTCAAGGATGCAGTCGTTTTGCCCGTCCCACCTAGGCATCATCGAATCATGCTTGGGCCGCAGCCGAAACAGAATTCTACATCTATGCCATTCAATGCATAAAGTAGTCCCCTGTAGATTAGCATATTATAATATTTAGTATTACTCAATTAGTGAATCTTTAAGGATTGACCTGGAATGAGTATATTTGGGTGTGAGGAAATGCCAGTCATGATGCCAATATGCTGCCTACGTCAAAAATCCTTTCGACCCATCTCTTGCTGTGTTCACCAAGGTACTAGGTACAAACGCAACACCAACTCTGTTATATACCTGCACTCCAAAATCTACCCTCGATGACTCGGCGGATACTAGCAATACGGCCAGACTTGTCCGAACATCATCTTGAGGACCCTCCGAGGGCTCCATGAGCCTACCCAACACCACACATTTGGTCGGTTTTCGAGAGCTCGCTCCATCAGTCACATCCAGTATGATTCGGGGCACCTGAACCATCAAGGAAGAAGACGGCTCTAGATCCCTGACAATGACAGTCATCATGCTAGTCTTCGGAGGATCGTTACCGCTGTACCACCTCTTCGGACCACTACCTGTCCAGGGCGGTTGGAGATCGTGTTTGAAGCTGGCCCAGTCCATCTTGCGGAAGGGCAGATCGAGGTATTCAATCTGGCCTTCATATGTCATCCATGACCACGTCGGTGGCGCGGCGCCGTCAAACTCGATTTTCTTCATCGACACGCATTCAGAAGCGCGACGCCAGAGCATGCTTCTCCTGAGGATGCCGAGGTTGTTTTCATCGTGCAGGGCTCCGAAGCCACCAGTGAAAGCAAAGCTCTCCACGAGTCGTTTCTCCAGTCCAGATATTGCAAAAGGGCGGTCGGTCTGCCTAGTGAGAGCAAGGCGGGAGTACCTCATGCACAGATCCTGATGCAGCAGGATTTTGCCCCCGCGGGACGACTCCATGGCGACGGTCGGAAAATTCGGGTCGCCCAGAAACGACGCGAGTGTACTGCAGGCAATAGCATTAGAGCCGAGTGTTCAATACTGACAGACCTCACCGGGTCTCTAGGGCTAGGCTAATTCACTCACTTGTGCATTTTTGTCATGGTCTCGGCCCAGACGCCTTTGCCACATTCGAAATATGTCTGCGTGTCGGTGAAATAAATGGTTCTTCGCGCCAGTGCCCTTTCTTGCAAAACCCAGCCACGACCATTGAGATTGCTCTCTAGAACGTCCCGATTGAAGTCATCAATAAATTCAGACACAAACACTGGCGGCTTGTTTTCTTGCTGAAACGAGATGCTTTGTCTCTGGGAACGTTGCTTGAGGAAGCCATCATCCTGCCCCGTGGACGAGCTTGCTGCCAAGACACAGTATGCATTGCTGAAGACATCTTCCATACGGGTAGACTCCTCCTTGAAATCGCCGTCTTTGCCTTGAATGATGCATATGGAATCGATCCACAGGTACTCCAATCCCAAGGCTCTGGTGATTGTGACTGCGTGTCGGAATGTACGGGGCAGACTATCAAATTCCATACCCGTGGTGTGGCGCGAGATATTGGATCGGAGAGTGCGGAAATGCGGAGGATCTCCCCATGGATGCGATAGAGCAGTATATGACATACTGTCCGTAGATTTTGTACCAATTAGTCTGAGTTCCGGTGTGTCCTGGTTTCCAACATGAATAAGTCTGGTTGGAAGCGACCTGTTCTGGTTCTTGCCACAGGCAGCGTGATTCAAGTCGCAGTCCGTCAGCCATTGCCGGATGAGCTTGATGTGAGCGGCTCCACCAGGTTGCGGAAGTTGAGGAAGGCCTCCTTGAAGGTGGCCTTCGAAATTCTTGACTTTCTGTACCAGGCCTAGGAACGTAGTCAGCAACCAATCAGTGGTGTAATTTTGTAACAATGAGAGCATACTGGGGCCTTCATTGAGTGTCAATATGGGTGGGTACCCTTCGTTGAGTCTCAGGTGCGACCCGCTTCTGTCGAAGTAGATCTTCTGGTCACGACCCTGAATGACTCCGTTGCATTTCCCCCATAGCATGCTGCAGAAGTCGCAGCTCCTTGATCGAGCCTCAAGTTCTCTTGTGTTATCGTGGATCTGGAACTTTTCATGCCAAAGATCCAGTTTCATGCACCGTGTACACAGAATGGCGGGCGAGTATGGTCTGACAACCGCCTCAGCCCACAGAGTCGGATCCAAGAAGAGGGTGTGAACGAGAGAATTGTCAATCGTGAACTCCCAGGTGTTGTGGAGCTGTGGTAGAGGCATTAACCCTGCGACGCATCTATAATATCATCATCATGACTCACAGGCTACAGCTCAAATAGTCAGTCGGCAATTCAACCTAATTCAACCTGTATCGTAATGAATATTGCCCACTTACTTCCTGCATATTTTCGTTTAGCTAGTGAGCTGTCATGAAAATCATTCAAATACGTACATGCTGTCAATAGCTTCAGTAATCTGTGCAAATTTGTTTCAATGACAAGGGGCATGGGTACATACTGTCTATTTGCTGGTGAGACAATGCTATATATTAGTTGTGTGAAGTAGTGCTGGGCTATTTGCTCACATACTGAAGCCCACATAAGAGTCAGTGGTTGCTTCTCGCAGTGTGGGCAGAATGATTTGTACATACGGTTTGTAACTATTGCAAATGCGCATTCTCATGATCAGCAAGACTTTCCGCTGACGTACAATTTTGCTTCGGAAGCTTTTCGGCTCACTGTTGCCTACTGCCGCTTCTAATACTTCGTTGACAGGGAACAGAAAAAGAGAACAGGACCAAGGATGAAGTTTCTACCAAATATTTTAAGTAGTACCGCGCAACCTCACCTGATGTTCCTGCTGCCTTGATGTTGCAGGGCCGGATGCTTGTTGTACGATGGATGGTCCCGACAATTCGCTTCGCGGCCTCCCTGTAAACCAGTAAGCCTCGTTGTCTTTACCCTTGTCACAGATTTCTTCCAAATCAGAACATAATTTCTCAGCCTTAGCGCGTTTCCGCCCGTCATTTGGAGCTGAAACCGAGCCACCAGACAAAATATTAGATGGCCTGTTGTCTGGTAGGTTGACAACCAGAAGTCTGTCTGTTACGATCCTCAACAGGTCTTTGGTGGCTGTCGTCCGCTGGCACTCTGGGTCATTCTGAATGCGTGAGATACAGTCCAATACAACCTTGCGTAGCTGAGCCTGTGTCTTGCCCGTTTCAGGAACGAACTCCCAGTAGGGAAATCTCTGCCCTGTATCACCATTCAGGCTTTGGATGAAGTTGCTTAAAGCGGTCGGTCCGTACAGAAGCCAGACAAGCAGCTCCAGTATTATGCAACCCATAGACCAGCAGTCATATTGACGAGAGCGACCTGCATTCGGTAAGGTATAAACCTCGGGCGGCTCATAGGATGGGGTGGCGTTGAGAGTACTAGTAGGGCCTCGGTCCTGCGTTGCTGCAACATGATGCTTTGCTAGGCCCATATCTGCAATCTTCCATACCCCAACCTTTGTGGCATCCTTAAATATCAGGATGTTTTCAGGTTTCAAATCTCCATGTCGGTAGGATCCTTGGTTCTGGCCTGGGACGGCAAGAAGTCCGGGCTGGGCTGAAGACCCGTCTTTTTGATAGGTATGTAGCGCCGATAGAGCGGAGAACAACCCTCCCAGCTGCCCTGTGACCTCTTCGACTAGTCTTGCCGTCACATTGGGCCACAGATCTCCCTTGTAGAGGTCTCGCAGGCTCCCTCCGTCTGCCCACTGGAACATGAAATAGTGCCGCGGCCCTTTCGTGAAAATGCTTTTCACTGTGACAATGTGCTTATGTTTCAGACGACTAGTATCCTCAAGCGCCTGGGCCTCAGCCTCCCACGCCTTGAAGACCTTCTTGGCTTTGTCGTCTTTGCCACCTTTTTCACCACTGGCCGCTGACGCTTTCAATTCTTTGATAGCAGCATTCGCCAAGAGTCCATTATGCTGTGAATTCTCAGTCAGCCATACGGATGATACAAATTTCCAATGAAATTTATCACCTTTCTCATTGGGTCTTCTTGGTGAGATTTGAGGATGGTGACTTGGTAAACATCCCCGAACGTGCCCTCCTTTCTCACCGGGTCGACGTATGTGAATGGTAGGATGATCTCCGTTCCAAAATGGAACCTTGTGAACACTTTTGGAAACACGGGAACCAAAACTTTCCACTGATCGCTCCGAAAATTTCTCCTACTCAGCAGATCCCATTGGTAGAAACAGGGTGGGAATTGATTTTCAGCCTCGATAACGGGCAAGTCGTCGTCTCCGAACTGGTGTGTTTTGAAAGCCTCCATTGCTGCCCGTAGACCACACGATGGATTGTTCAGAATGCTGATTATTAGAAGCTTCTTGGCTGATGCAGCGACGTAGTTAACGAGAGCTTGGTCAACCTCTCTTTTGCTTGGGGTCAATCGTTCTGCGGGGTTGATGGGGAAGAGTTCATTCGCGACGGAAGCCGGAGTGACGAGAGTATCGACAGTGCCGTTAGGTATGAAGTGAATATTGGTTGAATCAGGAAATACTGAAAATTGGAGAGACGTGGCAAGGGCATCTCTTAGACTCTTCGCCTGCTCTGAGCGGGAGGAGGTTGGGTCTCCGGAAGGAGCCATGATTTGCCGCATCAATTCTCGTTTACGCAGGATTGAAGAAAGACCACACATAATTCGGGAGGAACACTGGGACTCAGCAAAGGCTTGATCGATTCTGAGTGTCAAGATTTCTGTGTTCGTTGTTTATCAGTCAACCACCTTTCGCGCCCCGAGCCCGTTTTGGAGGACACACTGCATGTAGCAGGCATCTAGGCGAGATGGCGAACCATCGGATCGTCCCGATGGGTCGCAGATCCCACCTGGATCTGGTGAGATTGAGCACACTGGACAGACAGAAGCCGGGGGGGTGGTCAGGGGCTGCAGGCCGTCCATAGTATCATGCGGCATCCGCCATGCGGTTCTAGCTCTTTGTGTCACACGCCAGCGATATGTCCTCCAGCCCTCCAGCCACGTCCGGCACACTGCCGCCGCCACATTACATGTGCACCCCCTCTCAGCACCCTCTTTATTGGGGGCGGTAAAGAACGATTTCGAAAAGCTAGGTCTAGCGTAATAAAGGAAAGTGCATTAATGATAGGTATACATTCACCAAATGGCGCTGGATGGAGCCAACCCCCACATCAGCCGCAAGCGACCTCTCAGATTACTGGTGTTTATTTTCGTGCCGAGTGGCCGAGCACACCCACCCATTCATGGTGGGCGCCAGGGGCCAGCCAGGCTTGGCAAGTCCGTACCCACTATGGCGCGTCAGGCTCCCCTCTGGTTGCCGCGCGTTATCAAATTGCGCATGCCGCGATGTCACTCAAAGACAAGTCGGCTGGAGCAGAGATGTTGTACACGTTCCTCACAACCTACATTGACATCAGCTTGGAATTGCGCCTACCGATACCCGGGGTAACGTACCCGTATTTGGTAAGATCCTGGGAATTTGGCGCTCAGTAACTCTATCAATTTGCCGGCATCTATTCGCCTATGTGGAATTTCCTGTGGAGGCCTGCCGTTTGCATGGCTCGAGGATGAGCTTGCGTCCAGGCTGGACAGTCGTTCCTGGCGGCACGGGTCCATAGAACTTGGTCAACGAGGTCTTGCAGACTGGATGATTTCAAAGGTTCAAGTGCTCTTGAGAATGATTTTTGGCAGCCGCTGCTTAGGTAAGACGTTGGATGATAACGCTGATCCAGACTGAGAGCAGAATTCATGAGATGCAGCAAGGTATTCATATAAATATTCAATAGAAGGAGCGAATCTCTGCAGGCTGTGCAAGTAGAAAAACGTCAAGGGACAGCCGGAGGCACCCGTTTCCCTTTGTGGTGGTGTGGCCGCGAAGGGGCCGGCTGAGCTAGGCTAGTCGGGTGACCTGTAGTTTCTCAAAAGCCTTCGGGCGTCTGACGCCCCTGCGTATCAGGAAGGTGACGAGATAATAAATGCACTTTGCCTTTTGTAGGCCAGTGGTGTGATGTGTCAGCCCCTTTGGCTGACACGGGAGCCTCAGAGCCTCGCCCTACAATCTGTGGTGGAGAAATAGCTTATGCCAATATTTGGGCAAAATGGCCTTGGTTTGGGTGGCAGGTCTGCGGCCATGACACCCATCCTGCGCAGTCCGTGGGACCACTCAGCTGCCTGCATATTGTGGCATGGTTCTGCAGCCATACCGGGGCTGGGGTCGATGTTGGCCCCATGCCTCGGTTTCGGAGCTAAAACTGGGTGCTAAGTGTGAGCTGAAGTCGCTAGACGGGTGGGTGTGTTTTTACACATAGAACTGTGGCCTCGTGGATTGACTGTGACTGGGTGGGAGGGTAAGGAGATGGCTGAGCCCCTGGCGGTGCGGTTGGTGTGTGTGCCTAGGTAGGAAGAGTAGAAGAATATACTAAGTACTCAACCAAGTCCTCCTTGTCATAATAGCCAGGTGCGGGTCTTAAAGCCCAATGTCTCCATGGGTCATCGACACCAAATAATAGAACAGACTTCCACTCAATGTCATTGCTTTCACTTGACATTTTGAGCACAAATCTTTCATTTTAAACTCGGTCCCTTCTGGGGTTACTTCTTCTGAGTTCTGTGGTGGGCTACCGTAGGTGACTGTGAGGATCCTGCATGTGTCATGGGACCTCAAAGTGAAGCAATGGCCCCCAACATATCAACATGTGAGATACATGGTTCCCAAGGCCGTAAGTTCAATGGAGGAGGGAAAAGGAATAGAATTCCTGAGCCGATGTCGCCTGTACTCTCCTTTGTTTGCATAACCTCAGGTTATTGACAGATTGAAGAAATGCTCAACTGATTTCAATGAAAACAGTCAAGATGGCCCACACACTGCCGGTTAGGACACGACAACATGGCATCCGCCCAGCTGTTGACCCCATGTATGTTTTGCATGGTCCTGAAGAGCAATTAGACCGCAAGCAATCAGTCGAAGAGGATGATGAGCTGTTGATCGTAAGTCTCACCATGGAGGCAAGCCAGCAAAGGATAGACCGGGGACCTGACTTTACCTGGCCACATTTCAGGGCGAGCCTGCCAGATCGGAAACCTGGCCGGGGCCGGATGTGATATCGATAGCCGCCATGAAAGGGCGTGGCATCCCAGACCTCGGACGTGGACCTGGTTACTCCCCTGCCTTGACCGCGGAACATTCACTCGTCACAGATTTGGGACTTCGAGGCCGCGACATAGCAGCCGAGACCGACACTGCACAAGTCGACTCAGTATCGAAATCCATCTTCATTTCGCAGAATACTAAACTTTCAGATCGTCTTGTAACTGCTCTCCAGAAGATTCCAGGCCACAGTGAGAAGCATGGGTATTATCCAGAGAAGACATTCAACAGTCTGATCAACGAGGAATGCGTCAAGAGAGAACTCGAGCAGTGTTTTCGGGGTGTTCTTGCCCCCGCAAGACTCCACCTGTACACCGGAATGATATGCGGTCGGGATGACTCAAAAGCCGCCAAGTATCTCTTATCGTTCAAGAAGATATTCGCCATCTTGAGATTGAGTGGAAAGCTCAGCTCTATTCTACTTTTTATTGATGAGGGTGTTGCAGATCAACACTTACCATTAGAGAAGGTGGTCCCACCCCTCGCACATCCAAACATGTATCAGCTCGTACGGAAGGGAGATGCTGGTGCAGTCTATCGACCCTTGGCCTGCTTCCAGGACTGGGACCAATTGGAGTTGATGCGATTCGAGGAGTGGCAGTGGACGACATTGCCCCCGTTTTTCTACAAAACGAAGCGCACACGGGTTGGACATTTCGTATTACCCGACCAGGTTCCACTTCCTTTCACATCCGACAGCCGATATGACAAGACCGGCGGAGAGAAATACGAAGTTGAGAGCGGGTTCAGCCGTGTGTTTAAAGTGGACATACATCCTGAGCAACATGGGTTCCACGGCCCCAAGGTCTGTCTTCCTTCTGCGTGGGGCCCGATCGTATTACGATTTGTATTAGGCTGACTTGTTCCTCTCAGTTCTCGTGCCGGTACTTTGCAGTCAAGTGTTTGCATTCACCGAGCAGAGAAAGGTTTGACAGCGAAGTAAATGTTCTCCGGAAGTTCAATGATGCAACACATCCACATCTGACCTCATTACTGGCCACATACGAACAGTTCAACAAGTTCTATCTCATTTTCCCTCATGCAGAGGCCAACCTGGAAGAGTACTGGAGGGACCGAAACCCACAGCCTGAAATGCGGATCTCGACCATTAGGTGGATGGCGGATCAATGTCGCGGCCTAGCCAATGGTTTGACCCAAATTCATCGATGGAATTCACCTCCCCACTCTGGGCATGAACGGAGACCCCGGAGCCTCACAGTGCCGGAGGCAACCTCTCACGGTAGCGAGCTAATAGGACACCATGGAGATATCAAACCGCAGAATCTGCTTTGGTTTCAAAACCCTGATGGGGGCCCCGATGAAGGGGTACTCAAAATCACAGATTTTGGCCAAACCGAGTTCAAAGCTGGTCGCACGACTTTCAATAAATCCGGAAGACTGGCACCTGTCTCCCCAAGCTTTCGGCCTCCTGAGTATGACATAAAAGGAGGTAATGGCCGTTCTCATGATATCTGGGCTTTGGGGTGCGTGTATCTGGACTTCATTGCCTGGATACTCGGAGGCTGGGAGTTGATTCAGGAGTTTACAAGTGCAAGACAATCACGAGACTCGGGTTGGCATAACATGGAAACAGATGTCTACTTCGATATAACGAATGAAGCTCAAAGGAAAGTAGCCACTATCAAGCCGGCTGTCACCAGGGTAAGTCAAACCCATATATGCCCCCGTACGAAAATGGTGCTGCTTTCGCATTCTGATCAAAGGTAAATAGTTCATTGCCAAGTTTCATGATCACCCGAACTGTACCGAGTATCTGCACCAATTTCTGAACCTCATTCAATTCGACATGTTGCATGTCATACCGCACGACCCCATATTGAAGGAGAGCCGGGTGGACGTCCACGATCTTAATCCCAAGCTAGCTGAACTCTGCAGAAAATGCCAGGACGAAGAATATGCTTTAACTCCGGCAAGCTGGGCTAAGGATCCTAGTAAGACGCTTCTGAAAAGTTATGCCGACGCTGCCAGGTCATGAAACCCGAGACATAGGTTGTCGTCTGTTTGCAAGGCCGGGCCTTTGAGCGTATACCACTTCAATGCTGTATGAAGGAACGGAATACGCCGATAGATCAGAACGGAACAACTAATACAAGATTTTGCGGCGATGTAAGCAGGTGACCTAATCCGGTCTTCATCCTTCATATTCCTCGGAGAGCATAAATCCTGCTGCCTGGAAGCTAAATGAATCGAGACTAAACAGTTCCTATCTTGCCACTTATCTCTGGCGTCTTAGCCGCCCTTTACTAAGCTTCAATTCCACCCCTTTATCCGCAACCACACATCTGCAGTGACTCACCAATCCCAACATTAAGAGTCAGCCAAAATCCAAAAGACTCCCTGTGTTTGACGCTACCATAGCTCCAGCGAGCTTGTGGTTCTCCAGCAAAGTACCAAAATGACCGACTCAAAGACCGTCCTCCCGCTCTCAGCCGCAGAGAAAATCGCCACGTACCAACTCACCGCACCCAACGGCCTAGCAATCGAGGTAGCCCAGGCGACGCACCGCATCAACATCCTCAACAGCTGGGGCCCCGACGTGATCAAGCCAGGTGGCAAGGTCCTCGAGATCGGCTGCGGGCAAGGCAACTGCACCGCGGTGCTGGCCGAGGCGGTCGGTCCCACGGGCCACGTCGACGCCTACGACCCCGCGCCTCTGGACTACGGGGCGCCTTTCACGCTCGAGGAGGCGCAGCAGCACATTCTCAAGAGCGAGATTGGCAGCCGGGTTCAATTTACCAACAAGTTGCCGTGGGAAGCTGAGGGTCACAAGAGCGCGGAGGTGCCGGATACCCAGCAGTGGGACGTTGTCGTGCTGGCGCACTGTGTGTGGTACTTCAAGACGCGCGATGACCTCTCCAACTTGCTCAATAATCTGAAGGCGAGGCTCCTCCCGGGCGGCAAGCTTTGCATCGCTGAGTATGCGCTGCACGCCACGGAAAAGGCCGCTTGGCCTCACGTCCTGGCTGCACTGGCGCAGGGGACGCTCCAGGTGCTCAGGAGCGAGGAAAGCGGCGAGAATATCCAGGTGCCCCTCAGCCCTCCGCAGATCAAGCAGCTAGCCCATGAGAGTGGGTGGGACCTGGATAGGGAGGCCATGCTCGTTCCCGGGGAGGGTCTCCTGGATGGGAGCTGGGAAACCGGGTCTGTCGCTAGCAAACACTTTCTCAAAGAGGTGGAGGAAGCCGTGGCTCGAAAGGATTGGAAGTCTCATGCGATGTTAGAAGCCATGCGTGCATCGGTGCTGAGTGCCGTGGAGGCTGCTGGTGGCGTGAAGAAGACGCGTACCATGGACGTGTGGACAGGTGTGTTCTCTGCAAAGGAGACCCAGGAGTAATGAGCCGTTTGGTAGGAAACAATCACATAATGCAGTTGTTTGAACGCTCTCATTGTCATTTGTCAACTGCAATCGAGAAGGCCCTGACACTTGCGCAATCGCGGTAGTGACACTAAGACGGAGGCTAGACCAGACCAGCATTCAGCCGGCTGGTCTATATGGTCATTGGTATCCAGTACGCCATGAGCATGACATATGAACATATCAGACATTCACGTGGACAAGGGCGTATTGAAGCAGAGCCCTATCGCCTCTGAGATAGAGGCCAAGGTGACAGCAGGTGAATCTGGGATTGATAAATTCGGCCTGAAGACCACAGTCAGTGGAGAATTCGTATTTGCCTATCAGATGCTAAAAATACGGCCAAGGGGGCTCAAGTGGGCAAGACCCCCCGCTGCCGTCTGGGGTGGCAATGGAGCTATGGATGATGCGCAGGTGGGGGATGATTATGCACAAGACGGAGATACCTACCTAGGTAGGTAGCTATGGTGTCGTCAGCGCAAAGCCGGAAAATGAAGATTTAGCAGTCGAGCATTCCGTGAGGGTTGCAGAGTCCGACACAATTATATTTCGGGAAAAAATAGATTATTTCCATGCAGTAATAGCAGCTGCCTAAGAACCTGAGTAATGTAGTTTGGTAAAACCGCTGGAGGCTGACTGCGTCAGTCATCTGGATGTGTTGAGTAGTACTACCGGACTCTCTGCAAGCTCACGGGCTCGCACTCCGTTCCCCTCCTGATTCCCAGGGGTAAACTTGATAGATCAACTTCCATCTGCTCTTGTTCTGCTGAAAATCTTTCCCGACATCGGGTGTCGTATATTCGCCCGCACAACGGCGCCACTCCTTGCTCTGAGGCTTCCCGAGAAGGCCCAAGAAGTGCCTCGACCAAATCGTGAGACCCCAGCCTTCGCGGGCCACCTTCTCAGGCCGCACGTCCCACTCCGTCGTGATCTCCCACTGGGCGCGACAAACGGCACAGCTTGACCCGACGCGGGACCAGTTGTCGGAGCCGCCCTGCCTGTGGAGTCTGGCAAATTCGGCATACATGAAAGGGTACTTGGCGTAGATAACGAGATGTTTGCACACGCTGTATGTGAATTCTTCGAATGGCTGGTCGGGGTGCACGTGCGTCGACGTCGTCTCCAGCCATAATTGGCGAGATGAACTCGCGATCCTCGCCTCGGCTTGGTGAGTCCATTGAGATCTCCCCACTGTTGTCACGCTTTTCCATTGCAGGGATTGGAGCAGTTTGTCCGCGCCCGGTTTGTTGAAGTGAGACGCGTTCGCGACAACGTGGGCGTCGATAAACATGAGCTTCCGGGTCCCCCCACCCGGAAGCTGTCTGTCGAATGAACTTTTGGGGTGCCGGCTCTCGGCGCAGAAGGCACGACGATACTCCATGTCCGCTGTATGGATCGTCTTACAGAAGTGACAATGGATGACACCTGGCGGGGCATCATACTGCACCATCAGCAGGGTCATCAATTCGTCGAATATGTCGGTGCTGGCGAACCGGTCTCTGGCTGTGGGGAAAAGGGTTTCGAAGAGACCCCTGCATGCGAGTGAGAGAGCTATCGAGTCACGCGCATTTTGTAGTTGATCAAAGACCGTCGAAATTAAGTCCAGTGGAAGATCCATGAATTTTGATTCTGGTTGGTATCGATTGTGGAGTTGAGGTGACATCATTGACGTATCCGGGGTATTTTGTTCCGCGTCGTTGGACTCTGTGCGAGACATCACTATGTCTAGGCATTCTTTCCCTTTGGACCGTTGATCGTCCATTGGCGCTTTGCGGGATTACATATTCTCTTGCGGAGTGGTTTTGCTTGACCTGAGGTTGGATCTTGAGTATTGACAGATAGTGTCTCGATGGTGAAAAGAATGGAATATGCAAATGACAGACTGGGTCAGCTTCAAAAGGGGGCAAAGTTCCGCACCAAGTCAGTTTCGAAGTGACTGGAGTACTAACTTCGAAGTCTATTGGACTGGCGGCCACATTAGTGGACAAGCTCAACCATCATTACTTTACTAGTAGCGTTTTGTTACGCCTACTACTATCTAGACACTCAAGTAGCAACACTAATCGCGGTCCGGTGATGCACACTAAATTGAAACTAGATCCATTTAATCCACAGGTCCGCGCACAAGGTGAATTCTTGCATTACTTGATTGTATGTCTGGAACGTCCATCACCGTATGAAGGCGCCACACACGTATACTCTTTATTAAGAGTGGGGACGGAGCATAAAAAAATAGAATTAAATGTATAAAATTATTGAGTTTAGCTATTATATTCTTTTAATACTTAATAAAAAGAGATGTATATTAAGGTATTTTAAAAATATAAAATATTCAATAATAAGTAATATATAACTATATATAAATATTTATTTTATATACTTTATATTCCCCTCTTAAATATAAGGTTAAAAAACTTATAATTATAATTTTCTAACTAATTTTTATTTAATTATTTTATTATACTATAACTTAATCTAATCTCTAACCTTATTTAAACCTCCTCTTAAGCTTTATAAAAGCTTTTATTTCTATAAATATAAACTTTAATTTTAAAAGCTTTAAACTTAAGTTTAAGATTTTTATAAATCTTAATATACTTTAAATTAAGCTTATAATTCCTTAACTTTTCTAAAAATATATTAACTATCTTAAATATTAATAACTTCTTTTTAAAGTAGAGGTCTACCTTTATATAATTATAAACCTAATTATTAATAGTTATTTCTTCTTTTATTTATAGTAGAGCTATTAGAATTATAAACCTAGATAATAGAGTATAGTTACCTTACCTAGTTATCTCTTAGTTTATATAGTAGGCTAAGTAATTACTTTTAAGTGGTTTTATTTATAAAGTTAATAGTCTCTTAGATTTGCTAAATAGGTGTTTACTTAAGTAAAGTTAAAACCTTTAGGGGAATAGTAGCTTTATCTTTACCTATTTTAACTAATTTATATTTAAAAGGCCTAAGTTATATAGTAACTTTATATATAATACTTAATAGTGTTAAGACTAGGTAGCTTATAGTTTATAATAACTTTAACCTTTAATATACTAGCTTAAATAGACTAAGTATAGCTTAGTACACTAATATAAAAAGATATCTTCTAATAATAGATAATATTATAAATATAGTAGATTATAAAGTTATTATAAAAAGTTTTATATAATAAACTTAGCTAAGTTAATTTTTAAAAGATATATTATATTTTATTCTTTTAAAACTCTAATTATTTACTTTTAGCTTAGTAATAGAATTAAAAAAATATAAATAGTTTATATACTTTATATTACTTTATTATTATAATAAAATAATATAAATAAATATTATTATTTATTATATATATAAAATTATATTAATAAATATTATCTTTATAAATAATTAATTTAAATATTATTAATATTTATTATAATATAAAATAATAATTATATTATAAATTTTTTTTAAATCTTTTACTAATTATAAATATATATTAATAAATTATATCTCTAAGCTACTTCTACTAAGATTATCTAGAGCCGTGTTCTTCAACTATTAGGCTATTATTACTACATATTACATTACTTCCGTGCTTGGTATAAATTACCCTGCCGAGCCATAGAAAGCCACTTGACATCTGTTGGAAGATAGCTGTTGACAGCTGGTCCCAGCTGTCACCCCGCACGGGCCATCAGTTCGAGCACTGACCCGGAAGCTACAGCTAGCTCCCGCGCTCCACTTGACTTCCTCCTGCCACTGAGACAGCCACACCCACCACCGGTGCAAACCGCACTACTAGCTCATCTGGGCTTTGTTTGTATGACTGCTTTTCGGGTGCTATACCCAGGCTGATTCAATGTTCACGTATTCTCGCCGCCCAACACGAATTGACTCACGAAAACCAAATCTGGAACTCGGAGACCGTTCCACGCGATTGTGTGTTTTGCCCATCACGGGCATACAGCAGCAACCATGTCCCTCATCTCTCATAGGACACTGCGACGGTGGGGCCCAAACAGCATAACGCGACGATTGCCGGTTATTGCTGCCTCAACGCATTATCCAAGTACCTTAAAATCATGCTTGACACCAAACTTGACCGTAGGTCCGCTTCCAGCTAGTTGTAGTGAAGCTGTTCTCGCCCAGAGGCGTATGTCATGTTTTCTTGTAAAGTTTCCACCGTCCCTTGAAGATCATATTCTCCTAACCTAAGCAACACAGGCTCGTTTCACCCGACATCTGCCCGGCGAATACATGTGATTGATCTAGACCAAATTGCACTCTGCTGCCTTGGCGCCGCTGTCACGGTTTTTGTCTTCAGACTTTTCACAGGATACTCAACGCTACCACCACATACTTGGGCCCGCACTGCCCACCAGAAGACGCGAAGGGAGGTCGAGGCGACCACGGGCATGGCCTTCAACATGGCACGCAGTGCTCCAGAGCACCAGCGCCACGCGAAATTCCGGGAGGCAACCTTTCACGTTCCCCATCAGCTGGCACGGCTGAACAAGGAAGCCCCTCGCTTTCGCCTGGAGGACCTGGGTCCTATGTCGCTGGGCAAGGTACCATGGGCGACTCCGAGCCAGCCCATCAGCATCAACGGCCCGCCACTGGACGCCAAGACAGACACGCGGGCCTTCTTATACTTCCCCGACGGCTCTCCCAAGGCAACGGCCGTGTTCCTGGCCATCAACTCCGACCTGATGTATCCGACAAAGGCGTGGATGCAGTCCCCGCCCATCGATCCTGCAGTCGCATGGTCGAGGAAACCCATGCTCGTTATGGCGGCCTTTGGTATTGTCTATGCCGACTGGGAAAAGAATCGCCCCAGTGTGACTGGCCGTATTGTGGAGACGAGTCGGCTGCCGGTCATCTGTAACTTTCGAGAGAACGTTTTCGCATGTATTTTTTACCCCGTACGCAAGGTGACCCTCAACGAGAGGATGGGGCTCACTCCGCTGGATGTCACTGATTTCGACCTCAAGACTTCCTACTTCTGAGCTGGATCACCGACAGGATTGTGGCAGAACCTTGAAGGGATATCTAATGTACGCTCGCAACGGTTTTAAAGCCAGCCTCTCCTGTGCACTTGATTGTCCATCATTGTCCCTGAGCATGCCACCACTCTTGGAGTTTAGACTCGTCCTCTCCAGCGTCTGCGTGCCTGTCCTGCTCCTCCACGTCTGTGTACGCCAAAAACGGAAACAATGGATCCAAAGCAAAAGGTCCTTGTAGGTAATTGAGATGATGACTACGGTTACTTGCCTGCAGCAAACTCATCTCCTATGGAGAAGATGGAGGCCACGAAACTGCACGGCACGATGACAGTGGCGATCTTGGTGAGCTGGCCTGAGCTTTTCGCATGCCGCGCCGCCTCGAGCGTCTGCTTTTCCGCTTCCACCGCCTGGAACATTGCTGCGCGCTGGGATTACATCTCCATATGATCGCACAAGTTCATCTCCGTCATCTCAAGCTTCTCAAGAATAGTTCGCCAGCTTCGGCGCTCCGAGTCCAGCAACTGAGCCACTAAAGGACCTGATGACGTCCATGAGGAGGAGCAGTCTGCATTGGGGCTTGGATGCATACCGTTCGTGCACCGAAAAGCTCGCATAACTCTGCGAAGACGTTGTCGGGAGTCCTTTATGCTGGAGTTCTCCTGCATTAGATCGTGGTAAGACGTGACAGACTTAGCGCCGGTGAGCAGTCCACGCTTTCGTTGGTTGTCGATTTTGCCGTTATATTCCGCTATTTTATCATGGAGCTCCGTGTCCATCGCCAGGCAGCCTCCTCCCAGGCAGACCTGACAAAATTTCGGACATATGCCGTGCATGAAAAGGGATCACTGTCATGAGGGGGTAGGCCGCAATTTTGAAAATAGTCGAGGACATCGTCGTACAAGGCTTCGAGATGATCCCTGTGAACAGCACGAACTTGCCAGGTAGGTGCTCCGAATCCGAATCCATTCTCCTTGAAAGGTGACGCATCCCATAATATTGCTTCGGAAACCAACTTGTGCAGGCCCACGTATTCATTGTCGAGATCGAATATCTGGGCTCATGGCTCCCACCTACAGAAGTCGTTTGTCATGGGTGTTTGCAAACTCAGGCCTCTCTCAGCCTACTTAAGTATTCAGTGTTGTCATAGGTCCGGCAGCTGACAGAGTCCACTGAAGGATCATCCACGCGACGAGTTATTTGTGTGATTTGCTCTCGGACCTTGGTATGAGAATGCACGATGCGTTCCAGTAAAAGATTTTTTCACCTTCCCATTGTTCATTTCTACCAGTGTGTCGTCCTTATCTGGCTCATGTCTGTTTCTTATTCTGCAGTTTTGACCCACACAGGCATACAATATCCATCTCTCCCACGAACACGCGGCCTGTCAACGATCTGGACCTCACCATAGACATCTTCCATCTCATGATGCTTCAGGAACTCAAACTTCGACACCAAAACCGCAAGGCCAACCTTGAACTCGGCGACGCCCATCCTGTACCCGATGCAGCTCCTTGGCCCGATAGAAAATGTCATCAGATGGCTCCATCCCGAGCTTTTGCAATTTCTGACCCTCGGAGGAAGGCCGCCCACGTAGTATGGGTGCCTCGGATCTTCGATCCAACGCTCCGGCCTGAACACGTGCGCATCGGCGCCCCATCTGGCCGGGTCGATGTTCATCCACTTCTGAGGTATCACGATGTCGTCACCGGCAGCGACGCGGACCTGCTCCATCCATGTCCCGTCACGAAGCCGGATAGGCTTGCCGAGGTGGATGATGTCCTCCCTGGCGCAGGTTCGTGGGATCGAGTGCGCAGGGCTATACAGCCGCAAGACTTCCCGTGTCACGGCGTCGAGGTAAGGGAGGGAATCCAGAGCGCGGAGGCTGTCGCGCCAGCCGGAAAATGCGCTTGGGGGGTGTAGAAGTTCGTCCCTCAAACGGGCCTGGGTTTCGGGGAAACATGCCAGGCCGTAGACTGCGTAGGACATTGCGGCTGCGTTGTTGTCGTATCCGCCAGATAGGAACGTCGGAATCAAAGAGACGATTTCTTTTTCAGATAGACGATCCTTCACATCGCTTGACATGTTGGATTGTACGAGGAGCGTCAAAATGTCCCTGCCCTGATGAGTCTGGGGGCTGTGCTTCTCGGCCGGCCCAGGTCCTGATTGCTTCATTGTGCTCTTGGCACATTGGACCAGTTTCTCGCTGATCTTCTCGATGTCACCTTTGTGGCTGTCAAGCTGTATCTGCTCCCTGCTCAAAAAATGGCCAAGTGCTCCAATCATTGGGAATTGTGATCTCAGTGACGCATACACAGAACCTGTGGCCGCGCTTTTAGTGACGTTGACAAAGGCTGCTTCCAAGTCAGACCGCTCCCCTCGAAGGGACTTGAATTCGTATTTGAAGCCTGCTTGTCCAATGATGTCGATGGAGAGAGCTTCAAAGTCCTGATATGCGTTTGTCTCAAACCGTGTATCTCTTGATAATCTTGCTTCCCAGTTGCTGGCAAGCCTCTCCGCCATGCAATAAAAGGTTGGGGCCATCCCGTCTACTGCAGTGCTGCTGAAAGCTGGCCCTACTACTTTGCGTTGTCGTTTATGTTGGGCGCCATCCACACCAACCAGACCCTCCCCGAAGAGAAGCCTTGTCACCCGCATTTGAGCTTCAGCTCTGACGTATGTCTGGGCATTGTTGAGAACATAATTGATTGCCTCCTGGTCTCCGAGAACAAGTGTTGGCCTGCGATTAGTGAAAGTAGCATACCAAACCCCATCGTACTCTGAACAATACTCAAGGAGCTTCGGGGACATTTGGAATCGTGTTGCCTCGGACGGACTGAGGAAGCCGTAGAACCAGTGTTTGTTCCTTGGACCTCGTATGCAAGTGAGTGGGGATGCGTAAGGCGCGTAAAAGTATTTCCAGAGACTGAACAGAATGAACAGAACGGGCCCAGGAATGAGCAAATATTGCCATGAATCCTGGCAAGCCCTGAGAATGTCCCAAATAATGTTATTCATGCTGACATTTACAAATACTTAGCGAATATGATCACTGGTGTTTTTCTTTCTTACTCAAATGATAGACTGCCAGGTTTCCACATAGATCCAGGATAATCGCCCAATTTTATCATGCCCAGCAACCACAAAAGTAAAGGGCGCACGATGCCTTGCGTTCATGAACCAACGCCGGCTTACCCGGCTCTTCGGACTCGATCGCCTACCCCGTAGCCTTGGAAGCAAACCATCGCAAACACTTTTGCAGCTTCTTAGGTAACAGAAAACCCTTATAAGCAATGTTCCGACCAAGGATATCGAGCCTCGGAATACGGTTTCCATGCGATGCGGGGCCACAAGCACGGAAGAACCGAGGATTGGCCGCAGCTTTGCATCAAACGAAACTCTAGAATGATGCATGTCTATATGCAACTGATCTAATCAGTATAAAAGGCTGGGCCATAGCTTTTACGACCTTGGCTATCCATTCCTTTTGTGGGTCTGACGAGGTGCATTTGCTTAACTTCTCGGCAGTCGTCGTAGTATGTGTCATATGTGTGTGAGTACTGCTTCTGACCACCCTCTAACCCCATAGGCAAACTTTAGAATACACTGTAATCAAGTGAGGGGCTCACATGGTCTATTACTAATTCTAAAGATATTCTCGGACTACGCAATTCTCCTGTGACCGACTTTAGTGGCATGTCTCTTCCACGATCGGGAATGTCCTACTGCGTGTGTCCATCTCAAAGCCCTTCTCGGATTCGTACTTTCTCAAGTTACGTCTACCCTAGGGTAATTCGATCGCCAACTCAATGAGTACCCAGACTGAGAGCCATGTTTCTAATGAGAAAGCTGAATCTGTAACCAACTTCCATGCACTACACGGAAATATACAATGCGAATCGTCATCCGAACAGCCAGAAGCACTGGACAGCAGGGTTCAAGACCTGCGTGACGCGGACAATGACCTGGTCTCATCCCCAGCACTGCCCACTTCGAAGGCAAGATCCATCGCCCTTGTCGCGACAGTTACGGGAGCAACATTTCTGAATGTAAATCTACACCAACTCTTGCTTGGCCCGAGCCCCCTCCTTGACATGACTTACAGACATTTGCTGTTCAATCAGCTGTCATTATACTTCCGACTATTGCAAAAGATCTTGATATACCCGCAAGCCGAATGCAATGGATAGTATCATCATGCACGCTTACATTTGGCTGCTTTCTTCTCTTTTGGGGGAGGATGGCGGATCTCTACGGCAAACGAACCGTCTTCATAGTCGGAACTGCTTGGATGACTCTCACAACAGCTGCGAACCCCTTTCTGCCCAACGAAATTTTGTTTGATTTCTTCAGGGGGTTGCAAGGGCTTGTAGGTATTATTCTAGCCTCAATTATGAGACAACGTATTGATTGCTCTAGGGTGCCGCCGCAAACGTCCAGACGGCGATAGGTATTTTGGGCACCTCTTTTTTGCCCGGAAAGGCCAAGACATATGCATTTACTGTCTATTGTAAGTGATCAAAAAGCCAGCTTTAGAATCGAAAGTGGACAATTGACATCCGGGCTGAAATTCAATCGACATGATCACAGCCGCTGGTGCTCCTGTAGGGAGTGTGATAGGCAATATCACCGGAGGCTTCATTGCTTCCTTCGCAAGCTGGAAATGGGTGTTCGGCGCTATGGCCATGCTTGCTGGGCTTGTGACCATTGCGGCAACATTTGTCATTCCGGTTCCCAAAGAGGGCAATCGCCAGGAGAGTACGTCAGTCCGAGGAACTGTGGATTGGCTTGGGGCTTTCCTTGTCACCGCCAGCCTCATATGTCTACTGTTTTCTCTGACAGAAGGGAATGTCGTCGGATGGGCAACAGCCTGGGTTCCTGGCCTGATCGTACTGTCGGTGCTCCTCATGATTTTCTTCGTCCTCTGGCAACGCTATCTCGAGAATAGAACCACACGCACCCCCCTCATGAAACCGTCCATCTTCGGTACCGACCGACGATTCGGCGTTGCACTACTCACTAACGGCTTCTTTAACGCGTCCTTCAATGGCTATCTCATCTTCACCACAACCTTCTACCAAGACTACCAGGACCTATCGCCTCTCCAAACAACACTCCGGTTTATTCCGACGGGAGTCACCGGGATTATCACAGCTATTATTGCCTCTCAGTTGCTCCTCCGCATCCCCGCCTCCCACATCCTCTTCACTTCCGCCCTGTGCGTCAGCATCTCCTCAATCCTCTTTGCCGTGCCCATCCCTGCCAGGACAACTTCATACTTTGCCTACGGGCTCTGGGCAATGATGCTCTCCACCTTTGGAGCCGACATGCTGGGCCCTTGCCTGGCGCTGTTCACATCGCTTACCCTGCCGCCCGAGCACCAGGCGCTCGGTGGAGGCCTGCTCTTCACTACGATGCAGCTTGGTCGCGCGATCGGGCTGGCTATCGCCACAGCGGCGCAGATGGCTGTGATGGCAAGGGAAGATGGCGTTGGTGTCCAGGACGTGCAGCAGGTGCAGCCGTGGGATGAGGCCTCGTTGGCAGGGCTGAGGGCGGGCTGCTGGGTAAATTTTGCGTTTGGACTCACGTCGTTTGGGCTAATATTGGCGGGACTTCGAGGATTGGGCGTTATTGGAAAATCTCCTGCTGTGGCTAGATAGGATGTTTGACCTCACAGGACTACGGGTGTCCTCAAGGCGAGAACCTTATGCGAACTTTTATTTCTATTCATAAGCTTCCAAGCTCTCAGGTACGCCTGCTTAACGTTAGCTTGAATCGGGTTTAGCAAAATTCGTTGTCTTCTCTATTCCCTGCAAGGCGGCATCAAACGTACTCAAAAAGATATTTGGCTGGCTCGGATTTGCTCTCTAGATTCGGCTTCTCGAAAGACATGCTTCCATGGAGGAATATAAATTAAACAAAGGCTTTTAGTGTATAAATATTTATTACATTATAATTAATATTATTAATATTATATTTTTCAAATATTAAGTTTTAAATAATAAGTATTATATAAAGATATTATATATATTTTTAAAAATATATAAAACATAAGTGAAACTACTTAAGCTTTTATATTTCAAAGTCTTACTCTCCTCTTAGCTCCTAGTGATTATACTACTAAGAAGGTAGTGTTTATTCTAAGAGGTAGTTACGCCTCCTGTTGCAGCTATTCCCACGTGCAGGCAGCGAAACGCTCGATTGTTCCCTTACGAATTTCCCAGGAAGAGAAAAGCCGTGGCTGGGGTCTTGATGGGCTGGGGTGGCACAAAACGCTGGTTGGTCCCCTCGGTCTCGAGGTCCGATGTCAGAACCGGGCCGCGCTCATCCGGCTTCCCGAGCCCTGTCGATCCAGATATGCAAGTACATTGGTACTTAAGTATTTATGTATTTATGTAAGTGCTGCATCCGGCGAGCGAGATACGGGCACTAACAACCTTGCAGGTTATTATTGTATTCGACTACCTGAGTCGTACACATGTACGCACCGACGGTAGCATCGAAGGAATGCGGTCCCTGGCGCAACGGCCGAATCAGCGGGGCCGGCGTCCGGAGCCGGTGGCGGCATTGGAGGACGTCATTTATTACAAGTCTCAAGAGCTGGGGTAGTTCCCGCGTCCGATGCTTATCAGTCTCGGCGCCTTTGCTCTCCGCATGATATAAGTGCGGGCCAACAACGCCCCATCGCTGATTCCAACCACCCATTGATCCCCATCTTTTTCTCCATTTCAATGTGGCAATTCAGAATATTTGACCGAACCATTTGATCGCCATGGAACGACGTGGGAGGACAACCTTGGCACTCCTCGCCGCTCTCCTGTTTGTCTTCACCGCCGGCTTCCTGCTGCGGCCGGGCCGCGAGGCCAACCAGCACCTCAACGTCGAGCCGGCACCGCCGGCACGCTTCAGGGCACCGAGGCAGAATGTCTGGTCCGACCTCAGCCGGGGGGAGGCCGAGGACGTATACGGCTTCCTGTCGAGAGAGTGGTCCGACCTCAACCTGACCAAGACGCCAAGGAGCGTCGCGGACAACTTCATCGTCTCGGTCGAGACACTGCAGCCAAACAAGTCCCGCGCCCTCCCGTACATCCTCGGGGACGGCACCAAGCCAGACCGGTGGGCCAAGGTGGTGCTGTCCCACATGACAGAGGAACAAGGATCCCTCCTCAGCTACTACGCCGTCGGGCCCCTCCCCGTCTCGGCCAACACGACGACCGTCCAGCCGCTGACCTACCCCTTCAACTCGGGCCCGGGCCGCCACTCGGTCCCCAACCTGATGGCCGACTTCGCGGGCAGCTCGGCCTTCGCGCTGTCGCTGGCGGAGAACATCTCGGACATCACGGCCTCACTGCTCGGCGCCACGGTGAACAGGGAGGACCCCTTCGACCCGGACAACCTGGAGGCGTTCCCGCGGTTCGTCCGCCTGGCGCCGGACCTGGTCGTCGGGTGGATCCAGTTCTTCCGGCCCGGCATGGGCAGCTCGGGGCGCACGCTGCTGCCGCAGGGCCTGTACGTGCGGGTCGACGCCAGCAGGGAGGTCAGCGAGTGGACGGCCGGGGAGTGGTTCTACAACGGGCAGATGTTCGGCAGCGCGGAGGAGCTGCGCGCCGCGATGCGCGACCCCGACGGCAGCGGGTTCGTGCGGACGCCGCCGAACCTGGACGGCGGGGGGTGGACGGACACGGAGGACTTTGACGCCCATCCCGCGGGGCGCGAGCTGCCGCCGCCCGTGTCGATCCAGCCGCTGGGGCCGCGGTACAGGCTCGACAGGGCCGAGAGGTTCGTGTCGTGGTTCGGGTTCGAGTTCTACCTGACCAGCACGCAGGCGACGGGGGTCGGCGTGTTCGACATACGCTTCCGGGGCGAGCGGGTCATGTACGAGCTCAGCCTGCAGGAGGCGCTGGCGCACTACGCGGGCGACGACCCGATGTCGGGCGGGCAGGAGTTCCTGGACGCCTTCTTCGGCATGGGCACCATGGCCTTCGAGCTGGTGCCGGGCTACGACTGCCCGGGGTACGCTGACTACCTCGACACGGAGGTGCACCGCGGCGGGCGGACCGAGAGGCTGCCCGGCAACGTGTGCGTGTTCGAGTTCACGGCGGACCACCTCCTCTCGCGGCATACGGCGCAGTACTCGGTGACGGCGTCGCGCAACACGTACCTGACGGTGCGGTCCGTGTCGACGGTCGGCAACTACGACTACACGGTCGACTACGTCTTCTACCTCGACGGCGCGGTCGAGGTCAAGGTGCGCGCGTCGGGGTACATATACGGGGCGTTTTATGCCCACAACCCGTCCCTCAACAGGACGGAGGACGAGTACGGCCACCGCGTGCACGACGCCCTGCAGTCCTCGCTGCACGACCACGTCATCAGCTTCAAGGCCGACCTCGACGTCGCCGGGACGGCAAACGACATGGTCCGGCTGGCCGTCGAGCCCACCACGGCCAGCTACCCATGGGACCAGCCGTACGTGAAGCAGCGCAACACGATGCACCTCGTCGAGTACCCCGTGACGCACGAGGCCGGGCTGGACTGGCCGCCCAACTCGGGCGAGTTCCTCCTCGTCTACTCGGCCGACAAGACAAACGCGTGGGGCGAGCGCAAGGGCTACCGGATCGCCCCGGGGACGGGCATGGGCAACACGCCGCACCTGACGGTGCGCAACTCGACGGCGCTGGGGCCCAGCGCGCGGTGGGCCGAGCACGACGTGTGGGTGGTGCGGCACAAGGACGCCGAGCCGCGGGCCGCGGACCCGACGGCGTGGCTGGACACGCTGGACCCGCTGGTGGACTTTGGCAAGATCGCGGACGGGGAGGGGCTGGACCACGGCGACGAGGAGGGATATGACGGCGACCTCGTGGTGTACTTCAACGTCGGCAGCCACCACGTGCCGCACGCCGGCGACATCCCCAACACGCTCATGCACACGAGCGCGTCGGGCGTCATGTTTGTGCCGCACAACTTTGCCGACCGCGACCCCAGCCGCGAGGGCGTGCAGGGCGTGAGGCTGCAGCTGAAGGGCACGCGGAGCGGCGGGTTTGCGGGGTTCCCTGCCCCTGACGATGAGAGGGATGAGCAGTCGGGCACGGAGGACCTGAGGAGTCGTGAGGAGAAGAAGAGGGGGGACAAGGGCGGGTACAAGATGCGCGAGGGGGCGAATTACTTTGGCACGCCTTATACCGAGGGGGTCAACGTGCCTCTTGAGGCGCTGGAGCCGGACCTGGAGAGGAGGTATGAGAGTGAGGAGATCCGGGTTACTGATCTGGGGTTGAATGGCAGTGCAGCGGGGGTCTGGTTTCCTTGAGGAGTATTTTGAGTCAGTCTCTGACGGCAAAGGTGAAGGTGGTGAGTGAGCCTGTCACAGGATCCAGACTATAACCACTTCCGGGCCAGCATCTTATGGATACAAACAGTGGAGTATATTAGAGACAGCCTCGTATCAGCTCGCTTTTCCCCAGTCTTTTGCAGACATTCCGTCGGGTTGAAAGGTCGGGTATTTGAATGTGCGTTGAGACGTGAAAGATCATCGTTGCCAGGTGGTTGAGGGGAAGGTCGTTTCTGAACCAGATGTATGTCGTTGGTTTGCACAAAAGTCCAATGCAGCGCTGTGTGTTTTTATATGTTTATTTTTGCTTTTTTCGGCAGGAAGAACGCCCCAAGACGTAGCAAGGAAGAACGTGTCGTGGGGGTTTGTGGTAGCCATTACCAGGGAGTTGGTCTCAGGGGTCATTTTAGGCAGGGTGGGGGCCGCTTGGCTGGGGTGGGAATCTGGGGTTGCTTTGCAGGGGTGTCTGGTGCCTTGCGTGAACTGCAACTGCCCCACCACCTCTGCACCCTTAGACGTCCTTCCTTGTTTACTCGGGTCCAGCCGACTTGCCGTCCTTCCTCCCTCACAATCCAACAACCCCCCTCTACTTTATGGAGATGATGGACTCACCGGTACTGCCCACGCTACCCATTGGCCAACGGTGATACCACTACAATGGCAGCAGCTCAGAACAACCTGCTGTCTCGCACGAGATCGGCCCGCGTTGCCGCCCCCAAGTCGACCAAGAACCCATCCTCGACAAACGAAACTGCGGCGCCCTCAAAACACCACGCAGCCGTCGTGCCCTCCCCCTCCAACGTCTCGCTGTTCCTCACGAATCTGCACCTCCTAGACCTGGACCTGCTCCCCGACTGGCCTGGCATCAACACCCTGACCTTCACAAACAAGGATGCCACCCAGGGGCAGAAGAAGAGGGTCCAGTGCGTCGAGTGGGCGCTGTACCAGCTCTTCGCCCTGTGGGACCCTGACGAGGCGCGCAATGTGTGTGATCTCCCCTGCTCTTCCGTAACCACCGTAATCACTGACAAACCCCTCTGCAGAAGCTACAGCCCTTCTTTCCGCCCCTCGAACAGGTCCAGTCCGTCAACCTGCGGGCCGCGCTCCTACGATGCCTCGAGCAAGCCAAGAAGAATGGCATATTGGGAAGGGACACGGTCCTGCGCAAGACCATGCTTGATGAGTGCAGGGGCGAGAGGCTTGAGGAGGTGCTGGCCGTCTTCTCGTCGGCGGTACTGAAGAAAGCCGCTACGGAAGAGCAGCTGAACCGCAGGGCCCACCCGTCTCTTGCGCAGACACTGGCGCTGGAGAACCGCGGCTACACCGGGGAGCGAACGGACCTGAGCAGCCTGATCATCGCTCACAAGGTGTCCCTGAGGAACAAGCTGGACCACAAGAAGGCGTACCGGGCCCAATACAACAACTTCGCCCGGGTCCTCGATTCAAAGGAGCAGGGCATCACCAACAGACGGGACCACACCAACTCAAAGGCACACCAGAGCAAGATCCCGAAACTCTCCAATGCCTCCAAGCAGGAAGTCCGACGCGCAGTCAGGACAAACTGGTCCGGGAACGAGCAATGGATGGGTGCCCTGCTGTATGGCGACACCAAGTCGCAGAAGGACGGCGTGCTGACAGTACCTTTCGATCGTGTCTGGCGCCGCGTGCGCGCGAACCGTCTCGGCGAGCTCGAGGACGAGAGCGGCGGCCTGCTCGAGCAGCTTGACAACCGCGTGCGCGCCCAGCAGGCACGGCTTGACAGGTGGCAGGACTTTAGGAAGGAGATGTTCAGCGACGTCGGGGACCAGCCCCAGGAGGGAGCAGCCGGGCGCGTGGGCCCTCAAAGGGGCATCGACCTTGGTTTTGGGGTCCACGAGGCACTGCACCTGCGGCGGGCCAGCCCCGGGAAGCTGGCATCGCCCGGGGCGGCGGAGCTCACACAAGAGTACAGGATGCTGGTAGACGGTCTGCAGGAGGAGTTGAAAGATGGCCAGGGACATGCTCTCCCCAAATTTGGTTTCCGGAAACGGCGTGAGCAGCCCGTGGAGTCGACGGTCCACAGCAGCTCCAGCGAGAAGCCGGCAGAAGAGACCGTGTCCGAGCTGAGCGAGCTGGAGGAAGAGCTGGCAAAGACAACACTGCCATTCCGGAGTAAACCTCCAGGGCTATCCTCACGGGGCACGGGAGACCCAACGCACTCGGACATGGATCCCAAGCCACCACAGAAAGCACAGCGGCCGCGCCTCCCGCAGCCCCTCAAGACGATGCAAGCCTTCAGGCCAAGGACAGTCCCGACCGAGATCTCCCCGACAGAGCCCCCGAAGCCCCAGCTGCCGTCCCCACGCCGGGAGCAGGAGAACGCACCGCGGCCCCCCACCCGCCCAGCCAGGCTATCGCCACCGCCCTCCCCGGCGCGGGGCGGCGGCTGCTCCTCACCGGACATGACACAGTCGCCGGAGGAGATCACGCCCTCGCCGACACAGCAACAAGCGGACCGGATCCTGGCGTCCATGAGCGCCGCTTCGCCCTCGCCAGCCAAGCAGCAGCGCCCGCGGCACACCCTCTCCCTGGCAGAGCGCACCCGCCTCTCCATGGCGCGCGGCTCGAGCGCCGACCTCCTCGATGACGACGACGAGCCGTCCAGGCCGTCCCGCCGGCGCAACACCGCGTCGCGGTCACCCACCAAGCCAGCGACGCCGACGACCCCGGCCCCCGCGGAGGAGGAGGAGGGGGGTGGGGGCAGGGCCCAAGACGGGGACGACATCGTCGCGCGCACGCGGCGGTCGATGGCCAACTTGCACGCGACGCAGCAGCGCGTGCGGCAGGAGAAGGAGCGGCGCGCGCGGCGCGAGGCGCGGGAGAAGAGGCTTTCCAACCGGAGCGGGGAGATTGCGCGGCAGGCGTACTTCCCCGACACCACGGCGGTTGACGAGGGGGAGGGGGAGGGGGAGGGGGACTCGTCGGCCGCGGTGCTGGAGGCGCTCATCGCGCGGGAGGCGGAGGGGGGCGGAGGGGGCGTGGACTATGATTCTGTGTTTCGGAGCCGGCCAAGGGTTAAGGCTAGTCCGCCTGGGACGCCTGCTGCGGGGGGTGGGGGGTGGTGATTGATGTGATGGGATGGGTGTGGGATGTTGGGATTGGAGGGATGTTCATGTGTGCCCTTTGGGGAACGATGGTGGTGGGCTGGCTGGTTGTCGGTTGTGCCATACCCATATGCTTAGTTAGGCACTGCCCGCGTCCTGACCTGGGCGGTTGGTTTGGGGCCGCGGACCGCACCTTTGAGAGGCAGACCATGCCGTTGTTGGGTAGAGCCCACATGATGGTGTGTGCTCTGGTCGGTCATGGCACTGTCTGCCTCCCGGTGGTGGGATTCGCGGGCCCCCAGCCGGCCGCTGGGTCGGTTGGTCGTGCTTGTTGGGGATCAGTGTCCCGTTCATGGGCCGATGTATGAACGGCCTGGGTGAAATGATGACATGGCTGGTTGGTATGTCTGAGCTTTTATCATGACCGCGCTGGACGGATATGTGGTTGGTGATATGGGTACGATCCGTCCGTGTGTGGTTCTTTGCTGGGTGCTTGTGGTGTCGTCCTTGGGCCGCCGTCCACCGATATGTTCCCCACGTGTACCTGTGATTTGACAAGATCTGGAAGGGCGATTGCTAGCGATGATGGACTCTAGTCCTTGGAGTATGAGACGGTTCGCGTCATGACGTCCTGGGGTCCAGCGTTGAGGGGTTCTGCGAGCTGGTGGGATCCTCGTGGCCGGTCGATTCGTATAGACAAAAGGAGTTGAGGGGGACACTGTATCTTTGTTCCCTTGAGTTCGGACGGTTGTCCCAGTCTTGGTTGAGAATCCTGGCTAGGTAAGTATCAAATCCACTCCATGAGGTGTGGGTGCATCTATTCTCCTGTTGGATTACTGTCTTACTACCTACCTAGGTACCTAGGTAGGTAGCTGGGGGACTGAATCATGGCAGTAACATGTATGGTAGTCTTCAGACCATGTACTTGAAGGCGCGAGGACTATGGAGTCTGTCGGTGGCACTGGCGTTTCAGGTCCGAGGGTACTGGTCATGTCTCGATCGAACCTATGTTGCAGTATATTCCATTCAAGCAGAGAGCCGCCGTTGCGTGGGCACAATCGCTTTTGCACAGACACGTATCTACCCAAATCCACCCAGCCGGCAACCAGCTAGCTTATTTTTTTGGTCTTGCCCCCCACAGGTGCATCTTACAGCACATCTACCCCAGATTGTACATGGAGAGAAATATAGAGCCATAGAACGCGAAGCCAAAGCCCTGCCAAGATTTGCTGACCCCCTCCTCCTCATCGCGCATATGTCAACCACCCCAAGGGCCACCCCCAACAAGACTCACCACCCCTGGCGGGCGAGCTCCGTCACCCTCTTGCACGTGGCCTTGAACCCCTCCTTGAAGTTGGTCCTCCACCGCTCGCGGCGGAGCCGCTTGCGCTTGAGGCCGGGCCGCTCGTGGAAGCGCTGCCGGCTGACGTCCTGCGAGACCTTGTTGGTGCGCACGCGCAGGTTGAGCAGGGCCAGGCCGCGCGCGAGGTCGACCTTGTCCTTGACGAGGTGGACGGTGCGGCCGACCGAGGGCCGCAGGCGGTATTTCACGTTGGCGATGGGCTCCTCGTTGGACAGGCGCAGGCCGGTCATGAGGAGGTCCTCGCTCGTCGGGCCCGAGCCGATCGTCAGCCCCAGCTCGCCCATCAGGTCGTCCGTCAGCGTCGGGCGCTGCCTGGCCGCCAGGCGCTTCTCCTGGGCGTGGCGCAGGGCCGGGCTCGAGGGGGACGCCCAGGGGGACCGGGCCGGCGCGGGGGCGGCTGCTGTTGTGGGTGTCGTCGTCGTCGTTGTTGTCGTCGAGGAGGGCTGTGTCGATGGTGGGGCTGTGGGCTGGAGGAGGGACGCCAGGCCTGCTGAGGCGCCTGGGCTGGTGCCGGCTGGTCTCCCCCATGCCGGCTGGGCCGGCTGTTGTGGTTGTTTTTGCTGCTGCTGCCGGCTCCACTCCTGCATCGAGGGCGTGGGAGGGGGCGCGGCTGCCTCTGCCTCGGAGAGGGACGGCCTGGTCGAGGAGAAGCATCGGTAGAAGGAGGGCGCGGCGAGGGGGTGTGAGAGTGGTGATGGGCCTGCGGCGGCCCGTCGCGAGGCAGCCCGGCCCGCGAGCAGGGCTGCCTGTATTGGTCGGAGCTCCATCATGTCCTGGTGGCGCGGGTGCGCTCGTCAGCAAGCTGCTCGGTGGTGATGATGATGATGATGATGATGTTGATGATGATGACGATGGGAGTGCAATTGACGGTGTCTTGAGGCCATACCGGATTGTAGTTGAGACCAAACTGGCCACAACAATGGATCTCCTGCCCGATGCTCCCGGATAGGTGGACAGGTCGACGGCGCCGGTGGAGAAGAAGAGGTGTTCAGGATCAAGGAGCCGTCGGTCGGATGGTGGCTGCTGCTGCAATTGGCGCGTTGCTAAGTGTTGAAATGCGCCTGCCGGGGAAATTTTGTCGGGTACGCCCTAGCCTCTTCCGGCTAGGGTGATCGATTGCTCGCCTGCCTGCCTGCCTGCCTGCAGCTAGATGGCCCAAGCTCTGGACTTGGCGCTTGGAGCCGACAACGCGCCGCCCGCCCTGCCCTGCAGCCCTGGTAACAAAAGTCTAGTGAGACCTCAAGTCGACTGCAACCGTAGCCTGCATTTTCCTTGACCCAAGCTGCTTCCCAGGTCCCTCACTCAGTCGCACCCCGGACACGCCTCGCCAGCAGCTTCAGACCAGTATCGACTCCTGTTATTTGTGTCGTGCGACTACGTAATTCTTACTCGACCCGATATAATCGACACGCGACAGTTGCATCGAGCAGTAAATTACGAGGAAAGGGAAACGGACAAGCACAGGCACAGCACAACATGGCATACAATCCATACGGAGGTGAGTGCAGGCAGGCCCATCGTCGCAGAACATCACTCTGCGGTCGCAGCAGCAGCAGCAGCTAACATGGCATTCAACAAGGCAATCCATATGGGCCTCCTCCCTCCTTCAATGGCTTCCCTGGAGTAGGCGGTGCGCCTGGCATGGCCCCGCCGCCCGGCCTAGGTATGTTGTGATGCACTCTCACCCCGTCTCTGGTCCTGTTCGTTCTCCCATGTCGTTGGACTTGGCCGCAGGCTGACAGATACCTCCCTCAACAGGCCCTCCACCAGGCATGTCCTCTGCCCCCGGGATGGCACCTCCTCCAGGTGTCCAGCAAGCCAATTCTCCCGCACAAGCTAATCGACCAAGTGGGCTGCCCGCCTCCTTCCAGCCGCCCCCAAACCTGCCAAACATCAACTTCAACGCCCCCGTGATCCGCCTCGGCTCCTCGTCATTACCCCCCAAGCCGGCGCCCTCCGCGGGGCCCGACCGCAGGGAGTCCAATGCGCCGCCCTCGGCAGGCGGTGGCAGGCCCGGCCTTGGCGCAGACAGGAACATAGAGCAGTCCCGCGCCGCCGTCAGGGAGAGCATGCAGGCCCTGCAGGCACCAACACAAGAAGAGCGCCTGCGAACAATATTCTTGCACAAGATCCCCGAGACCCTCGGCGGCGACGAGGGAGTCGAGAAGTTCTTGAACCTCGTCGGCAGGCTGCGCCGCTGGGACTCGGCAAAGTCAAATCTATCAGACCACAAGGGTGAGCTTTTCGGTTTCGCCCAGTATGACGATCCTGACTCTCTGGCTGCTGCTGTCGAGCTACTCAAGGACATCGAGTTGCCCGTCAAGAAGCAGGAGCCCACCGACGGCCCCGCCAAGGACGAGTCTGGCGACGACGAGCCGTACAAGGGCATCGAGAAGGCCAAGCTGCAGGTCACCGTCGACGAGAGCACCCTCAAATTCCTAGAGACATACGAGGAGAACAGGCCCGATGACAGTGGCAAGGAGGCCAGACTCGAAGCACCAAGAGCCGCGTTGAAACAAGCAGTCCACGAACTGTTCTACCCGCCACTGCGTAAGACCCAGGACGGCGAGGGCGATGTCAACATGGGCGATGCCAACGGTTCGGGTGAAAATGTCGAGGTTATCAACATCCCCATTGCCCAAGAAGACGAATTGGCTGATATCCCGGCCGAGATGAGAGAGGTTGTCGCCCAGGAGATAGCCGCATTCCGCGACAGGAGCATCCAGCGGGATCTGGAGCGGCTGAGGCGAGAAGAGGAGATGGAGGAGATGGAGCGGGCGCGCAACGGTCCTGTACGACCATCCCGAGGCTCACCCCCACCCGGTGCCAACTCCATCCCGCTCGGACCAAGGGGTGTGCCTAATGCGCCATCCGGCCCTCGAGGCGCGGGCAGGGGTGTGGCTTTCGTGAATGGTGCGAACGGTGACGGCTCATACTCGAGAGACGACGAAGACACAGACGCGAGCGACAATGAGCTCCACCGCAGGGAGCTAGCCAAGCACAGGTCCGAGGACGACAAGCAGTACCTGGAGGCCGAGCGGAAGTGGGTCAACAGGGAGAGGCAGCGCGCCGCCGCCCTGGAGCGCGAGACGGACCGGGAGAAGGCCGAGGCCGACAGCATAAACCAGCGCGTCGAGGAGCAGCTCGAGCGCGAGAAGGACTGGGACGACGAGAAGGAGGCCGCCCGCAAGTCACACCCCTACTACCGCGACCACGCGGCATGGGCGCGGAAACGGGCCCAGGACCGCGCCGAGGAGGAGGGCCGCGACGAGCAGGACCGCCGCGCCGAGCAGTCGGAGCGGCGGCGCGAGGCGGCCGAGATCGAGCAGGCCAGGGACATGGCCGACTCGTTCCTCGACAAGCAGGCCGAGGAGATGGAGCAGCGACAGCAGCAGCAGCAGCAGCAGCAGCAGGCGGCCACCGCCGCGCCGGCCCGGTTCACGATGTCGCTGGGCGCGGCGGCGCAGAAGGCGCAGCAGCGCGCGGGCCCGCAGCGGCGGACGATGGCGGAGGTGGAGGGCCTGCTGGACGACGAGGAGAACGAGCAGGCGACGAAGCGGACGCTGGTGCCGATCAAGTTCGAGCCGCTGGGGCCGGACGACGCCAAGGCCATGAGCGAGGAGGAGGTGCAGGCGGCGGTCAAGTCGCTGGCGCAGGAGATCCCCACGACCCGCGAGGGCCTGTGGGCGTGGGACGTGCAGTGGGACCACCTGGACGACTCGGCCGTGTCGGACAAGCTGCGGCCCTTCATCGAGAAGAAGGTCGTCGAGTACCTGGGCGTGCAGGAGCAGCTGCTCGTCGACGTGGTCGAGGAGCACCTGCGGCGCCGGTCGCGGCCTGCCGAGCTTGTTGAGGAGCTCGAGGGCCCGCTTGAGGACGATGCTGAGGATCTTGTTAAGAAGCTCTGGAGGATGGTTATCTTTTTTACGGAGAGTGAGAAGAGGGGGCTGCCTGCTTAGTTTGTGTGTGTCTGCCTGCCTGGTCTGGTCTGTGTGGGCTACCGGGGACAGTGGTTGTGGATCGATGAAGGGGGCCATGGGGGGGGTCATGATTAGGTGGATGGTTGGTTGGGCGGGTTGTTGAATAGTAGGTAGGTAGTCTGCCCCTGTATGAGTATCAGTCGGACGCGTGGCGATTTGCAATCTTTGGGGGGTCCTGGTCTAGTATGTGTGTGTGTTCTCCCTGTTGTGGGATGGAGACGCTACGAGGCGGGGCGAGGCGAGGAGGTGGGTTGGTCCGGGGTGTGTACGTTGTAGATAGGAGTCGACCTGGCCGGGGACGGCTTTGGTGTGTGAACGTGAAAATTGGACTTGATGCATGTGTGTGTGCATACATACCCCCATGTTTATCTGTGTCTTATCTGTGGGAGTTATTGGTGTTGTTTATGTGTGATATGTGTGTGTGTGTGTGTGCGGTTTGTGTGTGCGAAAGGTGATGGGCGGCCAGAACCCGCGCAGATGGTACCTGCCTAGGTACACAGTAGCCTCGGCCGACCTTCAGATACTCCGAGTGCGAGTGGTTGAGCACCACCAACCGCCCTGCTGGCCTGCCATCCCCCGGCTTCTCTCGTCTGACGGCTGGCTGGCTGTTCTGTGCTGAAATGTCCAGCACGAGGTTGGGATCCGCCCTCGGCCGGCGGGTTCTCACGATGGCGCGACCGACCGCATACCATCGGCACCTGGGAAGCAGAACGGGGTTCTCGCCGAGCCTGGGACTCTTCAGACTTCAAGTGCGCAGCTGGAATTTGTAGTAGGAGATCCAAGAGCACCAGGCTTGACTTGTTCACTGCGATAGTACAGCTTATGTGTGAACCTAACTGGTTTCGCCGCTACCGCCCCTACGTCCGAAGATATATTGCGCATGGCGCCTTTACACGGTGGACCGTCCCTCGAAGGGACCCGTGGCCAGATTCCGGGCCGCGCTGAATGACCTGGACCTTGACCAGGCGCCTAGAAGAGTACTTATATATCTACGTACGCTCTTTATTTCACAAGAACAATGACATCTAGTCAACTTATTCAAGGATGCTATACTATTATTATTATATAAAAGAGTAAGTATAAAGATATTTAAATTATAGTAATTATAATATTTTCAAAAGTGTATATTTTTCTCTTAACTTATAATATAATTATAATTATATAGTATATAGCTAAATTTAAGTAAATTTAAGGTTTTCTTTAATAATAGAATAAATGTTAGTGTATTATTATAGAACCTAACTCCAATGTTAGACTAAGCGTGATTTGGCCTGCCGAAAGGCTAAAAGAGAAACCATCCATGGATATCGTGCAGACCGAAAGACCCCCCCACCTCGGGCTCTTCCAGCTACGTCCTGGCTCGTACATCTCTTTGCAGACTGGTAAACGGAACTACTTCGTTGGGTTTTCATTGTGGCGGCTCAATTATGTACTCCAAAAGGGTTCCAAGCGTTGGCCAGCATCCACTCACAGCAGCACTATTGACAAAGTGCCAACCTGGCAGGGCTGGAGCCACTGCTAGTTTCAGACCGTCACGCACTACCAACAGTAATGAAAGACTTCAGAATGTTCGTTGTACATGGTCCTGACGCCGGCACTTTTAAGTCATATGGAGGCCGCACAGCTTGGAAATATATCTATCTCCATTCGAAGCGGAAGAAACTGGCCATACCACACAGCAACCTAGCACCTTTCGACGACCTCACACGAAAATTAACACTCATCTCGCCGGTGTTATCGCGAAGACCAGAAACAGAAGCCTCGACCTGAAACATACAGCTAGCTATTACCAGTGATCAGGATCACGAGCACCCGGGCAACTACTGCAATATGGACCGACTAGACCAACTACGAGAACAGCTTAACGCTATTGGAGCTGCGACTGACATCCCACTGCAAGACCGGTCTCATGATCTTGCGACTGTGGCTGGGGACTACGCCGTCGAACTCCTGCGACGTAGTAGGCAACAGCGTTCAGACCAGATAGATCCACCCCCATCATATAATGAGACCATGAACACAGCGACAGTTCCTCGCACAGAAGATGTTGTCCCCGCCTCAGCATATCCTGAAGACCGTCAGAGGCATTCTTCAAATCCCTCAACGTCATCAGCACAGCTATACGCCGCCTCGTCTCAGACCACCATCCCGCAGGCGGCTCAACCCACGGAGGTCACGCCTGAAGAGAACGGCCACACAGCAGAACAGCGGGAGAACCGACGATGGAACGCAGAAATGATGCTCTCGTATGCGGTGAGGGAACTTCAGGAGGTTCATTCCACGGAGGCCTCGCCTGAGGAGAGCAGCCGCACAGCAGAACAGCGTGAGATCCGACGACAGAACGCAACAAGAGTTATCTCGCATTTACTGAGGGAGATGGGGGAGATTCAACCCCCCGTGGAGATAACAAGGTCCATCACAAACCCCAGGTCGCGCTCCACGGCATCAGACGCGGTCGGGGGCAGCATTGAAGATTATCATTCCGACACCGCGCTACTGGTATTTCAACGAGAGCGTATAGACAAATTGGAGCGTGAGGTGGGAACTCAGGTGAGGACTATCGAGAGCCTGCACCGGAAGGTGAACATTAGAGATGAGATCATCGAGAAAGATGCTGCTTATGTCAAGCTTCTGTGGGCTCTTGTAAAGGAAAAGGAAGATCTGCTGCAATATGAATGGAGCAAATTGTCGTTCTGTTGTTTGATGTGAGAAAAGGAGGCTATCAGCATGAATTGATGTGTAAGCAATCGGAAGAGTTAAACATTAGGGTCAGCACCGGTAAAGGAGAAATGAACGAGATCTAAAGATGTATAAAGTCTAGATAGAGAGACTTATTATATTTATATAGTTTTACTTCTATTCTATATACATTTATAGATATATATAATACCTTTAGCTTTAACTATATTATATTTTTCCTTTATATTATATAATTATCTTTGAATTTAGCTATTTATTTCTTCTTTAATACTTTCAAGTTTATATATAAAGTTTTTAATAACTTTATATATATTCTTATAATTCTCTTATAAAGGAACTTTAAAGTTTTTTTATATTTCTATTATATTTTTCTATATTATTAAAAAGTTAATAATTATTAATAATAAAAGTATAGATTTAAAGGAGGATAAGCTTATTATACCTTCCTTGTTTTTATAAATTATTTTAAAACTCTTTTAAAAGTTTTAATACTTTATTATAAAAGTTTTAAAGATAATATATTATAAATTATTTCTTTATTTTAAGTTCTTTTAAAGTTAATTATATATTTAAATAAAGGTTATAATATTAACTTTATAAGTTTATTTAATAAAAGTTTTATTATAGAATATATATATATATATATATATATATATATATATATATATATTTAAAGGATAATTTTTAGTTAGGCTTTTTAATATAATTTATTTATATAGTAATTATTTTTAAATTTAATTTTATTATTACACTATTAAACTAAGAAATAATTAAGTAAGGTAACTATACTTTATTATTTAAGTTTATAGTTTTAATAGCTCTATTATAAATAGAAATAAAATAATTATTAATAATTAAATTTATAATTATATAAAGATAAATCTTTATTTTAAAGAGAAGTTATTATTATTTAAAATAATTAATATATTTTTAAAAACGTTAATAGATTATAAACTTAATTTAAAGTAAATTAAGATTTATAAGAATTTTAAATTTAAGCTTAAGGGTTTTAATTTAAATTTAATTTATTTAAAGAGAAGAATATTAAATAGACTTTAGAAAAGGGTTAAAATAATATTAAAAATTAAATTAAGTTATAATATAATAAAATAATTAAATAAAAATTAATTAAAAATTATAATTATAAGTCTTTTAATCTTATATTTAAAAGGAAATTAAAAATTATAATTATAGATCTTTTAACCTTATATTTAAAAGGAATAATTACTTATAATATAAAAGAATATAGTGTAATTAGAGCTAGATTTATTATATATATTTAATTACTTTAAGTATTAATTATAATAAATTATTTTATTTAATTATAAATTATTTTTATTTAATTCTTTCTTTCTTTATTAATAATCTTAAATTTATATATAAAACTTTTATAACTTTATAAATAATCTTACTTTATTTTATACATATTTATATATATATATAAATATATATATAATAAAATAAAAATAATAAAATATTAAGAATAATAAAAAATAAGAATAATAAGAATAATAAAATAATAGAACAATAAATAATATAATAAACATAAATACTTATAATCTTAATTTTATAATATATAAATAAAGTTAAAAGATATTATTTTAATAATAATATTAATTTAAGTATTATATTTATATTATAAATATTATTATTATTTTTAAGTAAGTTAATAAACTTATAAGTAAGTTATTTTTATAAGTTTAATTAAAATTATTATTAAATATAATAATTTATATATTATTTATAAATAATAGACAAATAAAATATAAACTAAACTAAACTAATTATTTTAATATAAAATCTAGATTAGCTAATAGAATCGTTATGTATAGTAGTATACATTAGGTAAGTACATTTCGGGGGTGCTCGTGCTTGAGGAGTAATCTCTTCTCCGGCAGGGTGCATTGATTATTATACATTGATAGGTGTCGGGATTTTCCTCTGCTTGCCGCCTAATTCTTAGATCGTTTATTAACCGCGTATCAAGTCCCTCATTCTGTTCCCATATGAAGACTTCATCGTCCAGACAATCCAGCACGTCCAGGAATTTGTCCATGGTCCATTTCGGCAATGTCTGGGGGGGGTGTCCCTTTGATAGTTTGCCCTGTTGAACCAGGAAGTATGCAATAACTCGTTGGATAACCAACTCAGTGGAAATTTCGTAATCTGGCCGCAGGAGTTCGGACGAATGGGCGTCTGCGGAGAGTCCGAGGAGCGCGTAAACTATGTCGCGCGGTTCAGTGGCCTTGCTTCCGCCAAACTTTCGAAGAAGGGTCAATAGATCTCTCCCAGATCTCTCGCCCCACCAGGATTCCGCACGCAGTAACCCAGGCATGATGTCTAAGCGAGCCTGAACACCATGGGGACAGCGTATTTTGAGAAGCAAAGGCATAACAACAAACGTCCGTGAATTTATCTCTTTCAGTCCACACTTTATCATGGCTGATTTAGCAAGTGCTGCCTCCTGGAGGACCCAGATTCTGGAGAACCAATCTCGTTCCAACAATTCGGCAAATGCTCCAGAGATATCCTCCGGCAAAGTTCTGCCAGGTAGTGTCCAGAGGGCAAGTTCCCATTGGATTTCCCACTTTGTGATCGTGTGCGGCTTCGCTACTGGGAGCATTTGCTGGTCAAGCGCGATCATCCAGTGAAACAATTCGTCGATGTCTTTGTTGCTGGCCCCGAGCCAGATGATGACTCTCTGGGCAGCCTGGTAAACAAGGCCCATCTGGCGAACCTGGTGTCCACGCTCCTGGGAAGTGCCCCAATGAAGGTGTTAGCATTGCAAGTATGATACATTGATACCCCAGATGATCTTACCTACCTTGTTATGGCTCTGGTCAATGCAAATAGCATCCACCCATAAGTCTCTATCTTCGTCCTCTCGTCGTAAGTGTATGAGGGCTTCGTATAAGTTTTTAGTCACAATAAATTCACACCCGTGGAGAAATATTCGATCTGCAAATTCTTTGTTGTTTGGGGGTGGTTCGCCCCAAACATAGGACAAGGCTTCGTATGGGACGCCCTCGATCTGGTGTAGAAAGGCCTCGAACATCTCACATCGGATTGGCTCGGACCGGGCTCCCTTTCGTAATCTGAGGAGTCGTATAGCGTCCGTAGCGAGATCAATGCGTTCGTATTCATAGTTTGAAGGCATTGCGCCGGTGAAAGACGTCACGGATTCCCCGACGCCAGTTTGTAGATGTATGTGGTGCCTGGCACAAGTCTCTCGTTAGGACAGCGTACCACTCAGAACTAATGGAGAACCTTTGCGCGTGTTAAAAAGAGGAAATGGGCCGGGCAACTACGAGCAGCTCATCGTGTTGTTGAAGTAGAGGTTCAGATATAGTCTGCACCGCGCCGACTCTGCACAGCCTGATTTTAACATGACATGATAAGCTGCGTCAGCTTGGGCGGGGGCGGGGGCATGTGTAAATATACCTAGGTACCTAGGTAGTTGTGACTACCTACCTAGGTACTTAGGTAGTCACCTAGGTAGCCATTCATTCAACAGCACCTATGTGTCACGGCAAAGGCGGGGTCCAATGTGACGGGCTCTAACCGTGGCTGTCGGCAGCAATTGGGGAGCTCAGCTTGAAGGTCCGTAGGTTGCACAATACTTGATTCTAGTCAGTTACTGGGCCCCAGAGATTGATTATAAGCGGAGCTTGCTGGCTTATTACTTGTAGCTAAGGTGACTTTCGTCATACAGCTGGGGTCACCTGGAGTTGTGGACGATTTGCTGCATTCCCAAACACATTGGTGTCAAGTATAGTAAGGATAATCAAGATAAAGATGAAATTCAGATTAGTAACGAGCCCTCTGACCTGCTCATGGGCGAAGTCACATACAGGTCTCCTAAAGAATGTTTCCTATGAAACCCTGAGCCTCTATTTCCTTGTTGCACACACATGCGTAGCCACTAACGGGCAGTCAGCACGAGCTTGAGGCATCCATGCAATTCCCCCAAACTCCCAGGTGCCCCGATCCTCCACAAAATGCGTTTTTCTTTTTTCAGCGAGCATTCGGACGTCATAAATTTGTACCAGGAGACTGTTTCAAAGTCGAACGAAGCATTTGTCAACTCATACGACCATGACAGCAAGTAACGGTGTCAGTCTCGTCTTGCAGCAGGAGGAATCAAACACTAAATAGGTCCGGTCGGTTTCGAGAAAGGTTATCGCGTTGAGAGAGGGGATTACAGCATTGTTGTGAGCAATTATCCCTGTGAACGTGTCGCGGCGAATCTGATCAGATCTCAAGTCATTTTGCTACAAGGAGTGAATTCTTCTTCTTCAAAGCTGCGCTCCCGTTTCCGCTTGAAATATCCCTGTGCCCGGCGGTTTCTGAGCAGAAAAAAGGCGATACAGATGGCAAGTACAAAAGCCATCTCGACAATAATCGGCAAGTAGGCCTTCAGGCACTCGCAGAGGTCGACTTTCGGGTCACGGTTGAACATCTTGCCCTCGAACATGTTGGCGATGAATGTGGTAAATGATTTCGCAGTAGATCGGATTGTGGTGATTGAGGTAATGTGGACAAGTCTCAATGGTCGCTCGAGGGAGCGATTCACCTGATTTATAGCACCCCCTTCAAAGGTAGGCCCCGAGGGAGACAAACATGTTACAACCGATGGTGGTACCGGTATTGGCATCGATGCACGTCAACAAACAAAGAGGCTCGAGTTTTAGCTGAAACACGAATTATTATTCAACAGATAATGGCCCATTGGACGAGTCAAAATTAATTCTGGCCATTTATGAATGGGGTTGTCTCATGTGAGACGCTCCGACGTTTCGGATTCGAGTAGCTGATTGTTAGACCTGTATGATCAAGGGATACGCAGTCGCTATTCTGTTTCTTTATGCTGTCCCTGGACTCGACGATTGGTGTTTCTCTTGAACAAGGCTATGATACTTGCATATCTCTGGTTAAACCAAATGGCCGCAGTAGAAGAGTGCAGTGTCCACGCAATCACTAAAGTGACAACAACAAAGGGCAAAGTGACCGCAAAGTACAGTTGAATGGTGTCGATGCTCATATCCTCGCGCTTCTGCATGCTGAAAATGCCGGAAAAGACGCCAAAGGGAATAAAGAATGTTGCTAGCCAGGTGAGAAAGCCTATGTTTCGAGCGTCTGTGATGGCTCTTCGCGTGTCTTCGACGGCCATGACAGCCGTAACGACAGAGGTGAGTCGATCTATCCGTGATTGGTACTCTTCAAGGTGTGCCAGGACCAGCTTGTAGTCTTCCTCGTAGACCTTGATGTCACACATCTTCAGTGATGCCGCCGTCTGGGAGCAATTCGGACAGCCAGTAGTTGCCGACTGACCTGAAGGATCTTGGGACTGGGTCATGTTGAGTTTGGAGCGACTCAAGCCGAAGAAATGCTGAAGGGTCTCCGCTACCATCTCACGGTAGAGCGGTATTAGTCGTCGCCATATGTGTAACTTTTCCAAAGTCGTGTCTATGAGCTTCTTGTCGGAAAGATGGTTCGGGTCGATAGTCTCCATATCGATCTGATTCAGCCGTGTCTTAATGTATTCGCACATGATAAGCCATTCAGAGCCGACCAGATTGAGCAGCACCAAGACCGGTATGTGTTCTCTGGGCGCCTCTTCTAGCCCCAAAGCAGAAAGCCCTGGTCGCCGCGCCCAGTAGACAAAGTCTTCAAAAAAGCTCCTCTTGCAAGAATCTTCATGACTGGGACTTGTCCAGCTAGGCCACTCGGATGGCTTATCTTGAATTGCCGAAGGCCAGGGGACCGGGTGGAAATTCCCGTGGCCACGCCACAGGGGGAAACCATTGGAGACGGTTGGGTCGAGAAGAAGCACCCCTGCAAAGCAGAGTCAGAATAATCGTATCGTGCTAGAGTATGGATGTTAAAACATTACCTATTGCTGTTTCTTTGTCGCTGGCATTTGGCTTCAACCAGAACGTTGCTCTGGAACGAGTCAGGGCGACAGCAGCTGACCTGCATGGACCACCGGAGCTTGAAGGCCCAGATACTATATCCCACCAACCTCTGCTTTTATCGTTGTCTGGACGTCGAAGAATGTTGAAGCTCTCCTTGGCCTCTGTTGCGGCGTCATTCAGGTCGCCCTCGTTCTCGAAGTACCTTGCCGCGACATAACGCATCTGCCACCAATTCCGCCGCCTTCTGACCAGCTCTAATGGCTGGTTGTCTCTCCAGCGATCGCGGATATTGTACCACGCGTAGTCGACAATGTGAGCTCGGAAGAAATCTGGCTCGATTCCAAACTTTGTACCCAAAAGCTCAATTACTTCTGCCGAAAGATCTTCCACAACGTACAGGCGGAAGGATGCTCCGTTGGTAGTCCTTGCTTCAATTTGACCTTCCAAACTCTCAGTCTCGGAATGGCGTTTGCACTGGGCTGTATCGATACAATGCATCACCTCCGTGTTCTGGTCGTCCGCGAAGTACTCTAGTACGCGAATCTTGATATTGTCCTTGGTGGGTCCTGACAGATCTTTGTCCTTCTTCCATTCCCGGGGCATTTTGCCAATCTGCATGAAGTCTGCTAGAAGTCTGAGATGGATCCATTGCGTCTTCGATGCCTGTTTAACGAATCGAAGGTAGTCCTGGCCGTCCTGCGTTTCCTTGTTCCACTCACGCGCAAGCTCATGATATTTGCTATCATCGTAAGCGTCTCCAAAATAGTTGTAATTTTTGTTTCTCAGTTTCTCGTCGAACCATCGTTCCCTTTCTGGCATGCGAGTTGTCGTCGAGTTGCACATTTTCATGAGTCAGATTGAGTAAATAGGCTGGGTATTCGAAGATAAGGACGTCATCAAGATTTCAGTACCCGGCAGCCGCTGATTGGGAGCACGCCCATATTTATGATACCGAGACACCTGCAGCCGTCGAAAATTCAGCTTCACAAATCTGCAGACTATTGGTCGAAGGCTGCAGCTGCGGGGTCGAAAGATTGAAAATAGAACTGAACAAACACACGCCCGTGAGACTGCCGAAAATGCAGTATGCGGTGGCCAGACAGTTCGCTGCACCGATTTGATTTGGATGCACAGTCCGGCCACATATTTATGCGGCCTGACTTGTGCCCAACTGAATATGCACCTTCACCTCGGCTCTTGAATGTTCTTGTTCTTTAAAAAGAATCCTGCAACGTCTCAACAGATACTATGGGCACAGCTGATCACTGAAAGGCAAACGCGAGAGCTGCTTGTGATACGACGCTTACCCAATCCAAGTGAGCATAGTGTTACAGAGCATGGAATACCGCAGCCATGTATTGCATGTGCGTGTCCTGGTTGGTCCTGTATCACACATAATGTGACTGCATGCGGGGTCTTGCAGATCTCAGGCAGCATCCAAGGCAGCAACACTTCGGAGGGTGCACAAGTGTTCCAAATCCAGCCCTCGAAAATGGCTTGAGGTCTGCCGTGGCTGAAAAATGTAGCATTCCGTCTGCACAATGGCCGGGCGCCCTTCCATTGGAGATCGGATATTCGCACCCGCAAAAGGGGAGGACACACCCAAACCCTAAGGAATAAACTCCTGCAGGACAATCTCCTATTAGACAACCTCCTATGGGACAACCTCCTATAGGACAACCTCCTATAGAGTGACCTCCTCTATGATAACCTTCTTTGGGATAACATTCTATGGGAAAAGTTTATGAGATAATTGGTTTGGTGTTAAATGGAGTACTTTGATCTCTAAGTTGCCTAGTAGGGGTGTACCTTTCGTCTTTGTGGGTGTGAATATCCGGTCTCTTCCACTGAAGCAATTGGCGAGGTCCCTCAGACCTCTGTGGTTTCGCTTCTATTCCGTATACGTCCGAGGACATACATGATGCCGTAATACAGTCGTACAATATACTTCCACGATCAAATGATGGAATGTAGCCCATATCTATACGGCGAACAAAGCTTGGAGCCGGCTTCTAAGGCTTTGCAGCATATCCGTCCGGCTTGTCTAAGAGACATATTTCTCGCAAACCAGAGCTCGAGATGGCCGGTATAAAAGCCACCCCCGGAGACACCATATCAGGTTGAAGATAGGAACTCCGCACTAGTTGTTCGGCGCTGGTTCTCAGACTTCATGGCCCATGAGAAGACTGCAGTAGACACGCTTCTTCATCACTTGACGTTGAAGAGAAGGCCGTTGCTTACTCATCTAGCCAGCACAAGGACAGGGGTAGATCATCGCTCAGGCACAGGGGTTCTCCACATCAACATCGCCCGTTGAGCCGAGGCATCTCGTCTCTACCCCATACTAACTCCACGTTTCTGCACAGACAGCCCACAACGTCCTACTAGCCCTGCTTGATGTTGATTGCTTATGCGAAGGACCTGAACATTTCAACTTGAGCCTCATCGACACATCTCGGCGCCGCGGCCAACTGCAGCAATCGTCATCATCCGCACTTTTGTCGGCATCATTGATCTACCTTAAGCAGTCAACGACAGGCCTCGGGTTATAACAGTACCGATATCTATATCATAGCAATTATGGCCTCATTGCCCAAGGGCCTGACATCACCACCTCCTCCCGTCCCAGACGTGATCACCTCCTTCCCCGCGCCGCATGTTTTCCTCGTCACCATTAACCGGCCAGATGCCCTAAACGCCATCCCGTCCACAAATCACGTTCTCTACGACGCCCTCTGGCGCTGGTATGACTCCCAGCCGTCCCTCCGCTGCGCCATCCTGACCGGCACGGGGCGGGCGTTCTGCGCCGGCGCGGATCTGAAAGAGTGGAACGACCGGAACACCGCAGCGGCGGCCGCCGCAAGTGGCAGCCAGCAGCCGCCCGAGACGTCCGGGCGGGCCAAGGACAGGTGGGCCTCGTCCGGTTTCGGCGGGCTCAGCAACCGTACGGGCAAGAAGCCCGTGATCGCGGCCGTGAACGGCCTCTGCCTCGGCGGCGGCATGGAGATAGCCGTCAACTGCGACATGATCGTCGCGAGCGAGACCGCCAAGTTCGGGCTGCCTGAGGTCAAGCGGGGCGTGGTTGCGCTGGCTGGCGCGCTGCCGCGGATTCAGAAGACGCTTGGTAAGCAGAGGGCTGCGGAGATGGCGCTTGTCGGTGGGATGTACACGGCGCAGAAGATGTATGAGTGGGGTGTGGTGAATAAGGTCGTCAAGCCGGGTGATGTGGTCAAGGAGGCGGTCGGTATTGCCGAGGAGATTGCTGGCAACAGCCCCGACTCTATCATTGTGAGCCGTGAGGGACTGAAGCTGGGCTGGGAGGTTGGTCCAGTGATGGGGACGGAGCTCGTCGAGCGCGGAATGTTTGGCCGGATCGACGCGGGTGACAATATGCGAGAGGGTGTCATGAGTTTCGTGGAAAAAAGGAAGCCGGTGTGGAGGGATAGCAAGCTCTGAATGAAGGGGTTAGGCTTCTGGTCATATATTTGTGTATATTCCAAACTGGGATGGGAGCTCAGTACCTGAAGCCGGGCTGTCAAACTCTCTATACGACATTGATTATTAACTGAGGGTTATGAAAGGTGATATTATCAGTGTAGCCGTCCTCAAAAGAAAGAAGGAAGAAGACAAACAGAACAGTTCCAGGTTCCCGCGACTTGAAAATCCAGCAGTCACAAAAGCCCGTACCGTCACACAAGGCGGTAGTTGATCTGACATAGATAAATGGGCACATCGTCGGCTATCTATTTTCGGATGTAGACGTTGTTCGGCATTTTACAGCCTATCTTGCATGGATGTAAGCTCACTTGGAGCATGTCGACTGATATCCACATCTCAAAATTGAGTTTCCTAGCGCTTGAGGTGCTGTGTTAACCCTACAGACCCCTCCCCGCTTTTCCGGCTCAGGGCTGGAGGCATCCCAGTTGGCGGCCAGGGGGGTTGCTCCCAACAACCAGGCCTTCTAATGATGAACCCATTTTTTTGAATCACAACACCCGAGGGAGCTGGCAGATCCCTTCATCAGAGCCAAACCAATATCCAGTCCCAGTCAAGCCTAGAGCATATCTAGCTACCAAGATTTGAGAAGCTGCGCTTCTTTCAAAATCCATATTTCCATCTGACTTGCCCATCGCCTGCGTGAGCCTGGCGCAGGATTAAACATGAGCAATCCTGCAGCCCCACTTCTCGACGGCGCCGCAGGTCCGCAAGCACGACGACTCGGACTTTGCCAAGTATGTGATCAAATCGGCACATCAGATGGTCGTTGGTTTATCAGAACGGAAAACAATCATCTGGCAATATACATTCACCACCCTGACTTGCATTGTCTCAAGGCCACCGCCCTCCAAGGATGTATGATGTGCCAGTTTCTCTTCAGGACAATCGTGGGCGGCATTGACGCCGGCAACGTAGCCACACTTGATGACGGTGTCTTTGAGAGTAGGAAGGTTGAGATCAGCAATGAATTGGAGGTGACCGACTGGAAGAGTCTGTTTGAAAAGCATAGCCACGAGTTCTCATCGGCAATCACGCATGACGTGCGAGTCTCATTGGAGAGTGCAGACATGTTCTCGGGGGATGACATTCTGAGGGAAGCCAGGCTGAGGGAACTCCGCCTTTTGTCACAGCTGTGTGGTTATGGAAGAGTGATCTTGACTGGAACCCCTTCAATAAATCGCCTTCCCTCAAACTTGCACGCCGTGGTCCTGCGCCATGTTGGCACCTCAGATGTCCAGCTCGACAATTCTCATAACCCGTTGCTTACGGGGTCGTCCTTTGAGCTGATACCCGACCCAGGTATGGAAGCCAGCCAACTTCTTGCATACTGGAAGGTTTGCTGACTATTCGAGACTAAGGCGACCCACTGGAACCGCTGGCTCACATACGGAGTACCTCCCCGAATTTATTCAATAAACACCTTTTACAACGTATACGTGGGTGGCGTGACTACTGTCTATCTCACCATACAAAATGTCGCGGAACCAGTGGCCCGCAGCCTCTGCCAAGCCGCGCCATAGAAGTCCCCGCTTGGCCAACTATTACCACGGTCAGACTTCGAGACACGAAAGGCAAGAGTGGTTTCTATGCTGCTCTCTCTTACTGTTGGGGTATATTTCCACAAAAGAGGACAACCAAATCCACGCTCGAAGAACATATGGCGGGCATCTGTACTACAACGTTGCCGTCTACGATTCAAGACGCTATAAGGCTATGCCAAGCACTGGAAATACCATATCTCTGGGTTGACTCACTCTGCATCCTCCAAGATGATGCGGAAGATTGGCGTCAGGAGGCTTCTGAGATGGGAGTTATCTATAGTCGGTCGGCGCTGACTATAACCACGCCATATAACAGCCAGTGTGATCAGAGCCTGAACGCGCCCAACGAAAACCAAGATGATTCATCTTGGCCTCGGCTACGATGGGAACATCGTCGCGGCGAAATGACGGTCACGGGTTCTGTTACAGTGCGGCCAAGAGTGGCGATTCCGAGTGGTGAGCCCTTCCCGTTATCAAACGGGAAGAAAGACTCTCCTTGGATGACTCGGGGCTGGACTCTGCAAGAGTGGCTCCTTTCCCCCCGGGTACTTCACTGCGGACGTGAGAGAGTGTGGGATTGCCACGAGACTTGGCACACAGAGAGTCGTATGACCTGGACTAGCACGTCGACTTCACCTCTCAATGACAATAAAATTCTGCGAGATGGCTTGTCATCTCACATAGTTGCCAGGATGTCCCGTCTTGATCCGGAGACCAGGAAAGGTGGCTTCGACACCCACTGGGCTCGTGTGGTGGAAGACTTTACATCCAGGACCCTCAGTTGCGAGATGGATAAGATGCCTGCCATAGCGGGACTTGCAAAAAAGTTCATGGAACATGCCCACGTGAAGGCACCCGATGCCATATACCTTGCGGGCCTCTGGTACTACAAGGGTGTCAACCCATTCCGTGGTGGAGCACATCCCATATCGCAAATACCATTAGGATTACTGTGGAGACGGTCCGGTGCGGGCTTCATGCGATCACCCGCTGCGTACAGAGCCCCTTCATGGAGCTGGGCTGCCTTGGACGGGCCGGTGGAGCTTTTCCGTGTCCAGTGGCCTCTTATATCTACCTCAGACAACAAAAACGCGTTCAAGGTGATAAACCTACTTAAGGTGGAAGCCGCCAATTGTTTCTTTGACCCACCTGAGTCGTTGTCCCTGGTCCAGACCGCTTGGATCATCGCTTCAGGTCACCTGGAGCAAGCTTACACCTACGCTCACGCACCTCAGGACGCTGCGACAATTCACTCAGGCTATGCAAACGATTACCGTCAAACATTTGTTGTGTTATATACTCACCCAAGCCACGAGAAAGCATACTGGACTGGAATATTTGATGAATCATTAGAGACTACTGGCATAAACTATGTCGAGGGAAGTCTTTATCTTTTACATGTGGCGACAATCATTCACAAGTTAGATGACGGCCATGTTCTTGAACTGCTCAACCACGCCCTTCTCGTGGAGATGGTGGGCAGCTTTGATCATTTACGTTGCTTCCGCAGGCTGGGGGTCGCCTGGAATTCCTCCCACAGAATGGGCAGAGAGGCCGACAGCATATCCAGGCCAGCCACAGAGTGGAGCGATAGGCACATGCTCAAGGATTGGGAGACTGATCGGGTGCGCTTAATTTGAGAGATCCACAATTCCACAACACTGCTACTACGTCAGCCCGGTCAGCTAGGAGTATATGTATATGCTGTTGAAACGGGGTGAGCATAATATTGTAAAATGTAAAGTCTCGATCATGCTACTATACCTTTTCTTAAAATTCGCACAGTAAGAAGCCCCGTAGCTGTGTTGGCGGAGAATACAGCGGGAATGTCTGTGCAGTCTTCAGCCGGGGAAGGCTCAAGGTAATCGGCGCATGGTTCCATGACATGTCGGTTGGTGCACGTGTGGTTGGCTTGAAAAGTGGCCAGCTGGTCAGAGGATTGGTCGGATGTTGGATATGATTCAATCTTGGCAATCCATACTAGTACATGGCCCGCATTTGAATTGAAGAAACCCATATTCCCAAGGGTTCCCAGAATCGACAGAGGTGGCTCCCTGCCAAGGTTATTCACCGTGAAACAAGTGAAATCTACTTATTAAAGAATCCAAAGTGGAGGGAGGCTCCAGACCTTTGATCTGGAAAGGTCCATAATATCGCGTGTTGGCGTACAGTTTAGTTAGCGTCCCCGCAAGTTCATGCGGGGGAGATCCTGTGTCGTATGACAAGGCCTATCTGGGTATCCCGAGCAACACGAGCGAATAGGAGTGGGGAGGGGATAGGGTGACATGTTGACGATGCGGGGAGAGCCACGGATCACTATAAAATGTGAATCCAGCAATCCCTTATTTACAGCGCAAGGGAGAAGCACACTACACTATTATGTGTTAACTGCATCGACGTCACGGCTTCAAGAAAACCAGCACCATGAGCACCATCACGAAATCAGCGCCGATCGCGAGGGCGGCTTTCAAGCCTCAAGTCCTGCGGCAGACATCCCGTCTTGGCTTTGCCAGTAAAGCTGCACCGGCCGAGTTGCTCCGGAAGAAGGTCGACGGCAAGAATGTCATAATCACGGGTTCAGCTAGGGGCATCGGCAAGTCAATCGCCCTACGGCTCGCTTCTGATGGATACAATGTCTGTATCAATGACATCCCCGCCCTGGAGAGCAGCGCCGATGAAGTCGTCAAGGAGATCACATCTATGGGAAGGAAGGCATGCACGGCCGTTGGTGACGTGACGAAGCGAAGCGATGTCAAAGATGTGATCCAGAAGAGCGTCAAGGAGCTAGGCCCCCTTCACACAATGTAAGTTGCATGTGCTGGTGACAGGCAATACTACAGGACATTCGTAGCTGACATCCTCTTCTACATCAGGATTGCCAACGCCGGCATTGCCCAGGTCAAGGCCCTGCTGGATCTCACGGAGGAGGACTTCTCCCGGATGTTCTCCGTCAACGTACACGGCGTTCAAAACTGTTACGCTGAAGCCGCCAAGCAGATGATCAGCCAGGGCACCTGCAAGCCAGACGCCCCCGGAAAGATCATCGGTGCATCCTCCATCGTCGGTTTCAAGCCGTTCGCCCTGCTCTCACACTACAGCGCATCCAAGTGGGCCGTCCGGGGTCTCACGCAGGCCTACGCGATGGAGCTGGCGGAGCACAACATCACCGTCAACGCATACGCGCCGGGCATCGTGGGCACGGGAATGTGGGAGCTCATCGATGAGGGTCTTGCCAAGAAGCAAGGGCGGGAGGTCAAGAAGGGCGCTATGATGGACAAGATGGTCTCGGAGCTTACAGCGCTGGGAAGAGTGAGCGTGCCTGAGGACGTTGCGAAGCTGGTGAGCTTCCTGTGCAGCAGCGACAGCGATTTCGTCACTGGGCAGACGCAGATCGTTGATGGAGGCATCATCTTCACCTGATTGGGGGGAGCTTGTTCCACATGTCATATATTTTGTGTGTCTTTATGACTGATGACGGTGAACTTGACCTTTTCACGGTTGGTCTCAATTGAAAAGAAAATACTTCGAGAATTGTAAAGCACTACTCTATCGATTCACCTGTCTTACTTACCGTAATGGGGAGTTGCATTGACCAGTGCACGCCGGGGCAACCTCGGGCAAGATTGACAGCTCCAACCACCTGCATGACAGGAGGCATCGGTGGCAACAATATAGGCACACAGTGATCAGGACAAGAATAGGAGTAGGTTCTTTGCAACCACAGAGAAGGTCAGACCTAATGAATGACGAGCTGTTTGACAACGAGTGTGTATTTGGGAGACAACGTATCTGCCTCATCATGCCCAGTTCTTAGCTAATGGACGATTCAGATTTCTCAAGACCACACAAGTGCTGCTAGCTTCCATATCGCACGCACAATCACTACCAGCCCAGTAGAGTCGGTCTCAGATCAGCCAATGTTCGAGTTGAAGGCGCGGCTATTATGGTGCTTGATAGATGTGACTTCGTGAGAATCAACTGTCAGCCTTTTATTCAGAGGATGAGCACATAATATGGTACCTTTTGGTTCTAGAGCCTAGATCCCAGCGAAGGGCTCAATGTCCTCTCGCTTAATTCCCGCGAATGGTTCAATATCGTCGTCACGCTTGATGCCTGCGAAAGGCTCAACCTCCTCCTCTCGCTTTATACCAGCAAATGGCTCGATGTCGTCGTCCCGTTTGATACCTGCGAATGGCTCGATATCGTCTTTGACAACCGGAGCCGCCACCGCAGTGGCGATGAGAAGTGTGGCCACAAAGGCAGTGAATGAAGCATGCATGATGAAGATAGTATGCCAAGGGTTTTCGACAAGTTGATAATGAATTGTAATCTGTTTTCTGGACCGCGATAAGGGTGAACTCTACTAGGGCGAGCAAGAACATATATCTGCTTTAAAGCGTGTCACCGAGCGGCCGGAGGTCTAATGTTGTCATAACGTGACGGAAATTGTCGCGACTTGCCAATTCCTGTTCGGAAACCGAGCCCACGAATGAAACCCACGCCCGCGGACAACATTTTCAGCGTCCTCACTATTGCTCTGCCCCCCGATGTCTATTGAAACACGCCAAGTCCTGGGAGAACGCCATGTATTCCTTTCAGTCCACCGGCATTTGCCTTCACCAGCCTAGCCGCGCCGCCCCTCTTTCGCAGTGGCTGCTCGAGTAGCGGCCAAGACTGTCCACGAAGGCTGTAGCGCTTATTTCTGTGACCTGAGGGAAGTGAAATGTGCCTCCTTGCATGGATCATTTGACCTTGGATCAGCGAATAGCCCCTTACGAGGCTGTGAACCCCTCATGAGACGCCTTGCGGTGCAGCAGCTGCTAGCTGGATATGTCAATATCCGCGGGTTTGATGCTTCACGCGCCGAAGCCATCAGCTGACCCGATATGCAGCGGCTGTCACCTTCGCCTTGGCTTTCCGCGTGGGCTATCAGCTTGAAGTGTGACAGATGAGGTATGGCTGGTGAGTGTTCCACTTCACCGCTCAATTGGGCATTTGAGAGTGATACAAAGCGATATTTGTGTGATGGGATCTCACAAGTGATGATTGTTACACAGCGGAAACTAGATAACTGCTACTGCTTATATTTCTTGGCCATAAGCTTGTCCTGTCGAAGCTTCGGACTTGTCAGCATCACGACCTGCCTCTCCTAATTGGCAGCCGAGACATCCGGTCGACTGCTCATGGTCAAATATCCGCTTCTCCGCGCTTCATACAGCCCGTCACCGCCATACGAACCAATTGGGATTGTTGGATTTGTCTTCGATATGGCTCCCCGTGAAACCACTACTGCAGATGTGGATCCTGTGAATCCTTTCAGAGCCCTGTGGGGATGGAGAATACCCTTGTCTGGATCGAACCCTTGATTCCGAGGTGATCGCTCCGATAGTTATTGTTATAACATAATTAGGCGTCTGCGTTGGGGGGTTGTCGAGGGTTTGACATGGGATCTCCTCAGGTCCCCTTAGCCCAACTTTTCTTAGAGGTCCATCTTCCCTCGCATCTATTTCTTGCTGTACCTCATTAAGTCTTAACTTCACTCGTCCCTCCAAGTAAATTGATCAAGATGGCAAACACAGACGACTACTCACCAATCGGCCGAAGATCTTTCAGTGCTGATGACGGGTCTCAGTCATTACTATCCCACGATGAAAAAATACCCGAAATCAACAGGAGGCGGCCCGCCAAGAGGCGCATGAACTTTGTACTCAAGTCATTTGCCTCCCTGTTAGTGTTGATAGCACACGCAGGACTGGTAGCCTTCCTCATGAATTGGTTTGGAATTGTTGTCTGGGGCGGCTCCAGCAGCAAAACGACAGACGACTCGAGCAGCATGGCCGGACAACACAGTCATGGTGCACATGGTAGCAGCTCCTGCCAGACTGACAGTACCCACGTACGGTATGGCTTCGAGGGAGTAATTCCTGCTGTGTACAAGGATCCTAGCGCGGAGTTCTCCCAGATTAATCCCTGTGGCCATAGCGCTGAGGAAGCGAGGGCACGTGGCTGTCGATATGGCATGCTGTACGGTGCGTGGCTACCTGAAGACTGCTACGATGAAGAGACGGAGGAGAATTTCAAGAAGTACACAAATTGGAGGTTCTGGCTGCAGGCGAACCGGACCGAGGAGGTCAGTTGGGATGAAGTGGCCAAGGGCGAGCACGAGTATGTGCTGGTGGAGTGGGAATGTGAGTATATCTTTTCCCCATGATCTCACCCCTTGAGAAATGTTCTAACACCTGCCAACAACCCACAGATCACCAAAGACATTGCGCTGAGATGAATAGGAGGCTTTTCACTGCTGTATCCAGGAGAGGCCTGCACACTCTAGATTCCTACCTGTCACAGTGGGACCATACGGATCACTGCGCTCACTCTGCAATGGAGCAGCGGCCGTTGCATGAGGTCAATGCCATTCTCTGGCGCAAATTCCCTGACTGCGGACTGGTGCGCTGGAAGGATGGACCGAAATACTAGTTTGACCCGTTGAGTTGGATTCTTGATTAGACTTAGTAGGGATGGCATCTGTACCTCTTAAGGTGAAGTTGTGGTAAATCAGTACTATGAATACAATAGCAGTCGCACCGGAAATTACCCCTTTCCGGATCCCTCTTCAGTCATATTCTACCGGCCCATAAAGCTCCTCGCACTCCCTGAGCACCATAGCGTCCAGTTCGATGCTGTTCATGATGGCCCCGCCCATCCCTTCGGGGTCAACGAAGTACACGTTTTCGGGCCCACAGGGAAATTCAATATCCCCGGCCACCGAGTAGCCCGACCTGATTCCCTCCAGACAGACCAAATGAACCTCAACAACATTCCTAAACAACCAGCCAATCAACCGCGACTCGTTGCGGGCAAAGTACTCGTTCGAGAGGGCCCGCTCAAGCCGTAGCCGTGGGATCTGGTGGGCCACAGCCCGAAAGTCGTTCATATCTGTGTCCCCAATGGAGACCGTGTCCTTGTCGAAGTTGAACCAGACATAGCGCTCACGCTCCGGGTCACCCTCAGGCACTGGGTCAAAACCCTCGTAGGGCCGCACAGCGATCTCGAAAAAAGACTTCTCATATCGACCTTCGGTACTAGTCCTGAGGTGCGCCGTCAGGTGCCTGCGCGCTTCACGGCAGGTTTGCAGCTGGGCTGGGGCGGGGGTAGATGAGCGCAGATGGCGCATCGGCGGCGGCCGCTTGACTGTCCAGCTCACGGTCTGCATGCCTGGCTCGGTTCCCTTGATATTGATTGGGTGTGGCTGGTGGTAGACCACGCGCACCTCGACGATGCGCGGCTCGACGGTAAGCTCCCAGATGCGAGCGCGGAGCTCGATGGGGAGACATGGGAAGGGGTGGAATGTTGCCGCGAAAGTGGTGCTCATGGCCTTTCTGATAGTTACCTAGGTAAGTATACAGTGGTGCAGGACTAGAACCTTTCCGTGTTCGGTGCTGTGAGGGTACAACACGTGGTGACTTTTGGTTGTGAGGACTTGAGTCAATGGGACAACAGCAGCCAACTTCCTCCCCTTATTATTCTCCCCGGCACTCACAATCTGATCAGAAGGGACATTACGTGTGTACCCGGGTCCCATGAATATCGCCCTCTTGGCGACAGCTTGGCCCATTTCCTGCCTCCTGTTACTCGTAGGCACTAGACCCTTGAGCTAGACCGGATAAAGTCGTTACCCATGTTTACAGAATACGCGTACCTAGCATGTCGCATCGGATCTCGGTACGCTGAGCATCGTGAGTTTACGGCCACACAAATCGCAGCGACTCTTGACCGATATGACTAATTTTGCACTCCCCTGCTTAAATATCGACTCGCTCTTCCCAAAAAGGAAAGGTCAATTCGACTTCAATTTTCACATCCTCAAAAATACTTGCCAGTACCTCCTCCCTCTTCTTTTTCACATTCCAGGACCCTAACCACTAACCCAACCCTAACCACTAACCCTAACACTAACCACTAACCCTAACACTAACCATAGGGGCTTCACCCCCAAACCCCCCAATAAAAAGTGGTTGAGGTACTTTTAAGTACCTGAAAGGCTTGGCATTTGAGGTTGCAATTGGGTGGGGTGGTGGTGGGGTAGACTAGTCCTCTCTGGGAAGAGCGAGTCGATATTTAAGTAGGGGAGTGCAAAATCCGTCATACCGACTCTTAACGGTTTGAAATTTTGTGCCAAGGAGAATCTGACTAGGTCTGGCCCCAGCTGGTGGCCAACTCCCTCAAATTCATTATTTTCATACCAGACTTCAGGAGCTCACTAGTGACCCAATTTCAGACCTCTTCCAGATGTCTACAACGCCTTTTAATCAAGTTAGGTTCTACCTTTCAAAATTCGACCTCAGTTTACTTGTTGCTAGTGGATTATATTTACATTATTTCTTTCACTTACCCACTTTAACTACCTTATTACTCCCTCATTTTTGTTCGGGTCGATACAACTATTATTAAATTTTTAAATGCTAGGAAACTATGCTATTAATCCTATTAGCCACCCTTCTAGCCCTAATAAATACTAAGGCCTATTTATTCCCTTAGTCGTTAGTTATATTATCCCTAGTACTAATAAGTACTCTACATTCTAAATAGTTTTATTTTTAATCTTTATATATATAAAATATATATAATACTTTTATATAATAATAAATATTTAAAACTTAATATTTAAAAAAATATAATATTAATAATAATAGAAAGAGAATATAATATATAAGTATATAGTTAAACTTTATATTATATAAATAAGGTTAGAAGGTATTACTTTTAATAGTATTATATTAAAATTATTAATATAAATAGTTTAAGAGTTAATTTACTATAATAAGTTAGTAAAGTAGTTATATAATAAGATTAAAATAATTTTAAAATAGCTTTTATAAAAAAGAATTTTATAATATAAAACTTAATAAGTTAACTCTTTTTATTAATATACTTATTATATAGTTATTTAAATCTACCTTTATTAAATAAGTTAAGTATATTATAATCTTTATCTTAAATATATAGTTATTAATAAAATAATAATATTATAATAATAAACTTATTTAAGAAAGCCTTTCTATATAAATTTTATAAAAAATTAAAACCTTTTAAAAGTTAAATAAAGTTTATTTATTATATATTAAATAAATACTATATAAGGAAAGTAGAAGTTTAAATATTTAAGAATTAAATCTTCCTTCTTTAAGTATACTATTTTATTATTAAGGATTTATTTACTTTTATATAATATATAAGGAATATAATAGAAGAGAGAGCCCTATAGAGAAAGCTAGTAACTCTACTATATATAAATAAGTTTAAAAGTATATATTAAGTAATTATTAACTTTATACTTAAAGTATAAGCTAATAGTTAGTCTAAAAGTTAAGAAGATAATAAATAGATAAATAGTTAAATAAAATATACAATATAGCCAAAGCCTCCACATTCTAAAGAATGGCACATAGCCCCTACTAATATAAGGTCACTTCCTTAGAAAATGACGCGCTAGGCCCGCGATTACCTCCATCTGTCCCTTAGTATCCGCTACGCGCCCATATTCAGTAAGCTTGGCGGTCTTAGCCTCGAACAGTCGCCAGACCTCCAGGTACTGATTTCCCGTGTTCATGTCAATGCCGATGGACAGCATTGCCTCCTTCATGGCCTGGGGCTTCCGGATCCGGGCCAGGTCGCCAAGCGTGATGGCGATATTCGGGTCATTCTGCTTCTCTGGGCTCTCGTTCGTGTGCACCATGCCCAGGCGCACGCACTCGACGATGAGCGCGGCGAGCCCAGCCGCCAAGGCCGTGGCCACGGAGGAGCCAGAGTGCGCGTCGAATTTGTCAAACGGCCCGCCGCTGCCCTTATCCTCGTCCCAGTGGTCGACCACCACCTCGTAGCCCGGGAAGAGGAAGCTCAGCCCCATCCTGTCGCCCACCGTGTCCGAGGCTTTGCCCATCGCCGTCGCCCCGCCGATCCGGAAGGTATCGCGGTTGCCAGCGTGTGGGAACGTCCGGTCGGCGAAGTTGCCCTGGTCAGAAGCCGCACAGAACATGGATGATCCTCTCGTGAGCGCTTCGTGGAGCGCGGTCCTGAAGTCGGTCTCCTCTTCCTCTGGCGGCTTCACCGTCCAGGACATGGATATAATCTCGGCTCCCAGCTTCGTAGCGTGTTTGATCCCTTCGATTGCACTCTTGGTGTCAATCTGCAGCTTTTCCGAATTATGCGCAGCGAACTGGCGTGGGCCGTAAATAATCAGTAATTACTCTTTGATCCCTGAGCTAAATCCCTAGCGTGGACCGTGGGAACATACCGTGCGTAATTTGATCACATATATAACAGCACTTGGACAGATGCCAGCAATCAGACGCGCCATTAATGTGCCGTGCCTAAGATCGTGTCAGCCAATGTCCAAGACCATCTTGGGAGAAAAGTACGAACCCGCTTGAAGAGTGCCACCAGGGCGACACACCGCTATAACTAGACCCTAGTTCGTATTTTTGAAAGCTTTTACCCCTAGAAGGTCTGTTAAAGCTGAGATCACTATGCCACATATCCGTACCTAACACCGAAAATGGTCAGAATAAAATCCTTTTAGAGTACACGGTAAGTCGCGAGCATCTTGAGCAGGGAGATTACCATCATCTATCAGAGCTACGACGACGGGGCTTGGAATGTTTGAGTGGGTGGATTTGGTATCGGTCTTCAGCCTTGCAACGACTTGTCGGAACTCCGCGCTGAATTTCCTCATGCATTCAATCCACCTGTGATGGTTGAGATGCTGGGGACTCATCCCACTCGGGTTCACGTCTCCGTGCTGTAAGCCTCTACCATGATATGATAGAGTTCCCCCCAGGCGCCCAGGAATGCTGGCATGGATGTGGATAGCCGGAGACTCAGGCCTAGGTTTCACATGTTCCCAGACCTGGAACCAGGATTGATGCAATCGTTCTTTGAATTTGTTCAGGTTATCTTCAATTCTCTTTTCCGATTGGACACCCTAGAATTCATGATCAGTATTAATTGCAATATTGAGAGAAGATACCAGAGACATGACGGGTGTAAATGTTTCCTTACTCCTACTCTGATCACGTTTATCCGTTTCAAGTGTCGCAATTTGCAGAGGCCTTCAGCTTCTGACCAGGCTCTCAGGACTGGATTGCTGCCACTCCAGTACAGATTGACTTCTCTTAGAGATTGCCCAATCTTGTCCAAAGACGAGGGGCACAGGTCCGGTCTAGCCCAGTCCAAGATCTCGACTTCCTAATAGGGAGGGTTAGATCCGCCTATGTACCAAAACGACCGCACACCAGCATGCTCCAGATCGACTAACAAAACCATCAAGGGCCTGCTCTATGCCTTCATCACTGTGCGGAAGGTGAGAGAGGGCAGGTTCCTCGAAGTCGTCCACTATGACTCTGATGATCTTTTTCACTCCCCGTTTCTTGTCCCTGAACCACTTGAAAAAGACGACCAAAGGGTCTTGTTTCCATTTCTTCTGACCTTGGACGCGACCATCCTCTTCTGTAGATTCCAGTTGAATTTGAGGGAAAGCAACATATTGTAGCACCGATTCGAACCGGAGGTGGTCGAACACCTTTTCAAACTTGGCCTTTGTTATGTCTTTCCTTGGCCCAAAGTCAAACCACAGAGCCTTATCTTAATAGAGCGTTAGATCAACGGTTCATTCCATCGCAGTCTCGGTCCAGGCACTCACCTTCAGCACCTTCTGAAGATAGAAGAAATTGTGACGCTTTTTCTGGCTCCATGGTCCCATGGTCCTGAGACAGAGTAACTTGATGTAGTCCAAAATCTTGTCTGACGCATCCTTCCGCTCTTGGTGCAAGCGCTCCTCGGCTTCCCTTCGCCTGCTGTCGACAGAATTTGAAACTGTCATGTTTGCAGGAGTTGAAGTTCCTGATCGGGAGGGCACCTCCGTGACTTTCATAACATTTCCTCTTGAAAAGGCATTGGCGCTGGCCCTGCTTTCAGAAGGTGGTGGCGGCGGTTCCTTGGAGCCTTTGAGGATCGAATCTGCTTTCTTGGAACTCACACGTGTCTCATGAGGCTCAAGAGCTTCCGCATCAATTCTAGTGTGCTCGATCATCGTCCCTTCCTGTTTTTTTAAGTCTCCCAGCTGGCCCAGCAGCCGCTGGGCCTGCATCTCTTCTTGATCCATCAACTCTCTTTGTCTGACTTTGTACCTCTCTTCTGCATTTCTCCGTGAATGTTGGTGGTACTGATAGATTGAGACCAATCTTCCTGATTCGAGCGTCTTTTCGACATCCAAAGCTTCTGGTCCATGTTGTAATAACGCCTCCACGACCTTGACTTGTGCGGGAAGGTTGCAATTCTCGAATTGGACAGCCAAATGGAGAGGTGTACGACCCTGTGAATCTCTAAAAGTGAACATTTCCTTGGGGACAATACTGATAAGGCTGGCAAGGAAACTTTGCCGATTCAAGCTGCTTTGATAATAGAGGTGTCGCGGTGACAGGGCTGCGTGTAAGCATGTGACTTCAGTGTCACTAATGTTATAGGTGTCGCGTGGTATGCATTCCCGCCGCAAGTGTTTGCCTAACTCTAACAATGTGGTTTCACTTCTATTCCGTATACGTCCGAGGACATACATGGCGCCTTCATACGGTGGTAAGCACTCAAGACCCAGCGCTTAGAAAGAACACGATGCCGATAACAATAGTTATAATACGATAGGTGTAACTCTAGTAATACCTCTGTTTTCGAGAAGACAAAGGCGCTGCAGAACACGACATTGTTTTCCGCGATCGCCGCTGGTGATCCATCAGCACCAGGCCTTGCAGAATGAAGGCCTCGGATAAAGAGAGCCAGGATGAGAACTTACCTGTCTGTGGCGTGCGGCCCTTGTTATCCATCGCAGCCATCAAATCCGGCCGCGCTGAGATAGCAGCGATTACCGTCCAAGCTGGGTAGGGCCGACGACTGCGCACCCCGGGCTGGCATGCCAAGTGGTGCAGGAAATTCTGTCCCTCCTGGGTTTGAAAGTGCCAGTGGCTCTTCCGATCATGGCCAAACGCCTGTCCATGAGGATTTTGGTTTCCTCTGAATGAGTCAGTTGCTTGATTCCGTTGTCGCTCAAAAGATTGCAGCTATGAGAATTCCGGACCTCCCGGCGTTTATCTTTCCGCAGCTCTTGTATTTCACCGTCCTTTTGGGTGGCCAACTGAATTTCGAATTGGGCCAGCACATAGTCGACTTGCTCGGGCTCCTCATTATTGTGGCCAGTTGGCAAGTCACCGAGGGCAGCAATATCCAATTCAAAATCAAATCCGCTGTGCCCTTTCGCTTTAAAGCATTCAGGCTCTCAGGGATGGACTTCATCGCCAGACCCAGCGAGTTTAAAGGCAGGCCAGTGTGTATTGATCCACGTATAGGGTGGCTGTATTTTTATCCGTAAAACCCAGTTAACAAACAGTAGGTTGCGCTTTGATACAATAGTAGCCCCTCTGAGACCTAACGTTAGATTGAGAGGAGAACGAATATTCATAGGGCAATAAATGAAAAATTCAAGGTCGAATTCGGATGGTATTGGGCAACATGTACTATCCTTGCAGCACCCATTGTATTTAAACTATAGTTATCGACACTGTATCCTTTTCAAGCGCTGGGTCTTAAGCGCTTACCACCGCATGAAGGCACCATGTATGTCCTCGGATGTATGCGGAATAGAAGCGAAACCAGATGTATCCCTGAAGCCCCAACCTTAATTCATAACACAGCATCACTGTGTAATTCCATATCTTCCCTCTCATGGCTTCTACCCTAGCGGTTCACTGGGTTTGCTACTTCTCTCATCATTGCTGCTTCGGGGGGTAGTTCTGTACGGGCTTCCCCTTCTTGGATGCTGGATCCACTGGCGAGGGCGCCTGGGGCGTTGTTGCTGGCTTGGGTGTTGTCGCTTGGACGGGCATCGTCGCTGGCGAGGGTATTAGATGTACTTGGTTGGGGTGGTATGGGTGTGTAATTTGTTGAATGGCGTGCTCGGTTGGCTAGCAATACTTCAAGTTGTTGCTCTGTACTATCTGTTTGTTGCCCTGTGAATATTTGTTCTAGTTGAAAAAGCAAATGCTGATAACAATGCGTAAAAAATACCTTCGGTTATGGTCCTCGGCGTGGAAGAACACAAATTGGCTCGCGGGAAACTTATTTGGGATCAGGTGTTTCATTTTATACTGGCACTGGATTACAATCGCAGTTTTGTCGCATGTAATGTGCGGCGTGTCGCTTGCCGCCTGTAACATGCGGCGTGTCGCTTGCCGCCTGTAACATGCGGCGTGTCGCTTGCCGCCTGTAATCTGCGGCGTGTCCAGATGTCGCTTGCCGCTCGTGATTTGGTGAATCGGGAAAGTCGTCCGTGAAGGCTGCCCACCCGCCTGTAAAGTGTGCTCTTGATTGGCGCCAGCTGGCTGGATACCTAGGTAGTCAAGCCACCAGGATAACCGCCTGTCTCAGGGGAAAGTTGTCCGACCCGAAGGCTACCTAGTTGCTGACTGACAGGGCATTGATCTTGGCTGACTGCCGTACTCGGACTTGCATAAGTACCTGGTACTCTAAATAATCGCGGCCACAACAACAGATTTCCAGGCGCCCCCCAACATCCGACGCTCTGGACTCGTAACGTACAACCGTTGCTCAGTCTACACTCCTCCCTAGTCTCAGCCCCGCCGTTGAAACTATCACTCTCTCGTGTCGGCTTTAAAGTTAGCCTGGGTGCAATGTCTACATATACGACGGATGTCAAAGTCTCACAGGGAGACGAACGAAGAGCCCCTCCTGGCCCTCGACGCTCTTCTTCAGGATGCATCCGAGGGCGGAGGAAAGACGTTCAGAACTCAAAATACGTCACTGGCTGACTTTGGACGCTGAAACGTCATTGAGCGGATAGGAGATGACGTTCAGATGCGAGTCGTTCTCCAGAAAGTTACACATGGAACATATGCTGAGGCTGGCGATGAGGCTACGCTGTTGGTCTTCTGCTTCCGCCCCGACTCGCACGATAATGCGAGTCGTGTGGCGCGGGCCTTCGTTAGTATTGTGTTCGTCGCCGCAGCCCCGGACAACGAGCCACTCACGGTCGACAAGATTGCTCCTGAGGGGCATCGGACTATATCATCTACGTCCGACGAAGTGTCAGTCACGAGTGGGGGTGAGATAGACCTGGGCGCTTCTCTCATCGTCGATGCCAGTGCCAAGGTAACAGTATCTGGGAAGGCCGCCATTATGGAGTGGAGAAACCGGGTGAAGTTGATATTGATTCGCTGTGTGAACCATAGTTAGGTTGCGATGGTGCTGGCAGCTGGTGTCACCACTGGTACACAGTAGTAACGCTCGGGGGCCAGCTGGGTGTTCAGTGGGGGCTTCGATTCATGGCGTGTCTGAGATCGTCTATTCAACGGGCGCTAAGCAGGAAGACACTGCACAGGATTTCTCTAAAGGCTGTATAAACGGAGAACACTTTTATGGTGACCAACAGGATCCTCTCGTCTTTCTTGGTGAGGGGGTGAGTGGATGTGGCAGTTCTCAGCTCCGCATCCAAGCAAAGTTCAAATACAATTGCGGATATGAGTTGGGATTTGAGCGCAAGTGGAGGTACTTGGTACTAAAAAAGTACAAACTGCGTATGCTGGGGACGAGCTGGCAATTGCAACCATAGAAGTAAGCGAGCGTCAGCGCTAGATAAGCTTACAGATTGATACCGTGCCAACACACCCCTTATAATTAACGGTCCTATTAGTAGCAATAGCTTCAGCTATACTATGTTTTTACTTTATTTTATAAATATTTTTTTATTTAATTACTTATTTCTTTCTTAAAAGTTATATATAAAGTCTTTAATAACTTTATATATATTCTTATAATCTTTTTATAAAGAAACTTTAAAAATTTTTTTTTATAGTTTTTAAATTCTTAAAAAGTTAATAATTATTTATAATAAAAATATAAATTAAAAGGAAATTAAGTTATTATATTTCTTTAAAAGTTTTAAAAATAAAGTATTATAAATTCTTTTTATTTTAATTTATCTTAAAATTAATAATTATATATTTAAATAAGAATTGTAATATTAATTTATTATATAAGGATTTTATTATATATATATATTTAAAAATACCTTTTAATATTTTAAAAGAATATAATATTAATAATAATAATTATAATAAAATAAATATTTATAATTTTAACTTTATAATATATAAATAATTAAAAGATATTATTTTAATAATAATATTAATTAAAATATTATAAAAGAATTATATAATACAATTAAGTTTAAAAATAATTATTATATAAATAAATTATATTAAAGGAAGTTTAATTAAAAATTATTCTTTTAAATATATGTATATATTAATAAAACCTTTATTAAATAAACTTATCGATTCAAGTACTAAATTCTTGTAGTTTGTTTGCAGAGCCTATCTGATATCCTTTGTCACTAAGGAAAGCGGGCAGTTGTTTCAAAACACTCCCCCGCCCAACAAACCTCTTAGACGAAGGTTTCCAATAGGTAAACCTATAAAGTAACGAAGAGTGTTCAAAAGACTATACAAGACCTCATTCTAAGTCTCGTATCCCAGTCCCACCTCCGCGGTCCAGAGACCTCATAGCCATTTACCCACTGATAAGTAGGGTCTTGATTTCGCGCCATGACGAACATCCCTATTCTCCTGAATTCGCAACCTTTGATCCGCACCAGGACGAGTCCTGAAGGAGAATTTGTGTGCGAAATTTCAAGAAGCCACAGGTCTGCTTGTTTCTTACTACCCCCGGCGGGCGCCGGCCAATCGTCTGGGTTTGCATCAGGCGGGACAGGACGTTCCGAGGGTTGTCGCGCCAGGGGTCTCGCGCCGCCGCCGCCGCCGATCAGGTCCAGAACGACGCGGGCATCGACAGCCACTTGGGGGTTGATCTCTGGATATTTCCACTGTAGTTCCCCCGCGTGGCCGAGGTGCTCGTTCGCAGCCCCACCGTCGGGGATGATGTAGTCCCAGAACATGTGGGGGCTGCCATCTGTTACTATCACGAAATTGCTGACTACCTCCTCATAGGACATCTGTGCCATGGGTGCGGTGATTTGCATGCGGTCGTGTAGCTTATCCAGGGCTAGGAAGGGTGCGAGGGGGTTGGCTGGCTTCAGGTCCAACTCTGTGATCGAGGCTAGGGTCTGTCCTTCGGGTCCCCAGGAGCTATGCATGGATACGGTGCCGTTGTTGGCGAATGGTGACCAGCTCGGGGCAATGTATGGTGCGGAGGAAGTAGAAGAAGAGGCTTCTGTGGAGGAAAGGAGTGACGTAAGGAGACCGCGAATTTTGTCTCTTTTCCTCCTCTTCTCTTTGCTTGTTGTGGCAACGGCGGTTGGTGGGTCCCCGTCATTCACATGATTCCAAAGCAATGAATGAGGTAGGGAACTCTCCCAAAGACCAGCGACATACCGGTCCTGGAGCAGCTTTTGCATCTCTTTGGCAATTCCCGATATGGCTGCCATTTTGTCCGTCTTGAAGGTGAGATTTCTTCGAGTGTAGTTGTGGAAAAGGCTTCCCCACTGCTGGAGGTACTCGCTTCTCGCTCGTTGGGAATGGCCGACCAATGTGGAATTTACTGGGTCGTTGAAAATCTGTCTTCTGACTTTGTCCTGCGTGTCCCAGTCGTATCTATCCTTAGGGTGGTCCACACCATACATTCTCTCGTGCTCCAGACATATCCACCGTGGAAGGCCTGAGCCAAAGACCAGCAGTCGAGGCGACAGCCAGGATTCCTGCAGGCACCATGCTCGAGTGTTGATTGCCTCGTCATCAAACTTTTTGATGTCGTACCCAAGATTTTCATCCCGGGCGAGGAATATTTCACCGAGTAGCTCAAAATTCGCCAACGTCTCGTCCTGGTCGTCGTCCGACACGTACTTGTAGACCGGCAGACGGGAAGATTGGAGGATAGACTGCAAGACGGGTTCTCGGTCTCCCAAGAATCCCTGGGTGGTGTCTGTGGCTGCCGCAGCCGAGATGGTGACCATGGCATTCTTGTATATCTCAGGCATTTGAGCGGCCTCGCGCGGCCAGTCGTCGTCTGGTGAGTCCTGGATGATGCAGAGTGCATCGACCCAGAGATAGCGGATTCCTACTTCGCGCGTGACCCGAATCGCATCCTGTACGGTCTGAGGGAGCTGTGTGACCCGGATCGACCTCTTGTGTTCCTCTAGGTTGCCCTGCAGCGTCTTAACCTGCGTGCCGGGGCCCCAGCAGTAACTGAGTGCTGCGTAGCGACCACATTCCCCTTTCGCGGTGACATGGAGCTTCACATGGTCGGGTTGTAGGTCTGTAGCAGTCCCGACATCTAACACTCGCGTTGGGAGGGTTGACTCCACAAATTTCGGACAGCCGTCGTGGTTATTAATACATTCGGATATCCAAGTACCGATCTCTCCAAATACATCTTCCGTGGCCACCCTGGGGTTCGCGGGAAACTTCGGGATGAGATGTTTTAGCTCGGGTGCTGTTTCATACTGACTGATTAGATACCTATGTGGTGTATGGGTCTTGAATAGCCGATGGGCCTCACTTTGAGTAAAAATACCCAGGTCCACCGAGAACTGGTGGAACTCTTCTTGCTGAATAAACCCAGTACCGCCCGACCGGCCAAATGTGAATGGATCGGCAACTCTAATGCTGATCTTATCTAGTTGCCTGCTGGAAAGATCGGGGCTTCTATTGAACGACTCCACGGGAATGGCTTCAACTCTGGCGTCGTTCTTGAAAGGCTGTACGCCAAATGCATGCCATGTTAAAATCGAACCAGAAAATTTCAACTCACCCAACCTCATGGACGATAGGGATCTCTTACCCTGCCGGAATCAATAGCTACTTTGAGCAGGAACTTGCAAAAGTTGCAGCCCTGATTCGCGATTATCAGGAGCTCTGATAGCGTTCCTAAGTTCACACTCCTGCCGTCTGCGAGAAGCTCAAGGGCGTCATATTGGAAGACATAGCAGGCTGTACAGGCCTGGATGCAAGAATGCGTTAACCCAGCGTCCTCGTCGAGGCACATGTTGCTTTAGTGAGACGGAGAGCAGGCGAGAGGGCCGCACGATGGTGCTGATAATATAATGCTAAATTTAAGACCAAAAGAAGAGAAAAAGAAGCATTTATAGAGCAGTTTACAGGTCGGATAGATTAGTGCTACCAATATAGTTTGCAGCTAGCCACAATTTCAGCCGCATCGTATGGCAACCAATAGGCTTTACAAGCCACCGGTTCAACAGCATAAAATTTCCTGATCAAGACAGCTCCGAAGGCTGAGGTCCATTTTAAGCGTGTCGCGCCGCTCGACCATACCCAATCGGCGATTATTATACGCTCGCCTCGACCAAACCCTGCCAGCGACTTGTCGCGTCTATTGACCACACACAATCCGCAGTGACTCTGCTCTCGTCGCTGCAAGCAACTTGTCGTCAACGGAGAAATGGCTCACCTTTTTACACATTAGACTGATGAAGATACATGGTCGTCCACATTGAGGCCCACGACTCATGCTAGTGCTAGCGCCTTGAAATCCTACAGTGCGGCACGAGGCTGAGGTCACGTGCCCACAGACGTACTGTATTCTCTCTGCACTGTTATTAACACTGTATTTTTTTTTAAACCTTGCCTTATTAACTATTTACCACTGCATGAAGGCGCCACATACATTTTATATGTATGGGGATTAAAAAACGAAACCACTTAAAATCCTACATTTACTCTCATTACCTAGGTACCTAATGTGAGAAAACAAGTAATGAGTCCGAAGCTTGTGAAGGTTTTAAAGCTAACTGTATACTAAGCCGAGTCAGGGTGTTCAAGTCTACTCATAGAGACATTTAAGAACTAATAGCCGCTATGCACGTTGTCGCTCAAGTGAAACATAATCATCCGCATACTTGAATGAACTGTTTGCTACTAACTTGGAAGTTTATAAGCTCTTCAAATGTTGCATGTCTTCCAAGGTTTGCAGTGAGTTTTCGTCTCAATTCGTATAGTCTCCACCTCTTTACAGTTAGGCAACAGCTCGCCAACTAGTGCAACATTCTGGCGGCTGATACTGGCTCGCTCGGATTGATATCAAGGGTGCTGACCAGCTTACGATAGTCACCATCCTGCTTACTACATGCTGCACGTCGCCCCGGCGTGACACCGAGGGCTTACGTACAAGCAGACCCTGTATGTATTACATCGGCCGAAGCGGCAGCATAAAGCAGACCGTTGTATCACAGCAACAAGGCAACGGCACGCACCCTGCATTATCAGCCGCCCTCGGAGACCGCGACAACCACTCCACGTGTCGCACGCAAAAAATAAGACACTTCACAACGACCACTATTCATTAAACCACAATCACCCACATACATACTTACAAACATATCCACCAAGCTCCTCATCTGAATCAACAACCCCCACGATAAAATGTTAACCGAACGCACCCTCCCACCCCGCTACGAGATCCGCACCCTAACACGCGAGCACATAGCCTGGGCGAACGCAATAATAATGCACAGCACCGCCTTCGCCTCCCCAGTCTGGTCCCGGCTCTACCCCGACAACAAGACGCGCCTCTGCTACGACCTCTTCCGCCACTCGGACTACCTCGTCAGCCACGCGGTCGCCTCGGGCCTCTCCCTGGGGATCTTCGACACCCAGTACACATTCCAACACGCAGACTCGGACGCGGCGGGCGGCAAGCTCCACTGGGACCTGGACGACACGGGCAGCGGCGCGGGCGAGGCGGACCTCGTGCGCCAGATGGACTTCCCCCTCCTCTCGGTGGCCCTGGCCTTCGACGCCTTCAACCAAATCGACGCGGCGCGCCTCGCGCCGCTCGTGGGGGTGATGCCGCTGCTCGCCGACCGCAACAGGATCCTCAGCGCGCGCGACGGGCGGGACCCGGGCGCGCGGGAGGCGACGGGCCCCGGCCAGGTGGCGCTGCGGAACTCGACGGCCACCAAGGCTGGGGAGGAGGGGAAGGGGTTCATGGGCCACCTGGCGCGGCAGATGATGCGGCGGCTGGCGGGGATGGGGTTCCGGGGCGTCCAGATACAGTGCCTGCACGATTCTGTGCACCGGGTGTGGAGCCGCCCGCCCGCGCCGTTCAGGGCGGAGGTCGTGGCGCGGTTTCACTGCTCTGAGGATGGGGATGGGGAGGTGAGGAGGTTGTTTAAGGGGTCGGTGCAGGAGGTTACGAAGGTTTATGTTTCGCTGAGGTGAGTGCGCTGGTACTATCTAGTATTGTCTACTACGGCATAGGAGAGGTGTCACGAGTGATGCCACTGCGCTATTCATGCAGAAGTGATGCCGGTATTTGCCATAGGCATATAGTCTCCTGTATCGTGACAAGAGGCAACTATCGCGGGTGGTGATTAGTCGTCATCTTCGGTGGATTGATTGAGCAGGCTATTTGCAAGCATTGGATCATCAATTGATTGGAATATTGACTGCCCGTATAGGCATGACTGACACAGTGAGCACTGCCGCCCCACTCTTGCCCGGCCAAGTCTCGCCACCTGTGGGCACAATTAGTATCTCGTGGCCGTTGTGATTAGTATCAACACCCGAGAGCCTCGGATTGCAGGGCACTTTGGCGAGGAATCGTGTAAGCCCTAGAGAGGATCCTTGACTGTCGATCCTGGGCAATTGCCCAATGAGGATTGGACCCTGACCGTTCGTCTCATTTAGTGGGGGCTGTTTTGTCACCCCCGCTCCTGCGAGCTGAGCTGGCTCATATTGATTGAGTCTTTATAGGGGCTGGTATCCAGACATCCGCAACAGTTTTGAACCACCAGTAAATGGTGTGTTGCACGACCTGAGAAAAACCCAAGAAACCATGGCATCGATCTACGAGTCTCTGAAGCAGGACCTCAAGGCCGGCAAGGTCATCGTGCCGGGCGATGCCGACTACGAGGACAGCATCAAGCGCTGGAGCGCGAGCTGCGTCCAGCGAACTGTGAGTTCTTATCTGATACCGGCCCGGCTCGCAACAACAAACACTCACTGAACCATGAGACCAGGCCGCAGTGATCAAGCCCACCTCGGCAGAAGAAGTCAGCACGGCGATCAGGTGGGCAAACAGCCACGCGCTCCCCTTCACGGTCTGCGGCGGCGGGCACTCGACCTCGGGCCAGTCGTCCAAGGGCCCAGAGGGCGTGGTGGTCGACCTGTCCCTCATGCGCGCCGTCACGGTCGACCCGGCCGCCCAGACGATAACCTACGGCGGCGGCTGCCTCTGGGCCGACGTCGACGCCGCCGCGGCGCGGCACGGGCTCGCCACGCCGGGGGGCACGGTCAACCACACGGGGGTGGGCGGGCTCGTGCTCGGCGGCGGGTTCGGCTTCCTCTCGCCGCGCCACGGCCTGACGATCGACGTGCTCCTCGAGGCCGAGGCCGTGCTCGCCGACGGCACCGTCGTCACCGCGTCCGAGACGGAGAACCCCGACCTCTTCTGGGCCCTGCGCGGCGCGGGGACCAGCTTCGCGGCCGTGACGCGCTTCACGTCGCGCGCGTTCCCGCAGCGCGACGTCTGGGCCGGCGTGCTGGTCTTCTCGCCCGAGCAGCTGGAGGGTGTCGTCGCGGGCGCCAACGAGGTGCTCGCGGCCCAGGACGGCGGCCAGGCGATGCTGCTGGCGTTCGGGTACTCGCCGCCGGGGCCGGGCGGGGAGCGGGGGCGGGCCATCGTGGCGCAGGTGTTCCACAACGGGAGCGCGGCCGAGGGCGAGGAGCGGTACGCGCCGCTGCTCCGGGTGGGGCCCCACGTCAACACGGCGGCGGCGATCCCCTACGCGGCCGTCAACGGGCTCGCGAACGGCGGGGTGCCGCACGGCGGGCGGTACCAGTTCGGCGCGGCGAACGTGACGTACCCGGTGGACGCGGGCGTGGTGGCGGACGCGGCGGCGGCGTGGTGGGGCGGCATCGAGCGGCTCAGCGCCGGGGGGGAGGACCTCCGCGGCAGCATCATCGGGTACGAGCTGTTCCCCAGCGACGTGGCGCGCGGCGTGCCGGCCTCGGCGACGGCGTTTGCGAACCGCGGGCGGTACTTCAACGTCGCGGTGCTGATGAGCTGGCGGGACGCGCGGTCGGACGCGGCGGTGCGGGCGTTCAAGCAGGAGGTGGCGGGGATGATACGGCGGAGGGGGTTCAGCGGGGACGAGGTCGGGGGCGAGGGCGTCGGGCAGTATAATAACTACCTCGACGGCAGCATCAGCGCCGAGGGGGCGTTTGGGGCGAATGCGGCGCGGCTGAGGGAGCTGAAGCGGCGGTATGACCCGGAGAACCGGTTTGACAAGCTGTGGAAGCTGGCTTGATGACAACTGGTCAGTTGGTGTTGGTGTATATCGAGTCAGTTGGTGTTGGTGTATATCGATGATATGTTACTAGTGGTGTTATGGGTAGTGGGTCTGAAGTTGTTGCTGGGTATAGATAGACGTTGGGTGCCTATTGTGGGTAGACTAATAAGACTAAGTATCCACGACGATATCACCGTTCAACTTTCTTCTGCCCTCGACGTTACGGCCATGGTATTTCTCTGCCGGGGTCGGGTAAATAGAGACTGTCAGTCAGTCAGTCAGTCCTATTGCATATTATTGCATGCCATGATGCCACTGATTCGGACATGAACCCAAACATCAGATCGGAAAGGACTTCAGGAGCACAAGCACACAAGGACACAAGGACACAGCTTATCGACTCTGACCGCCCGTCACTGCGCTCAAAGCTTGAAGCTTGTCGTACACAGTGTGCCAGTGCACAAACTCGTCGTTCGTGTGACCGCCGTGCCGAGTCAAGGAGGACCGACGGCCACCATAATACCCGATCTCAGCACGATCGAGGTGGGATCGAAGTGGGGAGCAGAGTTGAGGGAGATCGCCAGGCATGCCCCGTACTACACGTGTATGTACCCACAACTGCCACTCGGCCCTGCTGCGTACTGCCGATGCGGGAGGAACGAGTAGTGAGTGTCACGGTGGGGGCTCGGTATTCTGGAACAGGAGCTGAATACCGGATGGGTCCAATGTACAAGGTAGGTTGTGGGTAAGTACTTTGGTATCCGTAAGTAAGCAGGCATCACATGATATACATCCAGGGCGGGTCAGGGACCAACCAACCATCACAAGGTTTAGAGGCTGGTTCGTGCGAGTGGTGAGGATGCATGCTGCAGGTTGCAGGTTGCAGGCGCTGAAACATTATTCGGCTCAGGTGCGGTTGGTGTCACGCCGTATCAGGCCTTGGGGAGGAAACCTCGGAAGGGAGCCTTGGAACCTCGGAACCATGGAGAGAGAATTATACGTCTGCACCAACATGAGCCCATGACTGATGCACCCCTGTCCGATCCCACTGCGGCTCCGTCCCCTTCGGCCAGGTTTACCGGTGGTGCGGCGAGTCAGGCACTCCTGGCAGGCCGGCACGACCAGAGTAATTATCGTCATATTAGCGGGTATAATTTCGAGTACGGGCGCAGGTCGAACCCTAACCTAGATCTTTGACACGCCCTCGGGAATAACTAAACCTTCAGGGTTACATCCCCAGGCCGTCTGCGCCGTCCGATGCCTGCTGCCCTGTTTGGCTGTTTGGCACGCACCCGGTCTGCGGGAGCAGGCACTAACTAACATCTCACCCCTGGACCTGGGCAGGAGCGACCTAGGGTGCAACGGTGGGAGTTAAGGCTAGGCTGAAACGGGGCAAGCCCGGGGGCGGGCACCAACCGCCGCGTGCAATTGGGTGGCAGGCAGTCTGGCAGGGCAGGGCTGGCAGGCAGCGCCCAGGGTGGCCAAGACTTGGACCCCCAAAAAGGCGGGCGGGTGATCCAGGGTCCAGTGTTCTTTGGGGGGCCTTGGGGGACCTTGGGGGGCAATGGCGTCATACGTCCTCAACCGTGTGCGTACCTGGGGTGAGGATTGTCAGGCAGCATTTCCCTTTTCAAGTGTGCCCACTCTGCCAGTCTGCCCGCAGTGGCGCCTCCCCAGCAGGTGCACGAACACAGACAGCAGGAGGTGAGAGCGAGAGAAAAGAGGCCGATGACAGGAGGGACCAACAGGGGAATTATCCAAACCCATCAAATCCCGACATTCCCCTCTTTTTTTTTGGCTGCACCTCTCTCAGCTCAGCATCCGTCCTGCCGTATCTTGCCCGTTCTATTTCCCACCTGCCCTCTCCACCCACCCTTTTCGGGCTTTGTCTTTTCTTGCCTCGTCTCCCATCATGGTTTCTCGCCCTGGGGGTCTCGCTCCAGACGGCTTCTCATTCTAATCTCGTCTGGCCAAGACGGTCACATGAGACCGCGACAGACTGACGTCCTTCAATCCGTCCCGTCAAACAGCAACCATCAATCATCATCCATGACCCAGACAGGCACGCCCCAGTTACCCAGCTAGCTTGTACCATAGTCAAGCGTAGTCTCCTGCAGCTCTGTCCCTCTCTTTGTCGACCTCACCAGCCCGCCTCGTCTCGTCTCGTCAGCCAACCAGCCAACCAACCAACCAACCAACCCACGCTACCGACCGAGCTCTGCCCATCAGACAAAAACCACAACCCACAGCCCAGCCCAAAACTACAGACCGCCCTAGCTCCCAGCCTGGCATGGCCAGCACGCTCCGCTCCGACATGGCCGCGACGGCCGACCCGCAGGCCTCGTCGCCCTTCTTCGACCGCCTGCCCTTTGAGATCCGCGAAAAGATCTTCGACGAGCTGTGGGCCCTGCACGACACGCGCTGGCACGTCCACTCGGCCGGCGACCACGTCGTCCCCGCCTTCCCCTGCATCACCGCCCCCGACGACGACGACATCCGCTACGCCCGCTTCCAGGCCTCCCGCGGCGTCGAGGCCCTCACCTGGGAGTCCCGCCTGCGCTCGCCCTGGAACGCCCACTGGCGGTGCGCCGAGGCTGCCGCCGTCAGGGCCACGAACCCCAGGACGGGGAGGACCGCCTCGCCCAGGGACATTGTGCGGCGCCGGCCCGGCTTCGCATCGCCGTCCTCGCCCCTCCTGGTCTGCAAGCGATGGTAGGCAGCCTTCATATGGAATCTCCCGTGTCTTGATATCACATACATATATACCCATATCTGATACCACACTCAAGACTAACACGCCCACCAGGTACGCCGAGAGCATCGGGCCCCTCGAGGACGCCCTCACCTTCGTCTTCACCGACATCATCGTCGCCAGGGACTTCCTGCGCGCCCACGCCCCCGCCCGCGACATCCGCAACGTCGAGCTCAGCCTGCGCGTCAAGCCCCTCATCACGGAGCTCTACCTCCCGGGCCCGGACGGCGGCGGCGGCGGCGGGCCCCAGCCCCACGTCGCCGGCGCCCCCGTCACCGCCGCCGACAACCCCTGGGAGGACCTGAGCCGCCGCCTCGCCGCCCTGCCGCGCCTGCGCGAGCTGCACGCCTACCTCGACTCCGAGGACCTGCGGCCCTGGCACAAGCGCGTCAGCGAGCGCGCCTTCCTGCGCCGGCTGCTCCGCGCCCGCGCCAGGCGCCGCTTCGTCCTCTACCTGCCCGCCGTCCCCGCCGACGCCCCGCTGCAGGGCCTGCCGGGCACGTACCTCGGGGACGGGGACTGGGACGGCGACGGCCTGCCCGGCGGCGGCGGGGCCGGGGCCGGCTGCGCCGCCGTCGTCGTGAGGGGGCCCAGGCCCAACAACTGGCAGCTGCATCTCTCCAGGGTCAGTCAAGCGCACCTGCTCCGTCGGCACTAGGCCGAACTCTTTTTTTTTCTTTTTCTTTCTTTTTTCCCCCCTTTTGTTTTTTTCCGAATCGAAATGCTGACGTCTGTGTCTGCTTTTTTCCTTGTGTTGCAGATATCGCATGTCCTCCCGGAGAACTGGACCCATACCCTGTGGAACCAGGCGCACGACAGGGTCATGCCGCAGTATGCGTGATCCAGGGGGCGATGGGAAGGGGCGGGGGCGGGGGTGAGGGCGGGAGAGGGGGACGAAGGGGGGACGATCTCGTGTTGAAGGGGGGGATCATGATGGTGGGGGTAAATCCATTATATTGTTAGGGATGTATTGCTTGGGCGGATAACGGGGGATGGGAGAGATGTTAGGATGAGGAGTGGTGTGTTGCTAGGGGAGGCGGGGCATGATTTTTGGTGTTGTATGATGGTGGTGGGAGAGATACTTGCTACCCTCGCCCCGCGTCTCGACTGTTTCGCCGTGGACATTCGACGCCGCGGCCGCGGCATATGTGCTGATTTGGGTGGGAACTCATTTCTGCTAGGTATTTTGAACGGGGAGAGGGTGGTTGTGTGTATAACATGTACCTATTTATTTCTCAATCACGGGAGGCGCAGAGTTGGTTCCTTTCATGGGCATAGGTAGGGGTTTTATTATTTACTAGGTATGCTTAGACACTTATTAATTTAATATAACTCTAATAAGATAGAAAGGAAAAGAAGGTTCTATAATAAATAATTTTAAAAATATAGTATAAGTAGTTATTAACTTATTTAACTTAATATAAAAAATAAAAAAAATAAAAAGAAGTTTTTAATAAATTTTATTATTTAATTATAAAATATAAAATAAAATATTATTTATATATAAAATAATATTAATATTAATAGTTATAATTTTATTATATATAAATAAAGTTAAAAATATTACTTTAATAATAATATTAAATAAAATTATAAAGCTAATATCTACTTACCTAATAATTATATCCATTTATCTAGTTTTTATTATCTACTTATTTAATACCTCTTTTAATATATATAGTTTATATAATATTATATATCTATTAAACCTATTTTATAATAACCTAAAAATTATATATTAAGTACTTTTATTACTATATTTTTATAATAAATATATTATTTAATAGAAATAAAATAAAATTAATTTATATAAATTAAATTAAATATTTATATATTTATTTTTAAGTTAAATAAGAAATAAAGAAATTCTTCTTTTTAATTAAATATAATAATTTTTTTATTTTAATATTTAATTATTACTTATTTTATTATTTTATTATTTTAATAATAATTATATTAATAATTATATAATTATAATTATATTAAGTTTATAATTATATTAATAAAAGTTAAAAAAGATAATAATAGTTTATTAATTAATTTTATTTTTAGTTTTTATTATATTTATTAATTATTTATATTTTATATATTAACTTTTAATAATAAAAGAGAATTAAATAATTTAAAATTAAGAGTTTAAATAAGGTTATTATATTAAATATTAAAGTTATATTTTATTAATTTATTAATAAATAAATAAAGATTTTATATAATTAATATTTTTATAATTTTAATTTATAAAATAGTTATATTAAAGTATTAAGTTATAATTTAAATTTTAAGATTATTATATTAATTATATTTAATAAATATTTTTATATTTTAAATTAGTAGTATTATATAATAATATTTTATAATAAATATTAAGGTTATAAGTATTTATAGAGTAAGAGGATATTATTTATAAATTTAATTAGTTAAAATATATAAGTTAATATTTTTAATACTATATTATTATAATTAATATTAGAGACTTTATTATTAATTAATTAATTTATTTTTATTATAAATATTATATTAATTAATAAAAGCTTTAAAGATTTATATATAAAATATTATTATAGTTTTAAATTAATTTTAATATTTATAATAATATTAAATAATTTATTAAGAGATATTATTAAAGTATTATTAAAAGAATTTATTAAAAGTAATAATTATAATATAATTAAAATATATAGTTAATTATATATTTATATTATAATAAATATTATATTAATAAATAAATAATAAAGAAAACTTTTATAAGATAGTATATTATAATAAATATAATAAAAGCTTTAAAGATTATTAGTTTTTATAAATAAAATAAAGGTTAGTATAATTATAATAGGAATTTTATATTTATTTTAAAATAAATAATAGTAAGTTGTTAAGTTATTTAAAGATTTATTAATATAAAGTAAAAGGTAGATTAAGGATTATTTATTTTTTAAATAGTTAATTTATAGAGAGAAATTTATAAATTTAATAATATAATTTTAAAATAATTAAAATTGAAGATTATATATAAAAGGTAATTATTTATATAAAAACTATATTTAATTTAAATATTATAGTTTTTATAATTAAGAGTTAATTAATAAAGTATATATTAATATATATTATAATTAAATTATATAATGTATATATAAAAAGTATAGTTATTAAGTTTTTTAATATAATATTATTTTTAAAGTTAAAATTTTATTAATTTAGTAAAATATAAGTTATAAAAGGAGGAAGTATAGAGGATTATATAGAAAAGTTATAAAATTAATTATAAAGTATAGTTAAAAGAGAAAAGAAATTAATATAAATAAAGTTAAGGTTTAAGTAAAAGAGATTTTATATATTAATATAATAATAATAAATAAAAGATAATTATTATATATATATAAAATAAATATAGGTTTAAAATACTTACTTTTAAAATAAGAAAACTTAATATAATTTATATTAATTAAATTTTATATAATATTTTTATAAAAGTAAAAGTTATTTTAATAATATAAATATAGGTTTATTATTATATATATATTAAGTTTATTTTATTAGAATTTATATTATATAAAAATACTTTTATTATATATAAATATAATATTTTATATTATTATTTAAAGGTTAAATAAAGTAAACTATTTAATATATTACTTTTAAAATTACTTAAATAGTTTAAAAGAATTAAAATATATTAAGTTTTTTATATTTATATATATCTTTTATTATTATTAAAAGTTAAATAAAATAATTATTTAATATATTACTTTTAAAACTATATATATTATAATTTAAATAAATTAAGATATATAATTATTTATTTAAATAAATATATAATTATAAAATAAATTATAATTAATATATATAAAGTATAATATAGATTATAATATATATAATAAAAGATTTTATATACTTTTATTATAATAAAATAAAATTATTTATTTAAATTATAATAAAGTATATAAATAAATTAATAGTTTAATATTAATTATAGTAAGTAAATTAATATTAAAATATTATAAAATTTAAAATATATTTTTAATTAAAGTTTAAAAATTAAATATTTATAAATATATTATATATTAATTAATGTTTAAAGTATATAACTTAATAATTACTAATTTAATATTTAATTAAAGTTTAAATAGTTTTATAATAAAGTTTTTAATAGTTTAATAATTATTAACTTAATATTTAATTATATTTAAATAATTTATAATAAAGTTTTTAATAGTTTAATAACTATTAACTTAATATTTAATTAGGTTTAAATAGCCTTATAATAAGGTTTTAATAGTTTAATAATTATTAATTTAATATTTAATTAAAGTTTAAATAGCCTTATAATAAAGTTTATAACTTAATAGCTATTAACTTAATATTTAATTAGAATTTAAATAGCTTTATAATAAAGTTTTTAATAGTTTAATAATTATTAACTTAATATTTAATTAAAGTTTAAATAACCTTATAATAAGGTTTATAATTTAATAATTATTAACTTAATATTTAATTAAAGTTTAAATAACTTTATAATAAAGTCTTTAATAATTTAATAACTATTAATTTAATATTTAACTTATAGTTTCTATAGTCCCTTTAACTATTTTTATTTATTAATATATTTTAATAAACTTTAATAGAATATATATTAAAAATTTATTTATATAAAATTTTAAAAATTAATTTATAGGTTTTAATTATTATATACTATTAAAGACTTTATAGAAATAAATCATATTAATAAAAAAGTTTTATTATAATAAATAATAATATTATTTTTTTAAAAGTTTTATTTAAATAAAAAAGTTATAATAAATTAATATAATATAATATAATATAATATTAACTTATTATATAAATATTTAATAATAAAAGTTACTTTAAACTTTAAAGGTATATTTATATAATATAAATTTATTAAAAGTAGTTATATAATATATTATAAATTTTATAATTATAAAATTATATTATTTAATAGATTTTTTAAAATATATATTTAAATATATATTATATATAATATATATACTTATTATTTTAATATTATTTATATAAAGTTATTTTATTTTATAAAATTATATTATATTTAAAATATTAAATATAAAAGTAGTTATATAATATATTATAAATTTTATAATTATAAAACTATATTATTTAATAAATCTTTAAATATATTTTAATATATATTATATTTAATATATTATTTATTATAATAATATTTATTTATATAGTTACTTTAATTTATAAAACTATATTATATTTATAAAATATTAAATATAAAAGTATTATAATTTATTATAAATTTTATAATTATAAAATTATATTATTTAATAAATCTTAAAATATATATTTTAATATATATTATATTTAATATATTATTAATTAATAAAGTATATTAATTTATAAAATATTAATAATAATATAAAATAAATATAATTAATAATAATAAAGAAATACTTTTATTATTTATAATAATTATTTTATAAGAATTTAAAATTTTATTTAAGTTTAAATAATATATATATTAAAAGATAAGTTTAATAATTATAATTAATTTTTAAATTTATATATAAATAAATTTTTAATATATTTTTATATATTATTAAAAGTATATTAATAGATAATATAATATTAAAAGATTATAAAAGGGAGAAAAAATTAAAATAATTATAACTTTAATAAAGTTAAAAGTTTAAAATACTTTTAATATTTATAATAACTATTATATATTATTTAATTAATAATTAAATATATTAATATTTTAAATTATTTAATAAATATATTAAAAATTATTTAATTAATAATTAAATATATTAAAAGATTATTTAATTAATAATTAAATATATTAAAAGATTTTAAATTATCTATAATATAATTAAAGAATAAACTATTTATAAATATAT